CCCTTCCGCAGGGCACCCGCAGGGCACCAGGATGAACACGAATCATTTTACTACTATACTTCTCTGTATTTGACGATCCTCTAGGATCTCAGATCCGAGTGCTTGACCGGTCAAATTCATCGACTTAGTTTACTGCGTATGGTGCTCTATTAAGCAGATGCCGAATAGAGTTCAACTAACATCTGTTTCTGGTCGGAAGAGATGGTGGCAGGTATCCTGCCAGTTTATACATTTTACCAACTTTTGGCTAGATGGTATTATTCTAGATATATAATACAAACCTTCAGTCTTTATTCAGAATTCCAAGCCGAGTAGTGAAGGCATCATTACCAATTTTCCTTTGATGATAATTTTTTGGCGGAGAGCTATAGCGTAACGCAACCACAAGATAACGGCCACATTAAAGTTGTAGAGATTGGCGTAGACAGATAAATCAACTTCCTGATTCCCAGACCTCGAAAGCTAATCCAACTTAAAGACAGCAGCCTTACCTGGCGGCATGGTTCCAGAGCACAACTGCCTCCAGGTTTCTTCTACTCCATTCTGCCCCCCAATCCCCTGTCCCCAGGAAATCTCGAATCTGCCTTTATTAATGCCATCATACCATTTCTTGAATGCTTCATCGCGCTCCTTATACACCGAACCTAGGCCTTGTTGATGTCCAGCCCGCTCAATGATTGTCCCCGTATCCATTGACACTCTGGTAATTCTGCTATTGTCTTCCTCGAGACCAGTTGGGAAATTTCCAACATAAATATGCAGGATAGTGGACTTTGTCAGATTGAGAACTGCGTTGTGGAATTTTGGGACGAATTCACCGCCACTGCCACAGTCCACAATCACTACCTTGGTCGGCTTCAAGGCCGCAATAAATTCCATGTTGGCCGGGCCAATTAGCTCATTGTAATTAACCGATTTGATGGGAAAAGCAGCATCATCAGTCGGAAGAACAGCGGACGAATTTGACACCCTCACCAAAGCCAAGGGGCCGTCTACCCTAGATCTTTGGCGCAAACTCCAATCGAATCCAATGGCCGTCTTGCTAGACGCTGCGAGAACGACCACAACACTGTCGCGCAAAGATGCGTTTTCGATGGGCCACTGCTCTTCGTCCAGCGCTGGACTGCACCACTTTGAAGGTTCGACCGCGAAAGAATAGTGCCCGAGAAGAAAGCCGGCCTGAGACGTAGTCCACATTCCAGTATACCACGCCAACATGTCCTCGTGGGTATCAGTGTCATGTACCAGATATCGATTATACATTGGTTTCATTGTCTGTCGATGTGGACTTGTTTCGCGAAGAAGACCAGGCTCGAGCTCCTCGAGAATTAGATCAACCGGTACCGTAGATGGAGGCCAGATGCCGTAGAGCAAGGAACCTTTTAGGACTTTGTCATTGTTGGACTCTATGACTGAGCCATATCCCCATGCTGGGACGATGCCCCACTGCTCCACGTCGTCGTACGGCGGCGAGGCCAGAGTTGAAGATACTGGATAGGCATCCCACCACCTGTAATGGCTGCTGCCAAGGTGTGCATAACCTATGTTGTTGAGGCTCAAGGTGATGAGTTTCGGCTGCACACGTACAGCGCCTGCGAGAAGAGATGCTGTGCTTGAGGGAGTAGTAACAGAATACTGAGTAAACTCATTTTTGCGCAGTACGAGGGTTTGTGCAGACATGGTGAAAATTGCTTCCGGAAGAATTGCTTCTGCTTGTAACGATATGATGAGCTTAGAATTATGTGATGTTGTGAATGTGTTCAAGAAACCAACAGCTTGCGAAATGCGATAATGTTTATGTACTCCATCTGGGTCTTCTACTTCCGAAGAGGACCGGATATTAAAGTGGTAAGAGTATCGCCGCAGCGCTGGCGTCAAAACACTGGTACTTGGTAGAGGCTAGACAACCGTACGCACTGTGAAGTACTCAGCGTGAATCAATATCTACACCACGTTCTAATTTGTCAGCTTTCTCCAGGATCACGTACCGCAAGCGCCCGCTTATCACTCGTTCAAGCACATTACTCAGCGTGATTTCTCTTCTTCACCAGAGTTCAAGTCTCAACCTTATCCAGGATCATGTACCACAGGCTCCCGATTTCACTCGACAGGCACATGGATAACTTCAATCGCCGAGTTATCGCCTGCGTGTCGGTCCGAGACTGCTGGAAGTGCTATTATGAACATAGGGCCAATCACCCGTGATTATTAGTGGTTCCACGTATTGCTGCACTGCGACATAAAGATGCACCACTGTGCTATTCGGAGCCAGCACTGGGAAGTTGCAAACATTATACAGATAAACTCAAACTATTTTTTATTCAGTGCGTTCCTTGGCTCAACGGTTCCGCAGACACAGATCTCACTAGCTACCAGTATGTTGGGTGCATGTCCACAAGTAAGGTCTTTGCCTCTTACAAGCCCGCAATACTTGGTACACGGATTCTCGTGCGATGGCTTCTTGACTATTTATTGCGCCCGCACGTGGTAGTTCCAGCTACGATGTCGCAATGGGTGATCTCTGCCAGCGTCTGCTTCTGGATAGCTGCACAGGTTTGACTTCTTTCCTCAACTATAGCGGCAGTCAGTACCTAAATAGAGATGGGAAAGCCTAAAAATCTTGGGTGGGGGGGCTGTTCCAGTTGCGGCTAGTTAGTTAATACAGGCAACTCTCCACGCTTAGCTTCACCGCCACGCGGCGACAGCGAGCCAGCAATACGCTTTGCAAACACCAAATAAACAGAGGTATCTTGTAATCGGTCTTAAGACTGATCTTTTGCTAGTGTGCATATAGTCGATGATTGCGAATATGTCTCTCGGGACTTCTACTCTGCCCGACTTTTCATGGCCTGAGGCCATGACCTTTTTCAGGTCATCTGACCAGGATCAAGCGTTTGGCGCTGGTGTCAATCAGAATCATTCATTTTCCTCTTCCCTCATCTCTTCACAGACTTGTCCAAACTCTAGTCTACCTTCGGATATGCCCTTTACTTTTCTACTTTTTGGCACACATTGCAAATATGCTATCGAGAATGTGGCCCTTAAATTGGCTTCGCCGACCATGGAAGCCGCTTTCGTTTGCTAACTCGGGCTTTACTCGGTTACCCGTAACTCAGAGGATTGAAGAAGAAAATCTTCCAGACTATAACGCTGCTCGATACTATCCAACTCGCATAGGAGAGATACTCCAGGACCGTTATCAAGTTGTGGGAAAACTAGGTTATGGGGCAACCTCTACGGCCTGGCTGGCGCGGGACATGCAGTGAGTATCGTCGGTTTGCCATAGTCTTCCTCCCCAGCGCGCAGTTAACGCAAAATAGTCATCGCCGTTATGTTACTCTCAAAATTTACATTAAATCTGCTTCTATAGGGCAATCCATGGAAGACGAGCTACGAATCTACAAACGCATCAGTAATACAGCCACTGCACAATCTGGACGGTCTGCTGTGAGGTTTCTATTAGACACGTTTAAGATCAACGGGCCTGAGGACCAACACCAGTGCCTTGTGCATGAGCCGCTATTTGAGAGCGTTTGGACGTTTCTACACCGCAATCCAGTCCAAAGACTGCCTAAAGTAATGATTGCATTCATTCTTCAGCGGACTTTTTTGGCGTTGGATTACTTGCACACAGAATGTCAGGTGATACATACCGGTAAGCTCGACAGCCTCTCCTTGACACATTAGGAGTTAATTTTTTTTTGTTTTTTTTTTCAAGATATCAAGGCGGATAACATCATGTTCGAATTCTTCGAACAGTCGGTTCTCGTCGACTTCGAGCAAGGGGAACTCCAATCACCTTGTCCCAGGAAAGAGCTAGATGGGAGATGTATTTACATGTCACGGGAACTCAAAATGCCTAAGGATGTGGGAGCTCCTGTGCTTTGCGATTTTGGATCCGCCGTCGATGGCGGGGTAGATCACTTGGAGGATGTGCAACCAAACATATATCGTGCGCCAGAGGTCATCTTGGAGGTGCCCTGGACGTATAGCGTTGACATTTGGAACGTGGGCTGCATGGTAAGCAAGACATCTAACGAGAAACCGGCGATCGACTTGGATCGTTAACATTCTTTGCAGATATGGGACATTTTTGAAGGCGGCTCCCTTTTCACCGGCCAAGATCCAGAACTGAATGTGTACAGAAGTAGGGCTCACCTCGCCGAAATGATCAGCCTTCTTGGCCCTCCACCACCTGATTTCATTGCGCGAGGTCAGCTCAGCCACAAGTTCTTTACTGAAGGCAGGTTTTCTGCCCTAGAAACAAAGTTGAACCCAGTCACGCTCGAGCAAAGAGAGACAACACTCAGCGGTGAGGACAAGGTGGACTTTCTGCGCTTTATGAGAAGAATGCTGCAGTGGGAGCCTGAGAAGCGAAGCTCTGCTAAGAGTCTAGCTCAAGATGACTGGATTGTCCGGCAGCTAAGGCCTCGGCAACACGGGGGAGTTGAATAAACCACGATATAAACTCAACTTGTCATGAGTAATTAACTAATTCCTATCACATTATTCGTTGTGCACTAGGAAAAAAAAAATAATGCTAACAGGTAAAACCTCAGATTAGCTGATACTCATGTAATAGCCGTCCAATCTGAGAACCCTCCAGCTTCTCGATCAAAAGTTTCCGGATTCTGTTAGGCACCCACGTAGCCAACTCCTTTCCATCCCGTAGAGCACACGCGGCATTGAGTAGATGTCTAACATCATAGGTCGACGCAAAGACCTCTGGGACACCTCGATCAACCTGTGCCAGCTGGTATACTGCCTCCATGCCGGTGCGCACAGAATATTCCGTCGTGAAAATGGTATCCCTCGTAGTCTCGGCAAACTGTCCGATAAAGGCAAAGTTCTGCGAACCCGCAGGCACGACGTCTGGACGATCACCTTTTTGGCGTGGCATGAAAAAGGACGTGACATAAGGCATCATGACCGGCACGCACTTGGCAGCCGAAACGGCGAGCGCAGGAATCTCGAGCGGAGGAACACCCAAGTGGTATAACCACTCTTGGGTAATTTCCTCGCCGGTGCAATCTTGCATGGGCTTCTTGACAAAGTCACCGGGCTGCTCCACGAGAAGTCCGTACAGCCAAACGACAATCTGGTCCTTGGGTTGGTTCTTGAAGTGCGGCTGACGATTCACGGTCCAGCTCAGAATCCAGCTCGAGTCGCGTGCAGTAACTATGCCTCCCGTAACCACTTTTCCGCTGAACGGATCTCGTTTGCATATCTTCTGTATATATTCGGGGATGCGTGAATCAAGAGTCGTGACTGTCGCAGACTGCCACTTCGTCTGGGAGATGTCACCGCAGAAAACCTCTGGCCGTCCAAACTCGGCATCTTTGGCAGCAATTCGCCGCCAAAGATCCCAAGCAGGTGCCGGTCCGTCTCGTATGACAGCAGGAGTTTGGCCATCTCCAAGGTCCGAATTCTCAGTCAGTGAGCCAATCGTCATGAACAAGAGGTCGTTCAAGCCGAGGTCCTTGCCACCGTCGCTTCCGCTCTGGGTCCAGTAGATTTTCGTCGCTCTTTTTCCGTCTGAAGTGTTTGCGAAGTCAACGTCGATTACTTCAGTTTCATACTGAAAATTGACTCCGTGCGATTCCAGCCAGCCCCTGAGAGGCAATACGAGAGACTCATATTGGTTGAACTTGGTAAACTTGAGAGTCGAAAAGTCGGGCAAGCCTTGGATGTGGTTCACAAATCTGTGAAGGTACAGCTTCATTTCCAGCGCCGAATGCCACGTCTGAAAGGCAAACATTGTCTGCCAGTAGAGCCAGAAATTGCTCTGGAAAAATTCAGGCCCAAAGACCTCGTCGATTCGTTTGTTCTCGACGTCTTGCCTGGTCATGAGAAACAACCTGACCATTTCTTTCTGAGATTTGTCACTGAGTGTAAAAAGAGTGCCCGTGCCAGCGTCGCGACCCTGTTGTTCAGTAGCTCTTTGCAGTGAAATGTTTGGATCGCGCTTGTTCAACCAGTAGAATTCGTCCAGAACACTTGCACCGTCTTCTTCCAGGGAGGGAACAGAGCGGAAAAGATCCCATAGGCACTCGAAATGAGCCTCCATCTCGCGTCCACCGCGAATAACGAACCCCTTCTCAGGGACCTCAAGTCCGTCCAATGCCCCGCCAGGAAGATGCGCAGCCTCCAGAATGGTAATGTTTTGACCTGGCATTTGGGCATCTCGCACTAGAAAAGCCGCGGTAGAAAGGCCCGCCAAGCCGGAACCTACAATCCAAGCGCGCTTGGTATCGATTCCAGCTGGTTTGAGCGGTCTGGCGAATGCTTCGTAATTGCCACTTGAGTAGTACATTGTGCAAGATTTAGTTGTGTTGTTGAAGAGTTGTGCTGTTGGACTTGGAAGAGGAGTTGGAGTCGGCTTTTAAATACCAGTCGAAATTGATCAGTTGTGCGCAGCTGACGGAGATTTTCTTCTCAAAGGCTTCGTAGGCGTAAACGGTGCTCAGAAACACAATCATACGATGCTTGTTCTACACAGCCTGTAAATTGCACGCCACTCGAGAAAACTCGCCGTGATACGGATCCGATTCTCCACTCTTGCGCCCGGTGGGCCGGAGCCTCTCGCCGGATCCGGCAGTTTCGGGGTCTTCACGAATTCGCCGGGGTGGATGCCTCATTGATATGATCCGACAACAAATAGAGCTACCATTCTTAAGGGAAGAATCAATGGTAGTCAGCTCATTAATGGTCTAAAACTATCTTGAGAGCTCGGCCGGTCGGCTCCGGGCTCCGCTTGCGCCTTTTGTCAGAAAGCCACTCCATGATGGGGCGGTGGCGTAAACAGCGGACATTCAGACAATTAGTGCTCGCTTCTACAAAGCTGTAAAGGCCGTTCTTTACGACCTCTAATCAGAACCTAGGCGATATCACCATCAACATTATCAGCACATCATGGCAGCCACTTGAGTTTGAGTGGTATAAATGGATATATTTGAAGCGTCTTTCAAGCCATCGATAGCTCCTAGAGTCATCGACTATGCAGAATCCGCACCTCTGTTTTCCGACCGTTATAGCAGCGCATGTGGGACATAGTGGTGATAAATTCATCATGTGTCACTGACATATTCATGTATTCATCGACTGGCCACTTTCGCTCTGTTTTGCTTAATCTACAGGTGTTAGTCCCCCAGTTGCAAAATAGCTGACGACTTCATGCTGGGCTGTACATCCAATTGCAGAATGTATTATTCTTCCTCATTCCTTCTCAGAAGTTTCCAGCTATTGTCGGCTTTTTGGCTTGGATCGTGAACGCGGTGGCTCGACTTTGGACAGACAAAGACCCTGGTATGCTCTTTCGGGCCTGTCGGTCGGTCTTGGGTTCAATGCTGAATCAGTTCGTGGTCAAGAAATGTATATTGAGAGTTTCAAATCTGTAAATGCGGTTGTTAGTCTCTGGTCGGTATGCGATTGAATCGAGTGAGACTTGCCTGCGATTACAACTAGCCCATATCCTCCACACGCATGATCGTTTGCCCTCTGTGACGAGGCCGAAGCCGCATATACAAGGAAGCCTTGTGCTAGCTATTTGCTCGTGATTCTGGCGCAAGTTCAGTTGCGCTTAAGCCCCAATCAGATCAGCGACATTCATGGGCATTTCGTCAATCTGAGTCGAGTAGTATACTGTGAATTTCAGTCAGTCTGTATTCATCCTGCAGCTGGCTGCATTACTCACACTCGATGTCGCGAAGAATGCGAACATCATCCGTAGTCACAAAATTGATGGCAACGCCCTTGCGACCGAAGCGACCGCTACGGCCAATACGATGGATGTAGTTCTCGCGGTTGCTAGGCAAATCGTAGTTGATGACCAAGCTCACTTGCTGCACATCGATACCGCGAGCCCAAACATCGGTAGAGATTAGAACACGGCTATTGCCTTGACGGAAGTCTTGCATAATGCTATCGCGCTCCTTCTGGGGCATTTCGCCGTGCATGCTGCTGACTGTAAAGTTGGCCTCGCGCATCTTGTCCGTCAGCCAGTCAACTTTGCGTCGAGTGTTGCAGAAGATGACGGCCTGGGTAATGGTAAGGGTATCGTAAAGATCGCAAAGGGTGTCAAACTTCCAGTCCTCCTTCTCCACAGCGATAAAGTACTGCTTCAAGCCTTCCAGCGTCAGTTCGTCACGCTTGACAAGGATTCGGACGGGGTCGGTCATGAACTTGGTGGTCATATCTAACACGTCATATGGCAGAGTAGCGCTAACAACGACGACCTGAGTTGCAGGAGGGAGGTGGCGGTAGACATCGTAGATTTGCTCTCGGAATCCCTTGTTCAAAAGCTCATCTGCTTCATCAAGTACCAGCATCTTGATATGACGCGTACGCAAATGGCGTCGGCGGATCATGTCGGCGACTCGACCGGGGGTGCCAGACACAATGTGCTGACCGTAGTCAAGCTTGCGAATATCCTCCCCGACGTTGGTACCGCCGATGCAGGCGTGGCACTGTACGTTCAAGTAGTCACCCAGCGCCATGACAACGGACTGGATTTGTGTCGCAAGTTCTCTCGTAGGTGACAGGACTAGAGCTTGTGACTCGCGAACAGCAGTGTCGATGACTTGCAGCATGCTAATAGAGAAAGTCGCGGTTTTACCAGTACCAGACTGGGCTTGTGCAATGGTGTCGCGGCCCTTGCAAACTTGAACGATGGCGCGTGATTGAACAGCCGAGGGCGATTCGTAACCGTAGGCATAGATGCCACGAAGGAGATTTTCTGCAGCATTCGGTCAGCGGTAGTGTTTGCGAGATGTCACTGCCATACACACCCTTCAGAGACATGGACTCGAAAGTAGGATGGACGGTGACCTCCTTGGAAGTCGAGAACTCCATCTTATCTTCCGCATTGCGGTCAATTCCACCTGAGCCGTCAGCCATAATTGCAATAGTGTAATTAGAAGATTATGAAGTGATAAAATTGAGGTGATGATCGTCACAGAAAGTGACACCAGTCGCTATATTTTTTTGCGGGTCGGAAATACTTCGGCCGCCTAGCTTCGCCGCCAACTTTGTCGCAAACCTTCAGCGCGTCAATCTCCTATATTCACGTCAATTTTGACGACATACTTCGAGTACCATAGGCTGTCGCGAGAGTTGATCAAGGCTGAGTATACGACACTCGGAAGAGCCTTCCACGCCGTCAAAATGCTCGTTCTGGAGGAACAGCGGTACATTCAAGAGGACCTCGAGCGCCTGGAGCAAGCGATTGCAGACCGTGTACGCGACGAACCGAAGCACGTAAGTATAAAGTGTGCAACATATTGTCATCGCAGATTTTAATTGGTATATTAGATTCGCGATCGATTGAACAGAGATCACGAAGTTGCGCAGCTCCTCGATCAGATCCAATCGCAGTCGAAGGCTCTGCTAGCCATTTACAAGGACGAAACTGGCAGCCGTGCGCAAGAAATCCAGCAAATCGGCACCGGTGATCCCTTTGCAGAATTTTACAAAGAAGCTGAAAATATAAGAGCTCATCATGCGCGATATCCCAACGAACAAGCAGAAAATTCGGAGCAGCGATACCGTTCTCGGCGGCCGGACGAGACTGATATGCCCTCCATCGTCGACACTATTTTCAGTGGCGAAGAGGCGTACGGCCGATTCTTTGACCTAAATTCCGCATATGATGCTTATCTCAATCTTCCCAACGTCAAGCGATCCAACTATCTACAATATCTTGAGATCTTTGATCACTTTACACCTGGACAAGGAGGCCTGAAGAGAGCCGACAAAATGACAGATCAGTATTTTAGCTATGTTGGTGGTCTGGCAGACTACTTGGAAAGCTTTCTGCGTCGTACACGGCCTCTCGAAGATGTGGACAAGATATTGTCCTCTTTTGATGACGATTTCGATGCCCAGTGGCAGAAGGATGAGGTGGATGGGTGGCAAAATACTGCGCCTGCGAACGGCAGCGCCAATAACCTCAGCAGTCCCGATGCCGTTTGGTGCGAAGACTGCGAAAAGGAGTTCAAGAACGAAAACGTATACAAAAACCATTTGACGGGCAGAAAGCATATCAAGGCTGCTGAGCAAAGGAAAGCCAGGCAGAATGAGTCTGCTCACAACTCTACTGGCGGAGCCGTAGTCTCAGCTACGCGACTCAAGGAACGTGCTATTGCTCAACGTGAGTACCGCGTGAAACGTCTCGCAAGTGCTATGAGTACGGAGCGCAGCGACACCAGGGTCAACGTGGAGCGCAAGCAGGGCATGACGGAGCGCGAGCGGCAGCAAGAACTGGAAAATCTTTTCCACTCTACCGAAGAACAGCGGCAGCCTACTGGAGACGGCGAGGACGAAGATGATGACGACGACGACAAGATCTATAACCCTCTGAAGTTGCCGCCAGGCTGGGATGGCAAGCCTATCCCCTACTGGTTGTATCGTCTGCATGGCCTTGGCGTCGAGCTGGAGTGCGAGATTTGCGGCAACTACGTATACATGGGAAGGCGCTCATTCGACAAGCATTTTAATGAGGCTCGCCACCTGTACGGCCTCAAGTGTCTCGGCATCACTAACACAACCCTATTCAGAGACATCACCAAGATTGACGAAGCACTGAAGCTGTGGGAGAAGATTCAAAGGACAGAGAAGAAGGCCAAAGTTGACGAGGGTAGTGTCGTGCAGATGGAGGATGGAGAGGGCAATGTCATGCCCGAGAAGGTGTATTATGATTTGCAGAAGCAAGGTTTGCTGTAAAATTTGGTAATTATAGACACCATATATAGTGGTTGGGGCCAGGAGTCATAGCGGCGTCAAGGGGCATTGCCAATGATTAATTTCGTTACAATAATATGCATTCGTCCTACATCACGATTGACATGTCTATAAGGTAGGCATTGAATGGCAACCGCTCATGTTGCATTGTAGCCTTAAATTTTGGCCGTAGCGGCCTGGCCTAGTCGCGTAAGGAGCTCTCCACCCCAATTCACACCTCTTGTTTTCTGACTTCCACATAAAGTCAACAAACACACGTGCAAATGATTCAACGATAACAATGACAAGCTTGCATAAGCCACTTCCGGCACTATACACAGTCTACGTCTTGCGATCGACGGTCCGCCATGCCTCGCTCTACATTGGCTCGACGCCGAACCCGCCGCGACGACTAAAGCAGCACAATGGCGAGACAAAGGGCGGCGCCGCGCGTACCGCCCGCGACAAGTTACGGCCGTGGGAAATGGTTGCGCTCGTCTCCGGCTTCCCGAGCTCTATTGCCGCGCTCAAGTTCGAATGGGCGCTCGCGAACCCGCACCTGTCGCTGCATATCCCTGCCGACGAGCGCCTGGCCGTCTCGACGCAGACCAAGCGCAACGGGCGCCCGCGCCGCCCGGCACTGAGCATGCGCTCCGTCATGTCCAACATTCACCTGCTGACAGGCGTGGCCAGCTTCGTGCGGTGGCCTCTGACGCTGCACTTCTTCGCCGAGGAGGCGCACAAGGCGTGGAAGACGTGGCTGAAAAAGGCCGAGAACCCAGCTAGACCCGGCCTGCGCGTGCTGACCGACTTTGTGGACGACACGGCGGGTATCCTGGGCCCGCACGACGACCAGGCGGGCATCCAGGCGCTGCCGCTCGATTACGCGCCCGTCAAAGACTACGTGCAAAAGGCGCAAGACGTGGTGATGTTTGAAAAGGAGGGCCGCTGCGTGCACTGCGACGAGGAGATGGCATCAGGGCAAGGACTGCATGCCATGTGCCCAAATGGGGACTGCGTAGCCATGGGGCATCTGGATTGCTGGAGCAAGCACGCGCTTGCTGGCGAGGGCGACCCGGAGGCCATCCTCCCGCAGACGTGCTTTTGTCCGTCGTGTGGCGGCGAGGTGCGCTGGGGAGAAATGATGAAAGAACTGACTCTGCGAGTGCGAGGTCAAAGCGAAATCGACAAGCTACTCAAGGTCAAGAAGCGAGGAAGAAAGGCGACGTGACATCGACACATCGCAGGATGGGACTACGTGAATGATGCGTAGCAGCCGCTCCCCTCTTTCAAAATCTGGCATGTTTCGTCTGAACAATACTTTCTCAACGATAGCATCGATTTCTGGTCTCCTGGTCTCCGCCAGAACCGAGTGTGGTTATGTGACAAAGAGAGAATTCTTTGGATCACCAGCAATTCAAGAAAGGAAGACAATGACTTTTCTTGGAAGCAAGAAGCAAATCAGCCAAATGGCGAGAATCAACTCGGGGATCAAAGGACCGACTCAGTCAGAAAAGGCCTTTGTCGTGTGGCTCTCCTGCAAGCTGGAAATATCTATGTATCGAGTCACCATCTGCTATGAATTGAACTGGGCTCAATTTGGCCCCATACTGTCGATTTTTTTTTTTTTCCACGATGAGCGTCGAATCTGTTGAGGTAAAGGACCGCAACACTCGGCGGAAACTCTTGCGCAAGTACGATGGAGGCCTGAACAGGCGCCTTCAATACAGGGAGGGATCACTGATTCACACTCACTACCTCATATACAAGCAGACCGACAAGGACTTCGACACGGCAACCAAGGCCTACAGGACGGCAGCGCTCGAGCTGGCGGAGTCGTAGAACGGCTCCCAGTACAGTTCCGACAGCCACAGAATCCTCACGAAGATCGCGCACGCAGCCGTCACCGCCGCCATTTTAGCCGCGAACCTGCGCAAGCAGTTCAACGAGGCGTGCGGCGACGTGTTGACGATGAAGCGCCAGCTCCACGGGCACATCAAGCGCGAAAAGGCCCTCCGCGGCAGGGCGCAGCGGTACCTCAGCCTGCATCGGCAACACGCAGCCGCAAGCGATGAAACATTGCGCAAGACTCTTCGGGGCGAGGCTCATCCGAGGGTTGCGATTTACCCTATGCAGGTCTAGATTTCATGAGAATAGATTTCTTGCACCCATCAAGCATGATTAGTTTCCGATCGAGAAATACCGATTTATTTCGTGATGATGCGCTACGACCTACACGCTGTGCTACTCTTGCATATGTGTACCCATGGTCTTATTTCCTGCGCCCCTTCTGCCGGCCAAAAGTTGATGACGAAGTCTGCGCCCTGTTCCGAGAAGCGAGCCGATGTGGCACGGCTCTGACGAAAGCTGAATCTATGATGATCGACACTAAAGAGATCGCCACTAAAGAGAAATCTTGAAAATCGGCCAGCAGAGAGTCAGCTGATACCGGGCCAAACGGGTTGATAATGAGGTCGAGATGAGCCAGGGCCCGTCCAAGATTGCGAGAGTGTCAATGGTCACAGTTGCATTTCGATGGAACCTCCTGCAGAGGCCAATTCATGTGGCGTCAAAGATATCGTGATTTGCTTCTCTACCAGCTCGGACTGCTTCTTGGGCGTGGATTTGATGCCATGCACCTCGTTGAACCACTTTGAGGTCCAATCGTAGATATTGTCGTACTGATAACCACGATTGCGGGAAGCGCAGCAAAAGAGCTCGCGAAGATGATCATAATCTGGCTTTTGCCCATGCTCTAGCGAACGGATGTGTCGGAAATACTCGAAGAATTCTTTTGGCAGGCCCTTGCACATCTTTCGGACAGATGGGCGTTGTAGTTTGCATCTCCGTGGCAACTGTAATACATCGCAGTTGTTGTTTTACAGTTGATGATCCAGTTGAGTTTCCCCCCATAGAATTCTAGAAGAACATAGCCAAGGGACTCTAGGTCATCGGCCCAGGACCATTCTGTATGGGATGTCAATGTCGGTCTGGTCAGCTTCAGGGGGGGGGGAGAATACGCAACCTTTTCCATCGATGATGTTCGGACTGGCGTACAAATCGGTAGAGAAAAATCCTTTCCCATGCCTGGACTTCCATTCCTCATCATGGCCAAATTTTCTGGCTGATCCAAAGTCAAGAAAATAAAGCAAGTTGCCGTGTTCGCCCTGTCCCATGGCCATGTTGGCTGGCTTGATGTCGCCATGCAGATACCCTTTGCTGTGGATAAACTCCAGTCGCTCGATCGCTTGGTCGGCAATGAGGAGTGTCGTCTTGAAAGAGAAGACTCTGAACTGGTCGAGTAGAGCATAAAGTGTCGGACCCAGCAGTTCCTGCGCAATGACGTGGTATTCACATTCGTCGCCGGACCAGTATATCGTGGGAATACCCTTGTTCCCGTTGATATCGTCGAGGACATTCCCGTTGATATCGTCGAGGACAATCCCGTTGATATCGGCGAGGACACGGGCCTCATGGATGGGGAACTTGAGCTCGTTCTTGTCCTTGAAATGATAAAGTTTCAGCGCGACCTCCCGGCTGCCATTCTGGAGGTCCGTACCTGAGTCGTGGCGTCAGTGAGGGAGGGCGCAAGAGGAAAAGTGCTCGGGGCCATCATACCAAGATAAACAAAGCTGAAACCGCCCTCAGCTATCTTGAATTCAAGGTTATATCTGTTGTTTATTACAAACTAGAAGTGAAATTCTTTGTTAGTAAGCTATCAGCGATTAGTCTAGTGAGCCATACCCTCATGTTTCCATCACCAACAAGTCTGACTGCTATCGCCGCTTGGTTGTTGATACAGTAGTAGCTAGGACTCAAAAAGAAGGAAGGAGGAAGCGAAGAGCATCGAGGCGGAATCCGTCCCTCTTTTTTTTTTTTTTAATTAAATTTCTCCTGTTTGCTTCTCGTAGATTCTGCTCATCGTTGACGTGCCGTGACAGCTGGCACGGCCTGTCTGGCCTCTTGCCGCCTATGGGTGCCACCATTTGAAAGAACATGGTACTGTGTGAGACATTACAAGTCGTGTGACGTGTGAATCATTGACGAAACTCGTCAGCATAATAGTTGATGTTTGCGCCACTTGGTGCTCTGAGCGCTTACATCATGATCCAGGTTGACAGTACCAAAAGGCAAAGCTATCTACTGGAAATGATCCCTAACAAGATAGGACTGAAGAACTGCTTTTGGAGATTACGGACCTTTTGCTTGGGATTAAATTCAATTTCGTTTCAAGTCTCTTTTTTCGGGAGGATCTTGATGAATCAAGACCTTTGCATGGTGCCCAAATATAGACGCTCGACACACAACGGATGACTCATACCAAAATAGAATACGGGATACGCCAAGAGAAACGGCAGGCAGCGACATCCTATTCTGCAGGTTGTGTCATCTGGGCCCTGAAATACTTCATGTCACACAACCAGCCTGCCAGTGTCGCTCTCAACGTTACAGCGGCGCCAAAGCATCTTGCACCACGCTGTCCAGCTGAAAGAGAAAGGCGGATATATCATTACTTGTGCAAAAGTTCAACTTCTCAATCTTGATTTCTCTCAGAAAGAGCCGATCAGCTGGCGAGATCAAGCTGAACGTAACTGGGAACCAAGTATACATCACTTGAACCTTCATCGTCCAGCTTGGCTTGCTGTTGTTTCTCTTTGCCACCATGTACAAACAAGACTTCGGTGAAGCGTTTTTTGCTAGACTGCCAAAGGTTTACATGACGGAAAAAGCGTTGGAACATTTTAATCGGCAGAACGAGCTCAAGGGTGCTGCTCGGCTCGTTATTGCGTAAGATGGACCACTCAGTAAGGTCAAGCACGAGTTTGCGAGCAATGGCGGCCCTAGACTGCATTGGGTGCAGGGCGTGAGTTGAGTTTCATACAGAATGATGAGATTCATGTGCTTTTGTGTCTCGGCCTGCGGATGAGCTGATGGATCCCCTCCTCTGCTAACACAACCTCTCTGCAACAGGAGTCCGATTCAATAGGCCTGCCATCTCCAAGAAGCTTGACAGCAACGCGGCGTGAACTGTTTTCGGGCGAAGAACACAAGATGGTGGCAAGATCCGGCGACAGGGATTCGACGGCATACGATGCCAACTTCGAGCTCTGCCTCCAGCAGCAGGGCATCTTCAGGGAGTCTACTCGGTTTCCTGACGGAACACAAATCCCTGAACCAAGAAACTTGCCAGAAATCAACAAGATACTTTTCGAAAGACGAAATGATTTGCAACCGCCCAGGTTAGATGAAGCAGACTTCACTTCGTTTGCGAATAACCACGAGTTCTCGCCCCGCCCCGAACCGATGCGGGCCATTATACCTACCATCATCGGCCCTGAAACCTACGAACAAGTCTCCAAGATACGATTTCATATAGAGCCCATAGGAGACATTCCCTTTATTCACTCGGCTCCAGACATTTTTGATTGCGCTCGGCGTTACGATCTACACAGGGACATTTACCGTGGTTTGTACCGCCGAGTCATTCCAGCGCGCGCGCGCGATGGAAACCCCGATCCAGCAGTGCCGAACTGGTTTGTCGAGGCCAGAGTTTGGGCTTCGAATACGGAGGAATGCAAAAGACGAATTTGCTTCGTAGGCGCGTACGGTGCCCGCGCTATGCACGCTCTCCAGATTTTATGGCAGAAGAGCAGAGGAAAAAGTCTACGACGGCAACGCATATACCTTTAGTGTCGTCTACGTGCGCGAGTCCCGCTGTCTGGAGGTATTTGCCCATCACATGGCGAGGGCTGGCAATGGGCAGGAGCAATACTTTATGACCAAGCTTTACGAATTCAACATGGTTGACAAGGACTCGTTCCAAAAAGGCATCATGGCCGTTAGGAATGTAAGAGATTTGGCCAGAAAGTATCGAGGAGAGGTTATCGAATTTGCCAATGACCGCGCCGTCAAGCTACGAAGCGAGATTGATGCTAGGTATGCAGGTAGGGTACCGTCGAGCAAAGGAGAAGCGTCTAGCTGTCCAGAGGCGGCAGTGCAACGTTTGGGGGCAATGTTGAAGCGGACCAGGCTAGATGATGCGGTTGAGAAGGATAAAGAGGCACCTAATGCAAAGAGAAGAAATGCAAAGAGAAGACATGCAAATGATGGTGAGCAGGACTTGGTACTGGATCCCGAGGAAATGGACTGCGAATAAGCCATACTTGCTGTCAAGAGTCTGGTTCTTGTTGCTTGCGCCGCAGCCTAGGCTCTGCTTTCTACTTGGGCATATCAAATTTTGTTAGTCGACTAGTCAACTCTTTTCACAATTCTCAATATTCTTTTGCTTGACAGTCAGTTTTAGCGATAGGCTAAACTCTAAACAGCCTGTATGTATATACTGCATCCATCTAGAAATTGTCTCAGGAATCACGAGTAAAGATTTAATATTCCCCTTTTACGAAGCTACTCGTCCGCTTCCGTCTCTGGCGTCTCAGCCTCCAGCATGCCGCCTCTCTGGTTCTCCCAGAGCGAATAATACTTTCCTCCCAGACGCAGCAGCTCCTGATGCGTGCCACTTTCCACAATCTGCCCTGCATCGAGCACAAGGATCTGGTCTGCGCGCACGACAGTCGACAGCCGATGCGCAACCACAAACGTCGTGCGCTTCTCGCTCACTCTTCCGAGCCCCAGCTGAATCGACACTTCCGTATTGGTGTCAACAGCACTCGTAGCCTCATCCAGGATCAGGATCGGCGGATCTTTGAGGAAGACGCGCGCAATGGCGATGCGCTGCAGCTCACCGCCCGACAGCCGCGTGCCAGACTCGCCGACCTTGGTGGCGTAGCCGTCGGGGAAAGACAGAATGTGCTCGTGGATGGCGGCGGCACGACACGCATCGTGAATCTGCTCGTCGGTGGCTGAAAGACGCGCATAACGGAGATTCTCCATGATGGTGGCGTTGAACAGCAGCGGATCCTGGGGCACGAGGCCAATGACGTCGCGCAGGGAGCCCTGCGTTACGGAGCGAATGTCAGTTCCGTCGATGGTGATGCGCCCACCCGTGATATCGTAGTAGCGCATCAACAGCTTAGTAATGGTCGACTTGCCGGCACCCGTGGCACCGACCAGCGCAATCGTCTCACCGGGCGCTGCAGAAATGTTGACGTCGTGAAGGGCTCCCTTTCGCGCGTCGTAGGCAAAATCAACATGCTCGAATCTGACCTCGCCTTTGACGGGGCCCAACGGCACGGCGTCGGGATCGTCTGTGATTTTCGGCTCCGTCTTGAGGAGCGCGAGCAGGCGCTCGGCGTCAATCAGGTCCTTCATGAGGTAGCGGTAGTCTTGAGAGAGGTACTTGAGCGGCCACAGGAGCATTTCCCAGTACTGCACTAAAAAGACAAAGTCACCTGGCGAAGCACGACCGGCGTATATCTCACGGGCGAGGATGAGAGCAAGGCAGAAGAATGTAGTGGGCATGATGACGCCAAGAATGGCTTCAATATAAGCGTCGCGGACGCCCCAATTGAACTTTGCGCGGTTGTTGGCGCCGACGGCGTCACCGTAGCGGCGTCTCTCATGGGAAAACATGTTGAAAGCCGATACAGTTCGCCAGCCCTGGACAGCTTGGTGCATGATGCGAGTCTGCCGGCGCTCTGCTTTTGTGACACGCCGGCGATTGTCGATATTCCAGCTCGAGGTCACAATTTCGACAGTCAGAAAGAGAACGGCGGCGGTGACCATGGTGACGGCAACAGCAGCGTTAAACTTGGCGTAGAGAACAACAAAGGCGGTGCCGGTATCGAGGACAGTGGGCATCATCTCGAGAATGGCCGTGTCGAGGATATTGGTGAGCGCCTCGCCCTGTTCGACGGCCTTCATGACCTCGGCAGAGTCTTGGCTGTCGTGAAAGTTCATCTCGAGGCTCATGACATGGCTAAAGGCCAAGTTGGACAATTTCTTGAAAGAAAACTGCTGCACAGGTATTTTTGTCAACTTTTCGACAAAGCCAATACCACAGTCGCCATCGAGCAGAGTGAGCAGGTAGTACACTAGCAGCGCCTTGATAGGCAACGTGCCCGAAACGAGCTCGTCAGCCACTCTGCCCAGCTGCTGTGGGACAATGATGGTAAGCGCTCTCCCTGTGAGGACTGCGAGTATGCAGATGACCAGGCAGGCCTGGACCTTGACGTCGTTGCGGGGAATGAGGCTCGGCAGGAACACTTTGAAGTTGCCGAGGTACTCGATCCAGCTTCCGCTCTTGCGAAGTCGACTAGCTGCAGAGTCGAAATCGTCCTCGGAGTCATCGCTGGCGACGGATGCGGTATCGCTGTCCCTGTCACTTTGAACCTTGGCCGGGGAATCAGCACCAAGGGTGTGCGAGTCAAAGGAGCTGTGAGAAGACCTTGCAGAAGCACTGTCTGCAAGCAAAGGCTGCGCCTCGTCGTCCAGTTTCTGTTCAGGTCTCGATGTCTTGCGCAGCCATCTCGCACTATCCACAAGGAGCAGTAATGTAATGACGAGACGCACAACCTGTGGTATGTAAATGCGAGTCGCTGTCCCAGAGACAACCTCAATCACTAATACCGGCCCACCGAGCACAATGGCAAGAAGCGATAGGGAAAATAAGTCGACAACCAGCAATCTCTTCCGCAAGCACATCAAAATCCAAGCCGCAAATGTATAAACCAGGCTGAGAGTATGTTCAGTGGACGCCACAGGCACTGGCGTTTGAGTGCTCAATAGTACGGCCTCGGCGCCGAGCGTTGCTAGCAAGGCGCCGACTGCGACTAGGCGCACAATACTCCGCGATACTGTGTTGAAGGAGGCATTATCCTGTGCGTAATGTGCGACGAAGCTGAAGAAGGTGTAGGTAAGCGCAGTGAGTGTCAGAGCCACATAGAGGCCCTGCGCGACTTTGGCGAGCGCCACCATTGTAAAGAACGCGCTCCTACGCGCAGCAAATTGTCGGCTAACGACGCGATTTATTTGCTTTTTCTGCACTGATGCGGCGCGAGAGTTGGCGTGAAACGAAGAATAGGAGAAGAAGGGGTTTTAATAAAGCATCAGTTCATAGCGAAGCACTCTAACGGGCTGTTGAGCCCTTGGGCGAGCCCTTTTTTTTTATCAAAAGTTTCGCAAAGGAGGCTGTGCAGCTCGTCGTTCGCCAGATGACTCAGAGTTGTTGCTGACAAGGCCAGACAGAGTGGCGATGCCTTGAGGCCCTGTTGATGAGTCAGGACGAAGATCTTGCCCACTCATTTGTGTAGATGAGTGACGTGTAAAACAGGAGTAAATTCTCCGGTTAACATATTCGATGAAACTTGGTTGCGTCTTGACGGAAAGGAATATAAATCGCCAAGCTGTTAAGGATGTCAGCGGGGCGATTTTAAACGGCAAGTTCGGTAACGCCACGCCATCGCCAGTCTGTGGCTGCAGCAACTCTCATTATGAGTATGTGTTAGCGTCATCTGAGAATCGAAGCGGCTTGCAATTGGACGGATGCATGTAGCTCCAAAGGCTGTACTTCATCCTGCGGCCTAAAGATACGGAGGAATGTTAGCTCCGCCCTTCCCTATCAAAGCTTTACACAAGCCAGTCGTTGAGAGCAGAGCGCCATCTTGTCCTTGCATAAGGAAAGCAAATAATTTTCACTCGTTCGCTGTGCAGAGTCATCCTGTTCTGCCGCAGGTTTGGTGTCTCAGAAAAACACGTACAGTCAGACGGGGGCAAAGGACGCGAAGCGCGATACATACTACATTTGGCGACGAGTCACAAGAAACAATATGTTCATGCTGGCGGATGAGAAACATGATTGCGCTTCACGTCTTGACATCAGACGAAGAAAGAATTCCTGCATACTCAGCAGCTAATAAAGGTGGTAAATGCGCACAGCCCTATGAGCCCGCTGTCTCTTTAGCGCGCTACAGTATCATGATGACGAGTTACGTAAGTTTGGCCTGGTTCTTGATATTTGCATTTCCTCTTGCGTATGGCTCAAGACTTCTTTTGGGCTCGCTTCTTGTACAATTCTTCCAGGGACATGACCAATTTTTTCCCGCGCCAAAATCATCTTGAACTAATTGTCGCAACGCGCCCTCGCCTCACGTCAGCTCCTCCGCTCAGGTGCCCATTTCCACTGGCGCTTGATTGAGATGACGAGCATGGGCGATTGGCTGGCCACTGAAGCCATAATCGCGTGGAATGTCGTTGTGCGGAGCAAATGATGCTACGCCATGAGATTTGTAGTACAACTCAGCACCAGGAGCTGGCGGAGAGCAGTATGATGGCGGATAGAGATTGTTGTCGCCGCTCGAAGCCGATACCTTTTGCGCCTCTTTGTTCTTGCGCATCCTGTACCGCACAAAGAATGCCGCGGCGCCGATAATGGCAAGAGCACCGCCCACCGCCCCTACCGCAATGCTAGTCTTGGCACCCGTTGAGATGCCTTTACTATTTGACGGGGTTGGAGTTGGAGTTGGAGTTTCCTGGCTGGTGGCTGTAGTTTGCTGGTCGGTGGCTGTAGGGGTGGGAGTTGCACCGGCCGAGGACGAGGATGTCGAGGGAGAAGCTTTCAAAATGATAAAGTAACCAGATACCATGTGATTCGCCTTTTCAGGATGACCCTGGTTCGAGTAGTCGCCCTGAAAGAGCCAGAAAAAGAATTTGTTGGAATAATCGAGGTCAAACCCGTACAGCTGTACAACCCAGTCGAAACTTTTCGATCCGCCGTCTGTTGTCACTATTTCCAAAAAAAAAAAATCGGGTTAGCTTGTAAAAGTATCAATCTCGCACTCATCTCTGCCTTGTTTGAATCCTCTTTTCAAGTATTCTCGACCTCGCAGTCGCGTTTGCACTTCTGAAATGAAGAGAAAATCAATGCAGAGAGACTGAGGACGACCGACGAACCATATAGGGCTGGGCCAAGTATGGCTCCTCCGCCTTGAGGCAGCTGCTGCCATAACGCAATGGTGTAATTTTTATAATCTATACCGCGATACGTGACACGGATAGGCTGTCCGAGGATCAAGATTTCATTCTGCGTTCCTGGGTTTGTAAACTCGCACGATATGGGCGGTGCAAGGAAAATTAGCTGCAAGACAAATAGCATAAAGGCTACCATGTTTCTTGAAACTGTGCCCGAATTCAAGGACAGATTTCTACCCTGAAGCATGAAGCTAGCTCAATGCCATGCTTGGGCTTCAAAGTTTCTGTAGTGTGAGCGGCTGAGGATGAATTGAGGCCAGACAATAGTCGAGTGAAGAGACGTGAGCAGATGAGCGGGCGAGCAGCTCTACAAAGTCTCAAGTCCAAATTCTTATCATTTATTATTTACAACTACTGAGAATTACGAGACGCCACAAGCCTCTTGCTGTACTGAAGCCATCGTGGCAAGGCTGCTGGGTTCAACATGGGTACATGCAGGACGGGGCGTAGTTCATTGTCCCTCATCATTTGGCATACCCAATCAGGCATTGTATTCTGGAGGTTCGTACACCGCCTGCAGTCGAGAACCGGTGCAAGATTCCGCTTCGCTCTCTCCTGGAACGGCGGGCGATTATTTCCGTAAAACCTTGATGGCCTTTCTGTTGGCTTTGCCAGGCCTTGCAACCGCGCGCTTGAATTCTATACTTGGGTGCATTCCAGTGAGGCTTGCAAGCCACTGTCTCTGATAAAGTCAGGCGCAGTCCTCTACAAGGGGATTCTTTACTACGCCAGCACAAAGGTAAATATCAACAATGACCAAAAAGAGTTACTTTTGACGCTCAGTGTGTAGAAGGTTTTTAAAGGCCGTTTTTTACCCTTACATGAATGGTGGTGTAAACATTCTAGACGTTGGCTGGTTGTGTACCGGTAGACTAGATGAGCGTGGCGAAAGTCTGCTTTCGAGACACCGACAGCAATTTTCTTTCGGCCGCCCGAGTACAGAGAAGGCCTTGAGGCGGATGTCTCTGCCAATGATACCACAATGGTTCCTGAAGATGAACAAGCCACGTACAACCCAACGTGTACCAAGTGGTTTGCCGGTCTCGTTATGGCTGGCCAAGGTGTGTTGAAGCCTAGTGCAGGGTGCAAAATCCGGCCAACCAACCGAGGGCAAGGATATGATAGGCAACCGTGGGGGCTAAAGCGGGAGTCGAGGCGGGAAATGTGGCTTATGCGAGTAGAGTCACAGCTATTTCCGTCCTTCTCCAATCAGAAATTCGCCAAAGAGACGCAACGAACCCCCAGCGCTTAAAGGCGGGGGAAACAAGTTCCGCTCTGGCTGCGGACAATGTCATGATTTTGTGAGTTTATCTACATTTAGTTACGGGTGTAGCCAATCTTTCTTTAGTTTCCATACTTTCCCTTGAACGGTATATTTGATGTGGAAACACAAGTCTGTTCTGGTGCGACAGAGCAAACTTGTCCTATAATACTTGCTTCCAAGGCAGAATTTCCCACAGGCCCAACAGCCCAGCATGATTCAGCAACTCCCTCGTCGGTCATTATGGACTGTCATATTGGCCATATCTCTCACAATTGTACTCTTGCTTGGAGTACCGAGACCTCTGCTCACTACTAAGCTGGTAGCGCAAGGACAAGGTGCGCTACAACATATTAACAATGCGACATTGGGTGTAAGTCTCCCGGCCCGCCTTGGCGATGTTTTTTCTATACCGAGTATGGCCGAGAAGAAATAGGCCTCACTAATACGGTTTTTTTTTTCCCCTGCATAGTTTGAGAAGATTTTTGTTGTCGGCTTGCCGGAGCGGACCGATCGCCGCGATGGTCTAACGCTTCAGGCGGCGCTTAGCAATCTCAAGGTAGAATTCATGGACGGAGTCAGGGGCGAGCACATTGCTGAAAAGGCCATTCCGGTCACGGAAGATGGTGTGACCCTTGATGCACCCGTATTAGGCTGTTGGAGGGGCCACATGAATGCTGTCGCCGAGTAAGTCCAGGCGCGCTTATACAGCGTACAAAGTGAGACTGACTGTGCAATAGGGTAGTTCGACAAAACCTCTCTTCTGTCTTGATCCTCGAAGACGATGCCGATTGGGATGTGAGAATCCGTCAACAATTACAGGATTTTGCGCTTGCCACAAGAGCTCTTACTCAGCCACTGGCAGGGTCTTCTCACTCAAACCCGTCCTACGCTGACGTTACAATGAATGACCCTTCGCAGCCCGAGGGTCACGAAATATCCTTTCATAATCTCCCCATGACCCTACCTCCGACCCTTTCACCCTACGGCGATGATTGGGATCTCCTCTGGGTTGGAAATTGTGGACTGCACTTTCCCTTTCCGCAGTCAACCAACATACCCAAAGGCCGTGTCATCTACGAGGGCGATACAACCGTGGCACCGCAGCGTAACCTTTGGTCCATCAACGTGCCGTTTACCCTAAAGGAAAAATATGCACAACATACTCGAGCGATACATCACGCGCAGGAAGGCGTCTGCACCGTAGGCTACGCGCTGAGCCAGCGGGGTGCAAGACGAATTCTGGAAGAGATTGCCCTCAAGCCCGTCACGGACGCCTACGATATTTTAATGCGCTTCTTCTGCGAGGGCACGCATGGCAGAAAAAAGGGCATCTGCATTGCACCGCAGCCGCCGTATTTCCATTCTCATCGGCGGGCAGGCCTACCGGGCGCAATGAGTGATATTGGTGACCACAAGGGCGCGTATAGAGAGGAGGCAATGACAGACATGGTGCGCTGGAGTGTACGCTTGAATTCTGCTCTTATTTTGGACGGTCGTACAGACTATGTCGACCAGTATCCTGACGAATGAATTCGATCATGGGTATACACTGTTTCCGGTAGCTATACTCTGCCGCTTCATGGATCCGAGTCGGAGAGAATAGACCAGCGGGAAGCACGGGAAATCTTTGACCAATCTCGTGTTCAAAAACATCATAATAAATGTACATAATTGGATTCACTTTTTCATTGTGCGCTGCGGCCATAGTAGACCTGCATCATGGCCGAGCGGCCCAAAAAACAAAAATCATGTACGGGGTAGATCGCACGGCTTTTAGACCATGTAGGATCGGGCTTTTGGGCTGAGATGCATGTCTTGGGCCAACTCTAGCGGAGCAACGGCTCCAACGCCCCCTCGTCCAAAAAGCGCGAGGATCTGGCAGCGGGTCATCTCTAGTTACGGAGTACGAGTGGCCCAAAAAAGCTGACATCTTTCTGTTCCATGCTGTTTCATTGCGGCTGGTGTTTTTCAGCATGGAAAAAATGGCTGGTTCTATGTGAGACACTGGTCATGGTTCCCCATTGCCGTGACCTTGCCATGCACGATGTAAGCTGATGTACACTTTACCTCCCTCGACTTCTCCTTCATCAGGGAGTATCCTAGTTGTCATGTTACTAACCACAATGCATTGACCTGAGATGAACTAGCTTATAGATCTGCACTTTTTTATTTCCAAGATTAGCTGCCTCCGGACGACGGCTGTAGGTCTCATGTAGGGGAGAAATACGACATGAAGTGGTACTTACTTGTACGGAGAAGAAGCTGTGTTGACAAGAGGGATTTGTTATTTCTCTTTTGACCATTTTGGTATTTTCGTCGCCAATACCTACTTGGTGGCGTTGTAGCTCAGGTACAGCCTGATGGACTGTAAGACCTAACTTAGTGAGTAACCGGACTAGAAGCTAATAGCCACTCGTTCAGAGCTTCCTCAAAGGCTGCAGGCGCGATTTGGAGTTAGTAAGTGTACTTTCAACATTTAGAAGTTGCCGTCAAGGGCGTGATCGTAGTCCGGCTTCTCGCCGGTCACAGGAAGGGATAAACTGTCTTGGAACTCCCTAGCTAGTCAGTCAAGTAGCCACGCCCTTTCATTGTGACAGGGGTAGCATGGTCGCCTATAGGCTGCCATAGGGCGCCTGAACAATGTGGTTCTGGATCAGACGGGCGGCCAAGTCGATTGACTACGTAGTCACATAGTGCCCCTCGAAATCTCCGCTTGGTTATTCAACCCATGACCCCTGTGCAGTCTCACATTGGCGAATCAACATGTATCAAGCCATTCATTTGACAGGTAGCTTACTTGCACAGCAAACTGCAAACATGTGACAAGTTACCCGTCGCCAAATGTGACTTACCGTCTTTTTTTTTTTTTTTTTTTTTTTTTTCTCCGTTTCTATCGCTTGGTGATGCTACACGGCAGGCTCTGAGACAGTAGCAAGTTTTTGCAGCGAACGCCACTTCGGTACGGATTACGCACTCCTGACACTGTTGCCTGTTGCTACAATGCAATGGCAGTCGTTATTGTAGGCGCTTCCGTGCAAGCGCTCTGAGTCGTAATCATCACTGCTACACGGGTAGCTTTATGCAAGCTCGTGGCCGAGGCTCGATGCAACTTGCCAAGACATCGGATAAAGAACTTTATGAATTCATTCAAACAGATCACTTAGTTTCATCTCAAAAAGTGTATAATATGAGATTGTCAGTTTCTCCGCAAAGAGTCTACTACGTAATGTCACTTTCACGCCCCCAGTATGCGGTATAATCGCGCGAAACCCCCGCCACAAGTGGGATTCCCGCCCGGCACGATCCATGACTGCTGTCAAATCGATCGCCGGGCTCAAATTTCCCGGTTCAAAGGCAGCGGAAGCTCGGTCCTCCGGCCGTCCGACCATCCAACATTGCAATGGGACCGAATGATTGAATGATTGCCCGCCATTCAGCCCATGACACGTCATGTCCTCTGCCCCTGTCTTGCAAATGCGTTGGCCGTCGAGATTGCGCCGAATCATGTAGGGGGGAAATACCAAGCCCCAGGATATTCCTGATTTGTGGAGTGGTAAAGGACCGTTTTCACGTACACATCATGCTTTGAGTACATGAGATGATTGGATGACAACCTCAGAAAAAGGTCAATTCGGCCAGAATTCTGAATTGTCTCAGACTAGACTGTTGAATTGTTTATCCGTTCTTTGCACTCACCGCTTCACCTCGCAGACTAAAGCTGCCTAGCCTTGGTATACTCTGGTGATGAGCTAGTGACGACGGGCATAATACGTACATTGCGACTTCAGCTTCACTCGTAAAAGAATAACAAACTCTACGAGTCAAGATACTATGCAGGTTTCCAACTCAGGCAGCTAATTACCACAGACCGCCTTTGACTTGTCTCTCTCGCCCGTTTTTGATTCACCTTGCTTCCCTTGCTTCTTGCTACACCCGCTTTGGTTAGTTCCTGATGATCTTTTCGAACAATGTCAGAGACAGCCATACGGCCCTTTTTTGATCCATATGCTGTTGCAGTCAAAAGAAAAAAAGACGTACATCTCAGACACTAGCCGCCCGTGATCATTGACTGTATGCTCTCGCAAGTTTGCTGCGTGCTTGCTGGGGTCTCAGTTCCGCCGACATTGTGAGTCTCAGCTGCGCTGCCAAGCAGTAGGCAGAGATGAATGGAGCAAAACATCAACGGGGGCAAGTTCAAGCAGGCCTTTCAAAAGCAAAAGCTACATGTTGTTTCAGGCAGGCTGAAATTGAAGTGAGGTGAGTGGTTGAGACTGTCCGTGCAGTCGAGCTTCATCCCACGCTTCGCCCTTACTACTGTCAAAGGACCGAGACACAAGCCGTAGGACTAAGAAGCTCAGGGATTGAAGTCTCCGAAATCAACCCAATGCGGTAGTACATGTCGGATTGGCAGGATATCGGGCATCTCGTCTCTCGCGAGAGAAAAGTATAAGTAGGACAGCTTGTTCCCGTTCCAAAGCATCCTCATCACTCACTACTCAAGCCTTCCAACACAACAACTACTACTCTACTACCTTTCCAAACACTCTTTCAACCTTTTCATACAACCAACCAACCCTCTCAAAAACCAATCAAAATGCTTGCCACCACCATCTTCGCTACCCTCCTGGCCCTCGCTGCTGCCGCTCCCCACGGACCCAGCCACGGCCCCAGTGTCAAGACTGGCGACATTTGCGGCAACGGCAACACGATGCATTGCTGCAATGACGAGTCTGTCACCAACAAACTCACTGGCCCCAGCGTTCTCAGCGATCTTGATCTTCGCAAGCTCCTCGCTTCCGAGTGCAGCCCGATCTCCGTCAACGTTCTTCTCAACCAGCTTGTCCCAATCGACAACAAGTGCAAGCAGCAGAGCATTTGCTGTGGCGAGCAGAAGCAAAACGTAAGTGCACATGAGCAGTAGCAAAATCGCATTGTTACGATAGATGCTAACATTATCATACCAGGGTCTTGTCAACCTTGGCTGCACTCCCATCACCGTCCTCGGATAATTGTGCAAAAACGTGACCGCGCCACTTGCAGCATACTGCAACCCTCACTACATTTCGTCAAATAATGTCTATTATAGATAGCTTTCATGCATCATTACTTATTTACTCTTGTTCCCTGCCTCTTGTGCTATGCTTTAATCTTGGTTTCATCTCTTGGCGCTGTTCTTCGCGACATACAACGACATTGTATCTGTGCTGTTCTTATAAGTCGCATTGCAATGCTCAGTAAAGCCACTAAATCTATCCACCCTTTCCTTCAGATAATGGACAAAGGCATCGCGAGAGCAGCTCGTGCCCGGGCCGTCCGCGCAGCTGGGCAGCGGCTGCGGGGCGCTGTTGACGAGCACTCTGTAAAAATCGCCGTCACCATACCCGTAGCTCCCGCGGCACTGAAGGCGCTCAATGGCAATGTTGCCCAAGAAGGGCAGGATGTTGGAGCTCTTCCACGCTCGGCGATAGTTGATGCGATCGGCCGGCATGGTGTCGTTGACGTTGGACGCGCCGCCAAAGTCCGAGTTGTTGAAGAGGCCCATGGCAACAATAACCATGGGCGGCAATTCACGGTGCGTGAAACTCACGAGTAAATCGTCGATGTGGCCGCTGTTGTTGTTGGCGTTGCTGCCGTTTTTTGCGTTGCTCATGAGAAGCTCGCCCGTTTCCTTGAGCCAGGGGAGGCCATTGTAGCCGGCAACGTTGCTGCCGTAGCCAACATTGTAGTGGTAGCGGACGTCCTCCGAGTACTCCCAAGCCAGCCAGTCATCCGGAGTGAAGAGCTTCAAACTACAAAACGGTGACTTGCCGCGAATTACCGTCTCGTAACCGCACAGCTGCTGCATGCCAAAGATGTCCTTGTCGGTAAAGTTGAAACCGGGCGCGGCCTTTTTCAGACGGGCTACGATGGGCTTGGTGTATTTATCGGTAAACTCGTCCGATTCGTCGCTGCCGGCCGAGGACGAGTAAGCCGGACAGGCCTTGTACGGCGTAAGGCTGTCGGCGCCCGACTCCTTGGACTCGTAGATGCTGTTGATCTTGATGCTGCTCTCGTCCTCCTCCAGGCCGCGGGCAAACGACTTGGCCGACTGCAGCGTGCGCGAGGCTGACGAGGTCCAGACCTGCTTGGGGACGCTAAAGTTGGGGTACCGAAAGTTGAGGTCGACGCCGAGCTGGGTTGCCTCGAGGCGTCCGACGCGGGTCAGAAGCGAGATCTCGTCATCGCTGATGGGAGCATTCCATCCGGCGAGGAAACTCAGCTCGGGAACTTTTGTCCAGTCGACGGTGGTGTTGTCCAGCTTCTTCACGAAGCCTTCAATGTACTCCTCGTAGTCAAAATCGTTGGCGTAGATGGCGGCATGGCGGACGAGGTAGGCTGCGCGCTCTGCGGTGCACCCCTGGGGGGCGTCAGGGGATGCGGGAGGATCTTGCGGTTCAAAATACGGGGCGATGCCGCTGAGATGGTGTAGAGGATTGAAGTCGTACGTTGAGTACAAGGCGGATGCCGAGACCGAGGCCGCCAGAGGCAAGGCGCGCAAGAACGTGCTTTTAGCCATGCTTATGACTCAAGTAGTTATTCCTACTTGCAATGTGACTATAAGACCTCTATGCGGGGGCATATTTGAGGATCAAAGCTCTATTGCTTCTTTTATAGCATTTTTACAGGCTCGCTCGTACTGGAGATGGGCGTCGCTTCATTGACGTCACGCGTGTACCCGGTACCTTGATTTGGGCCAACTTAAAAGCCCTGGTCGTCAGCTCGATTTTGGAGAAGAGAGTCCACTTGGACGAAAAAAAAGGCTAAAAAGGTAGTGAGATTTACGTATCATTGGTCAATGGATTTTAGTAACCTTACATTGTAGTCGGGAGACATGATGGAGATGCGTGCTTGGCCGGGTCCTAGTTGGTTGTAGGGCTCTCGTAGGCGGGTGGTCGGCAGTTTCACGACCAGAGCCCTAACTAGAATGAGAAATGTACGTTCTAGACAGCGATGACTCCGCCCATGGCTAGAAGACCGATTTGACATGGAAAAGTATCTATGGTTGGGCGATCCACCTTGACCTGATGCTATCTCACTCCATGGCAGCACTGACTACGGTCGCCGCGGGACATACTCAAGGAGACTTGACGTCGATGGCATGTACTGTTTTTTGTACCCATTTGGGTAAGCTGTGGCAATGCGAGGAGATATTCGTCGTCTGGTAAGATTCAAAATTGGTTCTAGTGATTAAAGGGGGGCTGCGGATGTGATCACACAACTATCAATATGGTAAGCCCATTGTATACATAGTCATGTTGGTCCAACTTTCTACTTACGCACAGACAACGCAGATATGTCACTGACACCTGCCAGCCAATTCCACCCTCGGCTATTCCGGACACGGGCGTGGGTTGCCAATCCTGGGCCGGGGATCTAAGTAAATATCTGAATATTTAATTACTGGTCGTTACCAACACCTACTGTTGGACGTTGACAGCTGCGACTGCTGAATCGCGCAGCATGTATTGGAGTAAAAGTTGAGTCAGGACCAGATCAGGGTAGTACGCATTGCTTGGGCTAGGCAATATTTGATGTGTCGTGATACCAATCTCAACTTTTGGCCCTGCTGTGCCGCATCGGCATCTGTCGCACCGACCAACATCCCCTGCCTGTGGTGGTCACAACGAAGATACGAAGAGTAGCACTGCGACGAGCATGTATTACGGGCATGATTATTCTTGGCAGTGAGGTCGATTTAGAAAATCGTCGGTTGATGGGGTCGCCCAGGGTCAAGTATTGCGCCATTGGCTGATGGCTCTGGGGCTGCGGCTCGCATGCATTGTGTCGAGAGCAGGTAGAGGTCAAGTACAAGAAACATGGAAAGGAGGATATTTGGTCCGTAAAGTAGGTTCACTCGAGTTTTGGGTACATATGCGGAACTTTGCGGAAGATAGGCCGCGCTTTGCCAGGCCCGGCACCAAAAAGGCTCCAATTTGACGGCGAGGTACTTGGGCTGCTAGTGACAAGACCATACCTGGAGCAAGTACCCTTCCACATGCAGCCTGTTCGCTCCGGCTTAAGAAAGAGAAAAGTGGAGTCGCGCAGGCCCAGCACCAGAGGCTGCACGCCTGCTACACAGACTGCTGCAAGTTGCTGTCGCGCAGGTGGCAGGGTACCTGCTCGTCTACGCCCTTTTCCAGCATCAATCAGGTACCCCGGCGACAATGACTTCCTCACATCTGGCCCCGGTCTGGGGGACCGTTCCCTCGACCCATTCCTCGCCCGCCCTCATCGTTTCGATATCTACACCTTACACCAACACCCGCACTCACCCTGCATGACTCGATTTTCTCCCTCTCGACGTTCCTTGACGGCTAGGCGAGCCTCGCGCTGCTAGTTGAACTCGTATACTTTTTGTTGGCTTTTGTGCAGATACTTTCGGTAAGCCTACCTGCTCTTATTTTCAAGCCTTCTTTTCTGATGCCAATTCAATTTGCCGCGCACACGACCCTACCTACCGTCTGCACTCAGCTTGTCCCTTTCGTTTGCATGCAGCTGCCATATCTAACATTTCAAACAGATTTGTCCAGAAACCGAGCCCCGGGCCCTCCATTTTTACGATATCCGACCGGTCGCATTGTCGACGACGCCTCTTGCACCTCCGCGACGATGCCCCTGGTATCTTGACAATACCATACATTCTTTCACGGCGCATCGCTCCCTCGCGACTCGTTTTTTCCCCTTCAAACGTCAAATTCTCGACTTTCTTGGCCGGCCCGATCTATCAATTCCTCGTCGTTATAATACACTTTAATAACCCATACCAATCGGATCATGGCTCCCGGAATGACGGCCAATGCAACCGTCACGACAAGTGCACGCAGTTCTGTCGGCCCAACCAAACCCAAATCAAAACTCAACTCCAATGGCTATCATCCCACAGCCACCATTCCTCTTAGTGCCATGTCTAGTACAGCTCTCGACCTGACGTCTGTCGAACGCCGTGGGCAGCCCACTGCTCCTCGCGAAACCACCAAGAAGACCAGCAGACCCCACGGTATCTCCGATGCACCGACCTACTGTCCGACGCCAGAGGAGTGGCGCGATCCCTTAGAATACATCAAGAAGATTGGCCCCGAGGCTTCGCAGTATGGTATCTGCAAAATCATCCCGCCCGACTCTTGGAATCCCGAATTCGCCATCGACACCGAGGTCAGTTTTCATCTTGGCCTCATTTCTACTGCCACGCCCGCACCGCTATCAACGTTGCCTTGCTGACTTGGCCACAGAAATTCCATTTTCGAACTCGAAAACAGGAACTCAACTCTGTTGAAGGCAGTATGTTTTCGTCGCATCTCAACAAATGTTTTGTCATACCCCAACTCACATCTCACTACAGGTACGCGCGCAAACTTGACATACTTGGACGGGCTTTCCAAATTCCACAAGCAGCAAGGTAATAATCTGCACCGTCTGCCATATGTCGACAAGAAGCCTTTAGACCTCTACCGCTTAAAAAAGGCTGTCGAATCAAGGGGTGGCTTCGACAAGGTCTGCAAACACAAAAAGTGGGCGGAAATCGGACGCGATCTTGGCTACAGTGGCAAGATCATGTCCTCACTCTCTACGTCTCTCAAAAACTCGTATCAACGATGGCTCTGTCCTTATGAAGAGTATCTTCGCATCGCCAAACCCGGCGTCCACCAACAGCTCGAGCAGGAATACGGCGGTCCGCTGACGCCCAGTCCCGCTCAAACCCCCGTCAAGCGTTCTCAAGTCAACACGCCAGCTGGTGTAAACGCCGAGTCTCCCGCCAGGCATGCTTCAGAGGCCCTGCAAAACGGTCTCAAGCGGGAAGCCGACCGTGATACTCCCATGGTGGATGCGCCTCTTGCGCCCACTTCCGGAGGCTCCGGATTCACGGCTGTTAATTCCGGTTTCACAAGCATCAACAGAATCTCGGGCGAACGCAAAAGCTTTACACCAGAAGTGGCTAGCACTCGGAATGCGACACCCGATGATCACTCTGGCCTCGCTGGTGCCGCTCATGTCAAGAGGGGTATCAGCACTGATGATACGTCTGATGCCTCCAAAAAGGAAGTCGACGGCGACAACGAAGATGCCACAAATCGTCGCAGCAAGCGTCTCAAAAAAGAAAATATTCCTACTGTGGCTGGCTCACATATGACGCCCTTTCGGCCGTCTGTCCCTCGCATACCGCGTGAGGAAGACCTTACCCCCCACGAGACTTGCGAGACCTGCGGCCAAGGCGAGGATGCTGGGCCTTTGCTCGTCTGCGAGTCTTGTGACAATTCGTACCACGGTCTCTGTCTGGACCCACCCGTGAAGCGCAAGCCTGACGCTGAATGGAACTGCCCGCGCTGTCTTGTGGGCGACGGACAATTTGGCTTCGAAGAGGGCGGCTTATACTCGCTCAAGCAATTCCAGCAAAAGGCAAACGACTTCAAGCAGGGCTACTTTGAGAAGAAGATGCCATTCGACAGTGCCCTGAAATGCGCCAGACCCGTTACCGAAGAAGACGTCGAGAATGAATTTTGGCGTCTAGTTGCTGATTTGGAAGAAACTGTCGAAGTAGAGTATGGCGCCGATATTCACTGCACAACACACGGCTCTGGATTTCCCACGCTCGAAAAAAACCCTGGTAATCCTTATACTGCGGATGGCTGGAATCTCAATGTGCTCCCATTCGCTTCTGAGAGTCTATTTCGGCATATCAAGTCGGACATTTCTGGCATGACGGTTCCTTGGGTGTACGTTGGCATGATCTTCTCTACATTCTGCTGGCACAATGAAGACCACTATGCCTATTCTGCCAATTACCAGCATTTCGGCGCTACAAAAACATGGTACGGCATCCCCGGTCATGATGCTGAAAAATTTGAAGCCGCCATGCGAGAGGCTGTGCCAGAACTTTTTGAAACGCAGCCCGATCTACTTTTCCAGCTTGTCACCTTGCTCACCCCCGAGCAGCTCACCAAGGCCGGTGTTCGCGTGTATGCGGTCGATCAGCGCGCCGGCCAGATGGTCATCACTTTCCCCCAGGCCTACCATGCTGGCTTCAATCATGGCTTCAACTTCAACGAGGCCGTCAACTTTGCCCCACCAGACTGGGAGTCCTATGGTATGGCTGGTGTCGAGAGGCTGCGGGCGTTCCGGCGACAGCCTTGCTTCTCTCACGATGAGCTGCTGTGGACTGCTGCCGAAGGAGCGTCAGCTGGCCTCACAATATCGACGGCCAAGTGGCTTGGGCCTGCACTTGAGCGCATTCAAAAGCGAGAGCTGGCCGATCGTGAGCAGTTTGTCAAGCATCATCTTGAATTAACACCCCACAACTGTCGATGCTTCGAGGGAGGAGACGCAGACTCTCCGCTTGCATTCAAAATCGAGGATGAAGATGTGCTGGACGAAGACGAGCAGTGCTGCAGCTACTGCAAAGCTTTTGCTTACCTCTCCAGATACAAATGCCACAAGTCTGGCAAAACTTTGTGTATTTCTCATGCAGGCAACCATCCCTGCTGCGACGCAACTGAACAAGACAGATACCTCGGCGCCGGTCACACTCTCTATTATCGCAAAACGGAGGAGATGATGAAGGATGCCCATGCAAAGGTCATTGAGAAAGCTGACACCCCCGAGCAATGGGAAGAGAAGTACGAAAAACTCCTTGACGAAGAGGTGACTCCATCGCTGAAATCTCTTCGAGGTCTCCTTCACGAGGGCGAACGTATTCCCTTCGATCTTCCGTCCCTGCCCATACTCAAGGAATTTGTCGATCGCTGCAACGAGTGGGTCGATGAAGCAACGAGCTACATTGTACGCAAACAACAGAATCGGCGCAAAAACGATCGAGCTTGGCAGACTGGCACGCGTAGATCGATAGGTAATTCGTACCAGGACCAAAAAGAGCGCGATCCTCGCAACGTGAGCAACATTTACCGACTGCTTCGTGATGCCGAGCACATTGGTTTCGACTGCCCGGAGATTTCACAGCTGCAAGAGCGCGCCGCGTCCATCAAGGAGTTCCAGGCCAATGCTTCGCAAGCGCTGGAAAAAGGTATCAGTCTCGGTGCGGAGGCGATTGAAGAGCTGCTCGAGGAGGGACGCACTTTCAATGTTGATACGCCCGAGCTCGAACTACTTTCGAAAATGTTGGATCAGATGCGTTGGAACGAAAAGGCTCGCACAAGCCGAAGCCTGTTTCTGTCCCTTTCCGAGGTTCAGGACTTGATCGAACAAGGCAAACAACTTGACATCCCAATCTACAACGATCATTTCAAATATTTTTGTGAACGATTGGAGGATGGACAATCGTGGGAGACCAAGGCTAGAGAACTGATTCATGCCGAATTTGTTCACTATCCACAACTGGAGGCACTATCCAAGCAGGTGCAATCTGGCAACATTCCTGTCTCCAAGGATACATTGGCTGCAGTCGATCAAATTCTCCACAAACAACGGGAGGCTCATCGCCAAATAATTGACATCACCGAGCGCTGCCATAACAAGGATTTTCGCAAGCGCCCAAAGTACAACGAGGTTGTCGAAGTGACCAAGAAACTGGACGATCTCAACTCGAAACCAAATGGGACCTTGGACCTTGAGAATGAGCGTAAGCGCCACGAAGACTGGATGCGCAAGGGCAAACGGCTCTTTGGCAAGTCCAACGCGCCCCTTCACATTCTCAAGAATCATCTCGAGTACGTGCTAGAGCGTAACCTGGACTGTTTTGACACTGAACATGATACTCCACGCCTTCCTGCGGAACCAGTGTCCAGAGAGCAGAGCCCGGACGAGGCCAAGGGTCCCGAAGAGAGTCGTCAACGTCAAGTATTTTGCATGTGCCGAAAGGTTGAGGCAGGCATGATGATTGAATGTGAGCTCTGCCATGAGTGGTACCATTACAAGTGCCTCAAGATTGCACGGGGCAAGGTCAAGGAAGACGACAAGTACACTTGCCCTATATGCGATTGGCGAATGAAGATTCCCAGAGACGCAGCTCGGCCGAAGCTTGAAGATTTGGTAGCGCTCATTGAAGAAGTGCCACTGCTCCCTTTCCAGCCCGAGGAGGAGGATGTTTTGCAGCGCATTATTTCAAATGCGCAAAGCTTCCGTGACTACATTGCCCGTTACTGCAACCCAATTCTCTCAACCGAAGCCGAGGCTGAGACGCAGCGATTTTACCTGCGCAAGTTGGAAGGTGCTGAAGTGCTGCTTGCCTACGAGACCAATTTCTTTCGTCAAGAGCTTCACAAGTGGTACCCAGTGGCCCCGGAGGCCCCGCCGATCCTCGAGGTTTCCCTCAGCACTCGGAAGCCGCGGCCAACTAAGCTGCAGAAGATGCTTCTCGAATATGGCGTAGATAACCCCGACGACCTGCCGGAGCATGCAAAAGGTAAGGCTAATAGCCTTAGGCGCAAGGCTGCGAATGCCGAGGCTGCCGCTGCTGCAGCCCAAATGGGACATGGTCCTATCCAACCACCGTCAGCGAATGCCTCCTATGGTGGTCCAGCCTACTATGCCCAGGATGGACAAGGCGACTCGGACAAGCGTGAGGATTCAGAGGACGACGGCCAGGATGACTCGTTGGCAGATGAGGGCCGGGGTAAATCGACTTCACGCGGTCCGGAGACTCTTGACAAAGCCTCTGAGGATATCAATATCGAGACTGAGGAGGGTAAAGCAAAGGGCCTTGACATCTTGGGCAGAACAGAGGACGGCAGAAAGAAGGCAGAAAGTATTTGGGGTCCGGACTTGTGGACCAAGAAGTCATTTCGAGACTCGCACGTTGGCACTTTGAAGGAGGCGGAAGCAGCCAATGACGAGAGCAAGGTCGAAAAGATGCTCACTGACGAGAGTGGTGAAAAGCGACGGGCTGAAGGAAAGCGAAAGGATGATGGGGAAAGGAAAGATGAAAAGATGACAACGGAGTCTCTGGAGGATGAGCGAAATGGGTTGGACGCAATGATAGATGGGGAGTAGGCGCTGAGTGAGCCATGTAACAGAACAGGCGTTTGAGGGTGGTGGTTTTGCTTTTTCTGATTTTCTTGATCCCGACTCTATTTTTGTTGCGGCGGAGTTGATTGGACGGATGTACAAATATAATGGGTGTGAGGGAATTATCAAAAGGCACCCTCGACATGGACATGGAAACCTCAGGCGTAATGGTACGAATGCGCAACACGTTGCTTGAGCCGGGAAAGGACTATTTCGGGATACTATTTGTCTTTGAGCATTTGCTCCTCTTCCCTTTTGGCGAGTTTGCTTGCTTTGCTGGAATGTGGCAAGATATAGAAATAATTACAAGGGCCATTTGTCCTACCTAGAATTTGTACAAGAGGCGCATCAATTTGCTTTGAAGTCGGGTGTGTTGCCGCATGGTGTATATATGGCCTTGGTAATGCAATATGTGCTGTACTTGAAACAAGGTGATGAGGTCTCCTGGCTCATACATCTGAGGAGTGTTGTTTGACTTTGCGCAACGAAGCCTGTACAGGATTGGGAGCGTCAAAAATGTCCGTCATCTCCTCGAGGGATCGTCCCTTTGTCTCGACGGAGAAGAGATGGCTGATTGTTGCCTGTATAAGATCCCATACGATGAATACAATGTACGTTTTCCAGCCAATGTCTTGCAGCGCGATGGGGAAGCAAAACTGATTGACAAAGGCTAGACAGTGGACAAAGGCAAAGACAAAGGCCAGGCCCTTGCCGCGCTGCTCGTATGACAGACACTCGACGGGATAGAGGGCTTGCAGCGGTGTCATGCCAAAATTATAGCACCAGCCAAAGATGAAGATGAAGGCGATGCCGGCCGACGCGGCGCTGTGCGCCTTTGTCGCGGCAAAGATGCCTGTGCCGGCTGTGATGCCCGCAAAGCACAGGGAGCAAGCGACCGAGGTCCAGATGCTGGTCGGGCGGCGCCCCATCTTCTCAATGAGACTGGCGCCGACATAGGACGCGACGGCAGAAATGGCGGTGTAGCCGAGATTGATGTTGAGAATTTGGTCGGAGCGCGTCATGCCCGTGGTCATGAGCATGGCGGGCAGGTAGTAGCTCACGACGGCGTTGCCCGAGCACTGGCCCCAGACCGAGGGGATGAGGGCGTTCAGCATACGCCACCGCGCGGCGCGGTTCTTGTACAGGTCGCTGTAGTCCCACCACTTTTTGTCGGAGCCGTTGCGCGAGATGACGTGCCTGTACTCTTGAATCTGCACGCGGACGAGGACGTGCTGCGGGTTGCCGTCGCCGTGGTACTTTGTCAGGAACGCGCGGCTCTCGTGCTCGCGGCCGTGCGCGTACAGCCACCTAGGCGACTCGGGGAAGAAGAGCACAAAGGCAGCGACAATGGCCGGGCAGATGAGCTGGCACCAGACGGGCACGCGCCACTGGGCGTCGCCGGCGTAGCGCACGGATCCGCGCGTGACGCCGGCGGCCATGAGGGCGCCGACGGCGTAGGTGCAGTTGTAAAAGGCGGTCAGGACGCCGCGGTAGGCCGGGGGGCTGATTTCGGCGCACCAGATGGAGCTCGCGCAGCGGACGATGCTGACGCCGAAGCCGAGGAAGAAGCGGCCGGCGACAAAGGTGGGGGTGTCGGCGGCGAGGGCGGAGAGCACGGTGCTGGCGACGACGATGAGGCTGCCGAGGAGGATGCCGGCGCGGCGGCCGCAAAAGTCGCAGGCGGGGCCGGTAAAGGGCAGGGAGACGACGGTGCCGACGGTGTACATGGCGGAGATGTAGCCGAGCTTGGGGCCGGTCTTGCCGACGTTGAAGCGGTCGCGGAAGGATTTCATGGCGGGTAGAGATCCGAAAATGGAACCATCGTAGCCTAGCAGTGGTCGATTAGTTTTTGGTGCGGTCCTTGTCATGTAGACGGAGGAGGGAGGGAGGGAGAGAGGGAGAGAGGGAGAGAGGGAGGGAGGGAGAGAGGGAGAGAGGGAAAGAGGGAAAGAGGGGAAGAGGGACGGGGAGTATACCGTTCATTGTAGAGCACAGAAATGCAACTGCGCAGAAGCAGTACAACTTGAGCAGAGGACGACTGAGTGGTGCAAGCTTTGCTGATGCAATGGCCTCGGCCATTTCCTCGGCTGACGGATGCGCATCGTAGTGCATCACCTCGGCGTCACTTGCCGGGATTTTCTCAATTGAAGACTTGTGCTTCATGGCCGTGGTGTCCGACATGCTGCTATCTCTCTTGTTCCCCGTGGGGTTGATCTGGTTCTGGGGAAAAAGAGAATCTGGGGAAGAAAAAAAAAGACGGGGCCGTGTCAAAAGGACTCGCAGGAACCATTACGTACGGAGAATGCATGTATTTAACTATTAGATGGATTGAGAATACCAGCATGCTGTTGTTGTGTCGTCCAAAGTCGAGCCAGTCAGTCGGTGGCTTGGAAGTCGTTGGCCGGAGCAAAGACCCGGTCTGCCTCCGACGCTCCGATGAGGCGGGCCTGTGCGGGCATGGGCAGGCCATCCGATGTGACCGGCGCCATCAAAAGGGCCATGCATGTACTATTGAGGCTATTGCCGGGACCAAGTTCCTAATACAACTGCGGGGAATCCTAGCTAGCTTTTTATTGGAAGGCGTTTTAAGTTGCTTCATGTCAATAATTATGCAGTCAAAAAGACGTCTTGTCTTGTCTACTCATACCGGCACAGGTCTCTGTGTAAACTGCAACATGACAACAGTGCCTGTGATGATGACGAGAAAAGAAAAACTTAAAAAAAAAAAATATATAGTGTTAAATGTCATAAACATTGATATATCTAGATAATCTAGCAATCAGTGTCCGAGTACAGTAACCCTTTATGCATAGCCAAACTGCAGCAATCTATTCCCAAACTCCAGCAGGTAATAGTCTGCATACACCAGTCCGTGGTCCGCATACCTGTCTGTCCAGCTCTCATTATTATTCGCCGTCGAGCATCTCAAAATACACTCAAACGACTCCGCCTCTGAATCCGGCGGCGCCCGTCTCGCAACCACGCTGGCCGTTTCAGCGCCGCCTTCCTCCTCCTCCTCCTGCTGCTGCTGCCCGACGAGCTCAACCCTATCCGCCGCGTAGCACAGCGCAATGGTATCGCTCACAATCGCCAGCGCAGCCCCGTGGTACTTTTCAAACAGCGCAGCGTTGCCCTCGGCCGCTACAGCCTGAGCAATCAACAGCATCCCGTTGGCCGCAATCACACCCGCCGACGCATCGCGCAGCGGCTTCGCCTCCTCGTCCTCGTCCACGGGAGCGTCGAAATCCCACAGCGGCACCAGCCGGCCGGCGCGCACACCAGGCCGCACCTCTTGCTCTGTGCAGGCTGGGGCCTCCTGCAGACGTAGCAGAAAGTAGTCGGCCAGGCCGCAGGCGGTGCGTAAAAACTCGGCGTCGCGCGTCCAGGCGTGCGTCTGCGCAAAGCCCAGAATGGCCCACGCCTGGCCGCGCGACCAGGTCGAGGTGGCCGAGTAGCCCTGCGCGGTGAGGCGCTCGCGGATCGCGCCCGTCTGGGGACACAGGTTGGCGACGTGGCACGTCGAGTACAGCAGAGGGTGCTTGGATGAGCCGGGCACGCTGGGCTCTTCGGGGCGCAGGTGTGTCTTGCGGATGGTGTGGGCATGGGTGGTGGCAATGTCGATGAGGTGCTGGGAAGACGCGTGGTGGCCTGCGTAGTACAAAAGGTCCAAATCTGACAAGGTATTGAATGGTAAGCAAATCATGAAATAAGAAGGAGCCTGAGGAGGCCAACTAGAACTTACTGCACATGCTGTCGATGATGACGAGAAATTCCGAGTCCATGTCAATGTAGTTGTTGCCGTTATTGACGAACCGGTCCCAGCTCCGTATGGCCTTGGTCGTCTCGCTGTACCTGCTCGCCAAGCTCTCCGCCGCATGGACAATGGCATCGAGACTGCGCGCGTCGCCCGTGAGCTCAAAGTCGCGCCGCAGCGCCGGCTCGACAATGAAGCCGATATCGTGCGTGTCCCTGCGGCTCGACATGCCGTGCAGCGGCGCCGCCCACCGCCGACACACGGCGAGCAGCTCCGATCGCAGGCGCTTCCGCAAGTCTGCTGCTGCTGCTGCGCCATCTTCGTCGCCGCTCTTGTCGGCAGCAGCAGTTAAAAAGGCGTGCGGATACCGGACGGCTCGCTCGAGCAAGCAGTACAGGCTGCCGGGGAAGAAGCCGCAGGTCCAAAACTCGGCGTCTCGGTAGAGATAGTGCCCTGCTTGGGGACCGGTCTGCGGGCATGTTTCGGGGAATGATTGCGGGGGATCCTATTACACATTCAGTAAATCGTTTTTTTGTATCTTCTTTTTTTAGAAAAAGAAAAAAAGGTTTCGTGCGTTGTGCTCACCTCGCGCGCGAGGTGGTCGATGGCTGTCTTCCAGATTTTGATTATTACATTGTCGCAAAAGAGCTTCGACAGGTAGTCGGCACCCAAAGTTTGACTGGCACTAGTGACTTTGCTTGCGCTTTGCGATTCAGCTTGTACTCTCGTATTTTGCTTCATATCTTCGACTTTGTCCCAAGATTCACCAGCGCTTTTCAGGTTGTTGCTCGAAGCAGTAGTCGGCACTGTTGAGGGGCTCATGGTGTTGTACAAGTTCAGGTCCTGTAGAACTGGTAGACGTACACACTGGCAGCGTTTTATCAAAAGTGTCCGACTTTTTAATTACAAGCAAATATTTCGCACTCAATGTGAGAAACCGTCGCTTTACTAAAGCGTCTACAACCTAGTTGCCGATCACAGCCGGACCAATAGTGGGCCGTGGCCGGAGACGGGGCCGCACCGCTCCCGGCCTCCGAGGAATTAGCGCAGGGGGCTTGAAATAGTGACATGTTACTTACATCGAATATTCTGCAGTCGTACACAAGATCTTGTCAGCCGATCAGCCGTGTCAGCCTCCTCAAATCATCAGCATCGTCCTCAGCTTCCTCCTTCCACCACATCAGCAAACCCAAGCATGCCGCCACTGCCCGGCTTTTCAGACAATGGCTTCTCCAGCCGCACCGACACTGTCGCAGCATCCCAAGCACTCCTAAGACCTCTCATTCCATACTTTTCCCCAGGGAAAGCTCGTGTCAGGATTCCAGTCACATCCGGTGCTCACTTTGATGACACTGCTGCTGAGCTAGAGGGATACGCACGCCCGCTATGGGTGGTGGCGACTCTTCTCGCGTCTCAGCAGCGCAACGCAGAAGAGTACGACACGACATCTGACTCACTTGTCACCCACTGGATAAAAGGGCTTGAGCATGGCGTCGACCCGTCTCATCAAGAATATTGGGGCGCCATTGGCGATTGGGATCAGCGCATGGTCGAAGCAGAAGTAATTTCCTTTGCGCTCCTCTCTGCGCCAGACTATTTCTATAAGCCGTTGCCTGAAATCGCAAAGTCGAACCTCAAGGCATGGCTGGATTGCCTGAATAGAAAGGTTATGCCAGAAAACAACTGGCGTTGGTTCCGTGTCTTTTCTAATCTCGCCCTCATCAAAGTATGTGGCGCGGATGAGGATGAGTATTTTTCACTCATTGATAAGGACTTGGATACTCTCGATAAGTTCTATATTGGTCAGGGTTGGTCCAGCGATGGAGTCTGGCGCCCAGCGAGAGCCGACGCAGAATCGGAGGGCAAAGGCGAGGACGCTGCTCGGGGGCGACACGCAGACTACTATTCCGGCAGTTTTGCCATCCAATTCAGCCAAATAATGTACGCCAAGCTTGCTGCTGATATTGACAGTACAAGATGCGAAATCTTCAAGAAGAGAGCACACCAGTTTATCCGGTCGTTCTGGGCGTATTTTGATATTGACGGTATGTCATCTTCTAGTGCTCGGGGCGCTCCCTTGCCTGAGGACTAACTATTGACCAGGTGCGGCCATTCCTTTCGGTCGCTCCCTGTGCTACAAGTTCGCAATGGGGGCTTTTTACGCAGCGTTTTCTTATGCAGGGCTATGTGATGATTCCCATCCTCTGACCTCGCATGGCTCAGTAAAGGGCATGCTGCTTCGCCACCTACGATGGTGGGCAGCGCATTCCCAAGACAGCTTCTGGCCCGACGGGACGCTGAATATTGGCTATCTATACCCAAACATGTACATGAGTGAGAATTACAATTCTCCACAGTCGCCGTACTGGGCCCTTAAATCATTGATTGTCATTGCTCTGGCGGAAGATGATCCATTCTGGGCGGCGCAAGAGCTGCCACACCCTTTGGACGAGACGAGCACAGAACCGGGCGAAACAGGCATACAGGTTGTCAAGCCAGCGCGCCAGATTGTTTGCAATCACACAAGCGGCAATCATCACTTTCTCCTCTCCTCGGGCCAATTTTGCGTGTGGCCGATGAAAGCGACTCAGGCCAAGTACGCCAAGTTTGCATATTCATCTGCATTCGGTTTCAGTGTGCCTACCGGCCCTTTACTTGCTCATATCGCCCCCGACAGCACTCTGGCGCTGTCTCGGGACGCAGGCGAGACATGGACGACAAGGTGGATATCCATTGGAGAAACAGAATTCCCTGCTGTACAAGTGCAAGGGCACAAGACTGGTGTGACAGCCATGGTCAGCCGGTGGAAGCCGTGGTCATCGGCCAACATTACCGTCGAGTCGACGATAATTCCCCCTTGCGACAAATGGCCAGATTGGCATTTGCGAATCCACCGCATCCGGTCTGAGACTCCTTCAGATATACCCTTGACTGCGGTTGAAGGTGGATTTGCTATTTCCGCGCCCAGAAAGACCGATGACCGCATCATTCAAACCACAAAGCTGCCAGGAGCCAATCATGTGCCTTTTGAGAAGCTAGGCGGAAACAGCAGGGCTATTGAGACTGCAGAGGCCGCGCTTATCGTGTCCGAGGCTGGGGCTAGTGGAATCACTAACTTGAGGCCCGCGGACAAGGGCGCTATATCCCGCGGCGATGTTATGCGTCCAGACCCAAATACGAACATTATGACGACCAAGACAATGATACCCAATATTCGGCATGAGGAACGGTCGCTTGGCTCGACGGGATTCACTATCGCGTCCGCCATCTTTGCGATCGCCGGGAAGCAGGATAATATGAATGAAGTCGAAGCGAAGTGGCGTAGACGGCCGATGCTTTCATTTACGAAAGAAGGGACAATGGTCATCTCATAGAATGGCAGGTCATTGTTAAAGATTGATAACAGAAGCAAGGTCTGGTATATGCAGTACCATCTGCTATTCAGTATTACATTACAGCTGATAAAAATACCTCCCACTGCCTGGATACCCGCCATTCCATGTAATGGTATCACAAGGCGGAGATTAGTCTATTGTCTGCAGTGGGCTACAAAATGCTCATTAGGCTGGATTCAGCGCGACTTATAACTGCCGGTCCTACTCCAACGATATGTAGCACCATTATGCCGAAGGGTGTATGTCCCGTCGGCAAAAGCAATAAAAAGGCCCCAGTCATCGATAGTTCTAGATTTAGTGCGGGGAGCTCCTATTTATTAAATTCGGCGCCCGGAGGCGGCCCGGGATCAGTCCCCTTTCGAGACAAGATGACTGCCACAAAGCTTGGAGTTTCACTTTCAGCTTCGCACGAACTTGGGTTTGATGGGATCTATAAAACTCACCCTTAGCGAAGCATGATTTTGCACTGTGATTTCGACCAAGGCATCAAAAGGGAGCTGCGTCTTTCCTAGCTCTACAGGCAATAATGCTTTACTTTGTCCGGTCCTTGGGCGCCGTTGGCGCCCTCGTCTCGGTCGCTCAAGCCACTCAATACTATATCGATTGCTCTGCATCCTCAAGCGGCTTGGGCACACTCGCAAGCCCCTGGAACAGCCTTGCGCAAGCAAACACACCCACCTTTCAGCCCGGCGACATTATTGCCTTGAGGGCCGGTACCGAGTGCGTTGGCGTGCTCTCGCCACAGGGCGTCGGGACGGCCAAAGCCGTGATTCAAATCACAAAGTACTCATCAGACGACGGCGCGCACGCCAACCCCATCATCAACGGCAACGGGGCGGCCGCGGCCGTCACCCTGACCGACCAGGACCACTGGCGCATCTCCCACCTCACCGTGACCAACCCGGCGAGCAATCTCAGAGCGCGCCAGGGCATTCACGTCACCGCGAGCGATGGCACGACACACACGGGCATCACCATTGACGGCAACACGGTGCACCACGTCGCCGGCCAGACCGACAAGGACAAGCACACCGACGCCTTTGTGCTCTCGTGCGGCATCCTCGTCGACGTCGACGCCAAGACCAGCAGCCGCTACGACGACGTTCTCGTCCGGGGCAACACCGTGTCCGACTGCGGCGGCGGCGGCATCAAGGTGCGCGTCGGCACCTCCATGACCTCGCGGGGGCACCGCACGCGCATTACGCAAAACACGGTGCGCGCGTGCGGCGGCGACGGCATCATTGCCTCCTTTAGCCACACGCCGCTCCTCGACTACAACACGGCGGCGGACCTCGGCACGGGCGCGTACCCGTGGACCGGCGGCAACTTTGCCGGCATCTGGGTGCTCGGCGACCACGACCCCACGATAAGCCACAACGTCGTCTACGGCAGCGTCATGTCCAAGTTTGACAGCCAGGCGTTTGACTGCGACTGGGGCAACACGGGCACCTGCACCGTCGAGTACAATTTTAGCCGCGACAATGCCGGCGGCGCGTTTCTCAACTGCGACGGCTGCGGGGACTACTCGGGCGGCGCGAACCAGGTTATCCGGTATAATGTGTTTCAGAATGACTGCCGCATCTACAGCAACGGCGAGAAGCCGACCTTGTCCTTTTACCAAAACGTCTGGTACTGCGATAAAAAGAGCTTTAACCTGACGCTGCCGCCAAAAACCCAGTTTATCAATAATATTATTGTCGGCAACGGCAAGTCCTCGCTTCCGAATCGTAGTGGTGTTGAATGGAAGTCAAACGTCTTTCACAATGTCGACCGTCCCACCAACAACGGCATCAAAGGGGATCCAGAGTTTGTCAACCCTGGGACTGATGGCGAGACCTTGGAGTCGGCTGCAGGATACCGTCTCAAGTCGAGCTCGCCCGCGCTGCACAACGGCCAAGTCATCTCGAACAATGGCGGCGTCGATTTCTTTGGCAACCCCGTGTCGCAGACGTCGAAGCCAAACATAGGAGCTTATGAAGGTCCAGGTGTGTCGAAATAGTATAACCATCTCATGGTAGTTTGATACACGAGTACATAAGTTCAATACAAGGATATGCTTTGCTGCACAGGGATTACTTGGATAGACTCTGCTCCTCAGCTTGTCCCCCGCTGCCGTCTCTCTTGCGCGCGTGCTCTTGACTCGAGCTTTCGTAGCTCCGCCATAAAATCAAAGTCCGTCTCATCTTCCGCAGTCGATTCCGCTGCGCCCTTTTCAAGTTGGTCGTCCTGTGTGCCCGAGTTTTCAAGGACTGGCTGGTCACTGGTCAGCAAGCCTCGATCAAACTCCAGTGGCGACTCTTGATCCAGAAGGTTTATGCCAAACACGCTGCCACCGCTAGATGGTGAAGTTGAGAAGGGATGCAGCATGGTGGAAAAGTCCACCATGTTCATCAGTGGCTGCTCGTTGGGGGCTGTCGACACCGTTCCTGGCACAATGGCTGGTGCCACGTTTCTGACCCCGGTTTCTTCGGTCGACTCTTTCTGCGCGATGAGTGCCTTTCGAAGCCTCATTGCGGGATCTTCTGCATTGAAATTTTGCATCTGCCCCTCCTTGAAAACTGATATTCGACTCGAAACCTCCAGTAGTAGTGCAACCAGGGAAGTTGCAGTCTCGGACACCCTTGTAGTATTCCATTCTTCTCGACAGATTCAATCAGCAACTTGGGAACGCATGCGCAATGTGTTATAGTCACTTACGCAGTAAGACTTTTCCAGCAATGTACATGCAAAGTACAAATTGATGCGGTGGAATCCCGGAGCTTGCTTCCAAGAAACGCCTGGCAATGCGATCAATCTTCATGGCGGCCATGACACAAGCTTCCTTGGACGCGCCAGATACGAGCGACGACAGCCACGCTCGCGCTTGCCGCGGTGGGCATGCGAGCCGACTGTGTAGGGTTATTATGGCTGCATTGTGTGTCATGTGCGCAATTGTCAAGTTGGGGTCAATATAACCATCCACCACGCGGACCTCTCGCCAGCGATGCGTCAAGCACAGCTCCCATCTAGCACGAGTCAGTACTTGTGACAGTTCAGGCTTGTAGGAAGTCCTTGACCTACTGGAGAAGTCGCGAATCTAGTTGTCGAAACTTGTGCAGCCAACCTGAGAGCTGCGATGCACTGTCCGGCTCCAGAGGATGTCGTTCGTGAAATTTGGAAACTAGATAAAGCGACTCTGTTGCTTCAATCGTGTAGGCTAGCCCACCAATACCAGTCGGCCCTTGTGAGTCATTATAGACTGGTGGAAAGGGTGCATCCTCAGTGTCCGCAATGGCATCCAGGTCATCTTGGGTTTGCTCGTGAATTTTGAAGAATGATGTCTCGACGCATTGGTCAAGTTCCCACATACATCCATCGCATGGTAGTCGTCTTTGTATACTCTTACTAGATATATTCGGGTTTGATCTGTGTCTGTGTCAGCTTTCTCCCATCGGTCTCTTCTCGAGACTTACCCAGTCGCAATGCTGCAGAATCTGTCGAGAAGAAATGCTCCCCAAAATACGCGCCGACGCTCTTCCACCTCTACCCACGCAGTTGGGGGATCAAGCGGCTCTGTGGGCTGTGAGAAGAATGCAGCCAGGTGGTGATTTTCTCTTTTCTCTTCGGCATTCAGCTGCAGCCCCTCAATCTTGCGACATATAATAGAAACAAGAGACCATGGCGAGCGACTCAAGCCTCGTTTGATGGTATCGAATGTAACAAGAATCAGGGCTTGTATGGCTTCTTTTGAGCTGCTTTCTATCGCTGAAATGACAACGCTTTGGCGCAGCTGCGACAGATGGTTGTCTAGGTCTTCGGAGCGACAAGTCTCGGCTGATACACCAGCGTAGGGCAAAGCCATGGCAGTAATGGCCTTTAATACGAGAACAATCCCTGGCGGTCGGTCTGCCTCGCGCGCTCTCCTGAGGAATGTTGCGGGATGCAAAACTGGTATCCAAGGATGTATCAACTTGAAGTAAACCTCTAGGATAGTCTCAACGGGCGCAAGTTGCGGGGTGGCGTATAAAGTACTTGTTGAGACGCAGATTCTTTTTGGCGGGCGATCATCGGAAACCTTTAGGTCTTCCTTGTACGCTCGTTTTCTTTTGGATGGAAACAACTCTGAAGTTTCAACAACATCACATGCATCTGCTTCTTGAGTCGAGGCCACCACGTCCAACAGAGCTTGTTTCACTTTCTCGGTAGAGGTAGCGAAATCAGTAGACGTGAAGCTTTGTTGAAAAGAGCTGGCTTTGGTCGTATTTCGGCCTTTTATGAGTTGCTGCATCAAAACGCTTTGTCCCAGAAACATGTTTTCGATTGTGTCTGTCAGTTCCATTAGCCGCCAAAAGGTAAAGAGCGGTTCCTGCCACTGACCAATTCGTTGGCTTAGTCGCTCTATGACACCGATCTTGACGCCGCCTTTGGACCGCTTATCTTCGTAGACGCAGTCGGCACCTGAAGCCACCGACTTATCAGCACATCAGGGGCTCCGACTGATATTAACAGAGCTCACCTGACTTGAGGCACTGAGAGCATGGCCGTTGTCTGGAGCACTTTGCTTTCTTCTTGCGACACAGTTGACATCTATTTCAAGCTAAAGCATCAGCATCGGTAGAGCTTTTTAAGCCCTGAACTAGGTCGCACTTACGCTGGAGTCTCATCCGATACCGCACCAGGCAAGCCCTGGCTTTGAGGAAGTTCTTCCCAGTCCCCCTCTCCTACATGAGGCTCTATATCAATGGATACGGACATTGATTCAGCCGAGTAGAATCTTTGATGTGCTTGTCCAATAATTGAAGCTCAGTAGGTGCGTCCCAAGGATGCAAGAGGCCAAGCTTGCGTCCCCCTCCCCCTCCCCCTCCCCCTCCACCGTTGGGGGTACCCCAAGTTGTTACCGCGGAATGTGGCGCTTTTCCCCGGGTTCTGGAGACATGATTGCTGCAAGCCACCCCAGCACGGATGGCAACAGGCAAGTAGCCAGCGAAAGAACCCCTCGACCCCCACAACATTAGATAGATACGGAGAAGGCATGTTTGCATCCCGGGCAAAGAGAGCAAAATGAAGGCGATTCTGGTCCAGGATGCAAGAAAGATGCACTAATAGGCTCTGAAGTGTATTTACCGTACTGAGTTACCTTTGCCAGAGCATGAAAGAGGCTGCGAGGTTGGCTGTGTAGCAACTTAACGTTGTCGCTCTCACCAGCTCTACCCTATACCATAATTCCCATTAATGTCGGAGGATCAAGGAAGCGAGTCTCGCGCCGTGTCGAGCTAATGACGTTCTTTTGTACACAAGAGATAGAGGAGAGGCTTCTTGAATGCGGCGAAAAATCCGTCATCCGTAGGGTTGGCGTTGTGAACATCAGATCTATCCTTACATCACTACCTAGCCCGTGGAGCCTACCTTACCCCTGCGTGATGGGCAAACGAGTGCCCACACCCAGGCTGCTCTCTCGAAACAAACACACACACGCAGCTATCACAACCACTTTTCTCAGAGCTTTGCGACTTCCGGACTCGGGGTCTCCGGTCCTCATCACGAAATTCGAGAGCAGCCACATTTCACAGAGCCACTAGAATGGCAAACACACTAGATCGGGCGCTGCCCGCGCGAGGGAGGCCATCCGCCTTCAACCTCTCCCCAGACTCCTCCGACCTCGACGACGACGACGACGCGCCGCTGCCCTTCCCCGAGGCCCTCCCCCGCTCCGACTTTCTCACACCCGACTTTGACCCCGCCGCCTACCTTTCCGCGCTGCCGCACCGGCACCAGACGCTCGAGGACCTGCGCGCCGACCTGCGCGACCGCAGCGCCGCCATCAGCAGCGAGCTGCTCGAGCTCGTCAACGCAAACTCGTCCACGTTTCTGTCGCTCGGCACCAATCTCCGCGGCGGCGACGACAAGGTCGAGGACGTGCGCGTGTCGCTGCTGGGCTTCCGTCGCGCCGTCGAGGACGTCAAGGCCAAGGTCGCGACGCGGCGCGCCGAGACGGACGCGCTCACCGCGGAGCTGCGCGGCGTGCGGGCGAGCATCGAGTTGGGCCGCACGCTGGTCGAGGTTGCAGAGCGCCTGTCGTCGCTGGAGGAGAGGCTCGCGCTGAGCGGTGTGCCCAAGACGAGGGACGGGGCGGAGCAGAAGGCCGATTCGGCGGACAACGACGATGACGACGAGGAGGAGAGTGAAGAAGAGGATGCAGATGAAGACGAACAAGTACAAGGGCTGGTGGGAAGCACACCGACTGTGCTGATGACGCTCGCGCAGGACTATAATACCGCCGAGGCGCTGCAAAGATCACTTCCAATGCTTGCGTTTACGGCCAAGCTGGAGACAAGATTGGCCAAATGTCGAAAAACGTTGCTGCTGGACCTTGGCAACGCGCTACAGGAGAGTCGCAAGGCAGGCGTCACGGCACAAAATAGAGTCTTGAAATATCTCGCCATCTATAGAATATTGGGCGCCCAGGACGAGGCAGTCAAGGCAGTCAAAACAAAATAGAAAACGACAATGACTTTCTGAATGAGTCACTTCTAATCCTGGTCCACTGTGCTTTACATATCAAATCGCTGATGCTGTTTATTCAGTAGTTCAAATATGATACAGGTAATACACAGTGCTGCCCCTTGTACTGTTTTACATGGCGCCCGATAATTGTTCAGCTGTAACCGTTTCGCCCTCCTCTACCAGCTTGCCGCTCAAGCTGACAGCAGGCCCATTTGTCGTGCTAAGAATGACATCGTGCACCTCCTTGTGCGACTCTTCCGAGATTTGGGCGCACTCGGCCTTGATCTTGGTCATGACGGCCGTGATATTGGCCTTGAGCTGCTCAGGTGTATGGCCGAGCTGGCCAATGGCCATGCGAACGACACCCTGGCGCTCACGGTAGTCGGCCGAGCCGGCGGCGTCACGGATTGACTTGGCCACGTCGCTGACTATAGTCCTCATGCGCGCCGAGGGCATCAGGCCCTTGGGGCCCAGTATGCGACCCAGGCCGGCTTTTTGCAGCACCTGCTCGCTGCCCTCGTGGCACAGGAGGCGGTCAAAGTTGATATTCTCCTTGCGAATCTCCTCAAATAGCGACTCCTCGCCCACAGCGACGGCTCCCGCGGCGGACGCGGCAGCGGCCACCGCGCTGCCCTCCTTGCAGACGACGGCGATGCGCAGGTCGGTGCCGACGGGGTGCGGTAGACGCAGGCTGCTCTTGACGACGGGGCCGTTTCGGGCAGTTTTTAAGTTGATGGCAAGATCGTATTTGATGGACGCGGGAGGCTGGCCGACTTCGTATGCGCGGAGGATTCTGTATCCCGATTAGTCTGGTTGCTCTGCTCGACGGCTGTCGCGTGACGTGGCTCCCACGCAGTTGGGTCGTAGTACCTCATGGCCTCAACAAGCGAGAATCTTGGGAATTCTCTCTTGTCGAGGTTGTGACGTCGAAAATCCTTTGGTATAGCCTTTTTCTTGGCGGGACCCTTTTTGATGCGGACGACGGAAGCATGGCGTGTTTGTACCAGAGCGGCTGGGGTTAGGTAGCCAGGGGCCATTGATGTTGTCGGCCGTGAGGCATGTAAAAGGCTCAGTCTGGCCATCGAGGCCAGACATTTATCGACCGGAGCCATGTTGTATAATGTGTCGTGTTGCGTGTCGAATCGCAAAGTAGTCGAAGCTCCTGTCGCAAAATGGAGCTGCATCTCGAAAAAGTCTTTGTGCCTCGTTAGTTAGGCGTAAAGGCTCTTATCGATAGTGCCGTAGTAGCTGAGGCCGTCAACTCAGCGCAGCCATCATCTCCTTACAAAAAAGATGGATTCTGGTCAAAACTTTGCAAAGGCCAGTCTTGGAGCAATCACGATCTGAAAAACTCATCTATAATTGGATACCACAGGCCATTGTTGTGCTGAAGTGATTTATTATCTAGCCGTGTGCTTGACATTGCGATGTGGTTTCATGATGGCTAAGGACAGAGACAGCGCCCGGACGTTCTCGCTGAAGCTTGAACAAATCATGCTCAAACACCCTATTGGCCTTTCTACCGACTACGGTCGAGACTTCCACGAGGATGACGAAGTCGCAGCCCCATCTGTCGTGGTTGCTACTTCAATAATGTGAGCTGGACGATGAACATGCCAAGCTAATTCGGAGCTTCGGGGGCGAGAAGGACCCTGTTCTGGGGTTACGCAGATCTTCGACCACCAGCTGCTTATTTCATTGGCATGTCTGGATGGTTTCTTCCCTAACGGCAGACTATGAAGATGTGCAAGTGCTATAGTCGACAAAAACTATCCGCTTATATGGCATGCACATCTTCTCCAATTTGCGACGGTTCATCTCTCTGCCTCAACGATCATGAAATGTTTCCTCGATCGACTTGCACAGTTCGCAGTCTTTTGCCCTGTTCACCACCTGCCACAAATTTCTCCACTGCCTTACTTATACAGAGCAGATAAATCCGGGGTATAGGAGGTCAGGCAGATCATCGTCGTCAAATCTGAAAAGTATAAGTAGCTAGAACAGACGCCGCTCATGTTCGTTGCTGTACAAGAATTGCACGTAGAAGCTACGACTCATCCTAGCCGCACTGCCAGGTTGGCTCCCGGTCTCCATCACCGACCGAACTTCGGATCACTTTTATTTCATTGACTATTGATTACTATTTTTCAATCCCTCTTTTATGTTTAATCTTCTATCTGACTTCCCTAATTCGTGATTTTGCAAGTAAGTAGCCGTACTTGGGCTTCCCTGCCAAGGCGAGTCATCTCAGTCAAGGTGTCGTAGTAAAAATGCGGATCCACACCTTCATTGATGTGAATTAGGCCCTATATACGTCCATACACCCCCCAGTTTATCAGAAGGCTGATTCTTTTCCTTCTGATGGAGTGCTGCTTAGGACGTGTTTATTAGGCAACCTGAGACGGCTTTTCTGACTTAGTGGCCGTCCCCCACTAGTAGCTGCCCGCCCGTAAGACTTATTATTTTAGTAGCGGGGGGAGTTAAACGCAGGACCTTCTTCGTAGTAATTTTTAAGATGATAGCGCAGATGGGTAGAAGTTACTAGTCTCTGGTCTTATTGACCACTTGACCACCCGGGCTCATAACTGTCGTAGTAAAAATGCGGATCCACTCCTTCATTAATGTGAATTAGGCCCTATATACGTACATACAAGGTGTATCCGCAGCTAACTGTGTTACCCCGCCAAAAAGCCCCTCCATCAAGCCCCCCACCATCACGAAAACCCAGTGACTCAAAACTTGACTTTAACCACTGGATCTTTCCCAATCAACTTCATTGCGTCACGAATACAATCACGATGAAGCACGACGAGCTCGAGAGAGTGGCTGCCGGCCTCGGTGGCGACTTTCGCTCCATTGAGCCCCATCTGCGCAACATCGATAAGCACTTGACACTGCGAACCTACCTCGATGGCTTCAGCCTGAGCCCAATCGACACCAAGGCCTGGCAGAGTCTGCGCGGAAATAAGGCAGCTATGGGCTTCATCCGCAAGAACACGCTCGGCAACTTGTCTCGATGGTTTAGCTATATTGAGCAGGCGCATCCTGAGCTCGGACAGGAAGCCAAGGCTGCCGACGCCGCCTCCAAGGCCAAGACAGCGGCTGCTAGCAAGGCTGGCGCCAACTACAACCTCGCCCTCCAGGATGCCGACAAGGGCGTCGTCACCCGTTTCCTTCCCGAGCCTTCGTAAGGCTTAAACACACTATCTGTCCCGCAATACCTACTGACTCTTACAGTGGCTACCTTCACATTGGACACGCCAAGGCGGCCCTCCTCTCCGACTACTTTGGCCATGTCGCCTACAAGGGCCAGATGCGCCTCCGTCTCGACGATACCAACCCCTCCAAGGAGAAGCAGGAGTTCCAGGACGCCATTGTCGAGGACCTCGCTCTGATGGGAATCAAGCCCGACACTCTGACCTACACTTCCGACTACTTTGACTACCTGTACGACATGTGCATCAAGCTGATCAAGATGGGCAAGGCCTACGCCGACGACACTGATCAGGAGACGATGCGTGACGAGCGCATGCATGGCCGTCCCTCCAAGCGCCGCGACCGAACCGTCGAGGAGACCCTGCGCATCTTTGAGGAGATGAAGAAGGGCACCGAGGAGGGTCTTGCCAATTGCATCCGCGCCAAGCTGTCTGTCGACAACCCCAACAAGGCCATGCGTGATCCTGTCATCTATCGTTGTAACGTCGAGCAGCCTCACCACCGTACTGGCCGCAAGTGGAATACGTACCCCATGTACGATTTCGCTTGTCCCGTCGTGGACAGCCACGAGGGCGTCACCCACGCCCTCCGTTCCACCGAGTACACCGACCGCAACCCCCAGTACCAGTGGTTCATTGATACTCTGGGCCTTCGACAGGTACACATGTGGGACTTTTCCCGCCTCAACTTTATCAAGACTTTCCTTTCCAAGCGCAAGCTCGCCAAGCTTGTTGACAGCGGCAAGGTCTGGGGCTGGGACGACCCTCGCATGCCCACTATCCGTGGTGTCCGCCGTCGCGGTATGACGGTGGCTGCGCTCCGTGATTTCATTATCAAACAGGGCCCTAGCCGTAACATTGTCTCCATGGACTGGACCACTTTCTGGGCTGCCAACAAGAAGGAGATTGACCCCATTGCTCCCCGCCATACTGCTCTGCTCAAGAAGGACCTGGTTAAGGTGGACCTGTCTGGCTCCGAGACACCCTCTGGTGTCGTTGTGGAGGAACGCCCCAAGCACCCCAAGAATGCCGACGTCGGTAACAAGCAGGTGTACTTTTCTCCTCAGATCTACCTCGACCAAGCCGATGCCAAGACTTTCAAGCCTGACGAGGAGATTACTCTCATGGGCTGGGGCAACGCGTTTGTCCGCGACATTCCCACTAACGACCCCATCCCCAGCTTGAAGCTCGAGCTTAATCTCAAGGGTGACTTCAAGACGACTGAGAAGAAGGTTACCTGGCTCTCGGCTCAAGGCTTCGACTTGGTGCCTGCGGAGCTGTGGGAGTTTGACTACCTCATCACCAAGGACAAGCTTGAGGAGGAGGATAACCTCGAGGACTATCTCAACCCCAACACTGCTAGCATGGAGGAGGCTGTCTGCGACCCCGGCGTGGGCAAGCTCAAGAAGGACGACATTATCCAGCTCGAGCGTCGTGGTTTCTTCCGCGTTGACAAGGGCCTCGGCGATTGGGCCGCGGGTGAGGCAGGCGAGAAGGGACCCCGCGTTGTCTTGTTTGCAATCCCTACTGGCAAGGGCGGAAAATAAAATGCAAAAGTAGCAAACCGCATATACATGAATAAAATGACTTTATGGGACCAAAGGTATCTACATTCTATTCCCGAAAAATGCTATTTACATAGTAGCCGTGCATGTATAGACATGATTGTGCGTCATTCAAGGCAGGCAGGTAAGCATGCTCTTGAGTTTGTTTAGCACAGCCTGCTGCTTGGCAAGGTCGTTGACCGTCGTCTTGTCGCTGGCGTCACCAATGCTGACGGAAATGTAACAGCCACTTTGGTCATGGACGTGGTGTTCGGTAGGCAGTCGGTCGCCGCCGCACCACTCGACGTCCTTGGGCGAGAGAAAGCCCGGGTTGATGCGGCTCAGCACCCACTTGAACGAGGCAGCGTCCGGGCAGCTGTCGTCTACATCGGGGAAATTGACATTGAGAAAGACGTCGTCTGGCAGGTACGGCTTCCCCGACGCGACAATGGCGTTTGTAAAGTTGGTCGCGAGCTGGGCGTAGACCTCGCTGACCTTGGGCACGGGATTCGTGTCCCAGCGCAGCCGGCCGTGGTCGGCACCGGAAAAGGCAATGGCGGGGATGCGCGCATTGTGGGCGGCGTACGAGGCGGCGCCGACGGTGCCGGAAAAGGGCACGGCGAGCCAAATGTTGCCGCCGACGTTGGGGCCCGCGACGGCGAGCTCGGGCGCGGCGCCGTCCCAGAGCTGCGGGCCAAAGGTGTCGATGCCGTATTTGATGGCCGTGACGGGGTACGAATTGACCCAGTTGAGGTCCAGACGGGTGGCGTTGTGGCCGGCCGGGCCCGAGTTGGGCGGGCACGAGTCGTACTGGCAGGGCTCTCTGCGATCGGCGGGCGGCTCGTCAAGGGAGGCTGGAGAGGAGGAGGGAAAGTAGGTCAGCATTTTATCTAAAAATTTCGAGTATTTGCCGCCCGAGAAGGGAAAAAAAAAAGAAAAAAGGAAAAAAAAAGGGAGACGTACATCTGGCGGACTTGTTCTCTGCCGGGCACGACAGGACCACGTCGTGACCAGAGGCGCGCAGGGCGTCCTCCAGCGAGCGCGTGTAGAGCTCGGCCCAGCCATCGTCGTTGCCCTGGACGATGCGGATGCCCTGGACGGCAAGGACCTGCAAGAGGGCGAGCGCAAAGACGGTTTTCATGGCGGCGACGTATTGAGCTGCTGTCTTGGAGAGACGCGGCAAGTGTCGAAGGGCCCCGTTGGCGTTGTCTTGAAACTGCGCGTGTGAATGCTTCCGAGTTGGAAAATGCGATTCCACGAAACACGATGGGAGTGGACAGGGAAAGAGAACATTCAAGTATGGTTTCGGTAATCAGTCAACGCGCGGGCGGCTTGCAACTTGATTTGCCCGTGATCTTGTTCAGAGCCCGTGCGCCAGTCCCGAGTGCCGCCGCCGGCTGACCATGACGGAATGGTCGGTCGCCCGTATGGACATGCGCGCATTGTTTAGTAGCGCCGTCTATGCACAGGTAATGGAGTTGACGGCGAAAGAAGCTCGACCTGAGGATGGGATGGTCAGTGCTGTTCCAGGGGCGGAAACTAACCATTCCAAGGGCCCTGCGATCAGCGTGGCAGGGGTCTCCGCCGCCGATGGGATTCTACAAGTAGTTTAGAGCTCCTGCAGGTCTATAAGTTAGTTACAACGGCCTATCGAAAACCGCTGAAGATGCTCCTGACAGACTGTGATTACGGCTGGGTAGCGTCCACGCAACTTGACCGAGGGGAGAAATGACTCGTCGGGGATATAGCGAGCTCCAGCACGCACAACGGACAAGACGGCATCGTACCTGGGACTAGATAAAGATAGCTCACAATGTCCCTGTTTATGTGGGCTTTAGTTGCCGACCAGGCGACGGACGGACGCTGGCCTTTACAACGCTCAGGCCAAATCACGGTGGCAAAGTGGGCGCGGCCACATGGACGGACGGCCGGTAAAGCCGTTAGTTTGGTACAAGTTGGGACCAAAAGACATTTGAGGCCGAGATGAGAGCCACTTGGCAGATTTAGTGCCAAAGACTAGCGAAACTCCGTGGGCTTTTTTTTCAGACTGCATTTCATCTTCCATTGTAGCCCAGTATAGTTGCTATCTGCTGCGATCCATGGCTTGTCACGAGCCTCTTCGGTCGGGCGCAGGCTTGAAATACAGGCTATGAGTCGGAATTTAGGTTATTTATTACATGCCGCGGGCCGAGAAGAAAGATGCATGGCCAATTAGTATTTGAATAAGTCGATACGGCACTAAGCAACGCTATTAAGCACGCCTAGCAATATAACATTGCAGTATGGATAGTATAGTGTGGTTAGACTAGTCGCAAGCTACTCGGGTAAATGAAAGATTCGAAGTTAAAGGAAGAAGGACGAGAAGGCCGGCAAGAATAAACATTATCACGAAAAAAAAAAGAAATTATAAATAAGATAACAAAATTAAGAAAGCCTTCAACATGAGATAAACTATAGTGAGCTGCAATTACGTCTCTATCAATACCCACTGATATGTTACATAGTCGCAGGCTTTTTACTCATATACTACAGCCCTTCGAGTATAATGATGATATCGGCACAGGTGATCCCAGAAACGGAATGGTGCTGTAGATCAGAGGAGCGCCATGTCACGGCTTCGTTCCTTGGCCGTCTTTGCCAAATCGCAGTATATTTCAACGTGGCGCCGCCGAGACATCAGAAACAACACATAACATGTTGTGCAACGCCACAAGGCCGCCTATATTGCGACGAGTTGGTTCGCTCTCTTGTTCGCAACACGCCGTGGCCTTGATATAACGCAGAGGTGCCCAATCGCAGTTCAGCTGGGGAACGAAGGATGCGACGTGCAGCACCACGTGTTAGCTGCCATGTCACTGAGAATTCGGTACTTGCCTGCCGACACACTTTAAACAACGTATCATATAATCTGCTACTACACGTGCCAGCTTGACAGCTGCAATCAAGGCGCTGCCTATCTGCAATGCGAACTGCCGCCGGCATCCGAGTGATTCGGGTTGGCTGCCTGACTGCGCCGTCATTCAAGTACATAAACAAGTACATTCTCAGAAGGTCGCTGATACCGAAATACAATTCACAGTACAGTAGCCATCTTTACTGGCATCTTATTGCACTATAATCTATCTTAATTTCCTGCCGTGATGACTTCAACCATGGAGAAAGAAAGACAACTTGCATGTCTGTCACTCCTCTATGAAGCCGTCAATGAGACGTGCCGAGCCGGCGCCGAGGCCGCCTACTCTTCTGGAGTCGCGGGCCAAGAGGAGAGCTTGTCGGACACAGAGACGTTTCTGTGCAAGCTTGCTCAGATCTGCGACTCGCAAAAGGGAGGCGATACCATTACAGCTCTGGCCTGCCTCACCGGCCGCGATGGGCTTGAGTATATCATCTGCTCCAACTCTCGGCAAGACTCGGAGCTGAATGAATGCGTCCGATTTCTGACCAAGCTGCTTAATTATGCCATGACAAACCCTGATGAGCTGCAGGCCAAGGCTTTGCGCAAACAGGTGCTATGGCGTATTCTCAAGTTCAATATTGGCCGTGTCAGCCACTATCTCAAGGCGCTGTTCGAGATGGTGCAGAGATGCATCAACGACTGCTACACGCGTGGAGAGGGAGATCGTAGGTACCCCAATACAGACCAAAAAGTATTGAGCACTCTAACATTTCGATAGACTCGCCGGCTTTGGGATATCTTCTCGCCATTGGTGAGCGGTGCACATTTGAAATTGACATGAGCAGCACTGAAAACAGTGAATCTCTCTGTATGAAATGCCCAACAACCACCGTCCGGCACGCATCCCTGCGCCCGCCCAAACTGACCATGAACTAGTTTTGAGCAGCTGTGAAAACCTCATCAATATTATTCAAGATGCCAAAGCCAAAGGATTATCGCGCATTCTAGACACTCGCGCGAACGTACCGAGCAACCGCAACTGGAGCCAGCTACGCCATCTCTTTGGCCGTCTGCACTCGTACCGGCAGGCCGCCGACACCATCATCGCGGCCTCCGTGCGCCGCCCAGATCTCCTGACCAACTTCACCATCCAGTTCGTGTCGTCGGCGGCGCCCGCGCGCAGCCTCGTCCCGCGGGGCATGCGGCTGCGGCAGCTGCTGCGCGACGCGTTCCCCGAGGGCTCCGTCGAGCCCGGCTGCGCCGAGGATCTCGCCGAGCTCGAGCACCGCGGCCTGCACGAGGTGCTCGCGGCCCTGCAGCACCGGCACCGCACCAAGACGACGGTGCACTGCGAGGTGCTGCTGCACGGCTACCTCCACGACCAGGGCCGCGTGTCGCCGCCGCAGTTTCTCGACGGCGCGTGCTTCATTGCCACGAGCAAGCCGCCGTGCAAGCTGTGCCACGTCTACTTTTGCGCGACGGCGCTCAACAACAACAATAACAACGGGCAGCGGCCGTTTCGCGTGCGCGCGCCGCACCTCAACATGTACGCGCGCTGGCGCCTCCCGGATATGGACGCCGCCGACAATGACGCGGCGGCGGCGGCGGCGTTAGAAGATCGTAATGATGTGCTCGAGGACATGGTTGAGCAGATGCAGAGCGATACGGTGGCGCTTCTGCGCGACAAGAGGGCGACGTGGCGACGAAACGACTCGCGGACGGACACGCACGCAGGGTTTCAGTCGGCGCTGGGGATGATGATGAGCTCGCGCGGCGGCGGAGGGGCGAGCGTGTCCGCCGACGATGTGACGAGCACGCGCTCGCAGACCGAGGTTGACATGGCGCCGCCGCGATATACGCCTGTTGGTTCGGCAGCACCGTCGATTGCGGGCAGCTGGGGTTGTCAATCAGGGTAGACGAGACGTGCAGGGGCATCCACGTACAAATGATGAATGTAGTCTGTACTAATAGTCTTTTGATACTCTACATCAGTATCTCTGGCCGTCGACCCATCTATGACTTGTCTTCCTCACTGAAAATGCATATTCTGTAAATAATAATTATTTCTGAGGCCCAAGGTCTTGAAGTCATACGCCCATTATGGGAATACAGTGCAATACCATACACATTGTAGTGCAGCCCATCTATTGACAGTCTAGTGTAGTGCAGCTTCAAAAGGATATTGTCTCAAGGTTTCTGCATTATTAAAACACTGCTGCAGAGGCTAAGGGTGAAGATATACCTAGATTCACAGACGCGGTCGCATTTAATGTAGATGACAATGCATTCGTATTTGAGCACTCTAGCAAACACGTTTTTTTCCATCCTGACACACGTACAAGTACCAATCTCTACAAGTATTTCCATGGCGAGCTTGGTAGAAAATCAAGGCCCGGCGCCGAGAAGAGGTCTGAAGCCAAATATAACGCCCTCGCAGCCAGGAGGCGCATGCGCTTCCCAGTTAGTAATGACCATGCTGGTCAAGCCGAATCCTGGATGCCTGACAGTGCTCTTTTGATGCGCATGCTGTGCGGCTCCATACCCCCCATGCCTTTTATTCTTATTCGAACCAAATGTCAGCTGACCGATCTTTTGACCGTACGTGACATTAATCGCCTCAATATACTCGTCAAAGGCCAAGTTGGCCTGAGCCTCGACGCCACCCTTGCCGTCTCCAAACAAGGGTCCCCAATGACCGCCGTACTGCACTTGGAGAGAGTCTACATCTTGGTAGTGGCGCACCATGACGGCTGTGATGTTGGCACCGCGCTCAGTCACGGGAGGCTGCTTCTTGGCGTCCCAGGTGGCGCCCTTGGTGTACCGGCCGTACGGGCCTGAAAAGATCTCGCGGTCGAGTGCCAGCTGGGCGGACTCGGGCATCTCTTTGCCAGCCATATATGGCCAAAACTCGGCAGGCGTGAGCACGTTCTTGATCATGGTCGTGTCGTAGTCTGATAGGGCAAGAGCATGTAGAGCCTCCTTGCGTCCCTCGTCGCTGCTGGTCGACGTATAAGGCTTGACCTTCTTACGGCCCTCCTCGTAGTACTTCTTGACGTAGGCGGGGTAGGTCAGAGTCGCGCCCGCCCCGGCGGTCGCATTACCAGGGGCGGTCGCGTTAGACTGGAACTCGAGCGCTTCTCTCCAGGTGTCGAGGAGCTCGGCGTCCCAGCCCGCGGCCTCGCCGGTGGCGATGGACTTCTTCAGGGCCTCTTGCTGCGATGGCTGTCGCGGCGACGGCTTGGCTTGGCAATGCGGAGCTCGGATGCGGCGCTTAGGAGAGGAGACTGTAAACTCGTCAAACTCAACCTGCAGGGTGTGTTTAACGTAGTTTTCAGGCCATCCCCACTCTACTCCGTGCTTGATGCCGTCAGATAGGAGTGTCAGGTGCATGTTGGCGGCCTGGGTGAATAGCGGAAGAGCGGCTACGGCATAATCCTCGACCTGGAACTCTGGGATTCCTGCGCGTATAACTGCAAGAAAGGCAATATGATGTTCGCGAAGAGTCTGGCCCATCTGTGCCTTTTCATGCCCAGTAGCCTTCTCATAGTCATTGTAGACGCTGGTAAAAGCCTTCATATTTGCGGCAAAGCCCACGACTTTCTTCTGCAAGATCTTGACCTGGCTCTCCTGGATCTTGGCGCCAATCAATGTTTCAATCTGTTTGCGTAGGTGGTTCCACAAGGCGTTGGGATCCTTTTTCGAGGGAAAGAGCACGGCGCCCAAGAGCGATGTAAAGGCAGCCAGAAGAGGGCCGACTTCAGGAACTAACCCAACACCAATCGCAAAGATGGAAAAGATGTAAGAGTATATAGCGTTGGCGTCAGAGGCATCGATCACCACACCACCTCTGGCGGCGATGAGCGCGGCTTTGGCGTAGTTGATGGCAGCATCAGCGTTGATCTTCATGTTTGCGTTGAATTGTTTGCAAAGACGGGTAGCAAAGATCCTCGTGGTGAGGAGCAATAGGAGAGATAGTAGTAGACTGTTACTTTCGATAGAAGGAATTGAAGCGACAAGGCCTCTTATAAGTATTCTTTTTTTTTTTTTGTTGTCAGAATACACCCGCGAAAGTGCCACAGACGGCCATGTTCTTACTTGCTTGATTATTGAAGCAAATTTTCCAGTCTTCTCGTATCATGTTGTGCTGCTCCGTGCGCCTCTTCGGTCTAGTTTCTAGGTGATATAGCTAACGTAATTTTCGTATGCCTTACTCGGTAGTTGGTATCCGTACCGACAAGGAAGATCGAAATACTTGCAGGGCTGCGACCACCCATGCCAGCCAGGTTGCCAGGTTTAAACCCTGCCATCGAACAAGGGTCAGTTTTTTGCAGTTGAAAAAGATACCAGATTAGGATACGATATTTCTGCACGACATTACGTAGCTGCCAATTACGCCGATGGTCCCGTCGTGCTCCTAGACCGACCGTTGCAGCAAGCTGCTCCCCATAATTCTGCCGACGTACTGGTATTACTGACTCGATCTAGTTTCCGTATAGGGCTAGTATTTGTTCTCCTGGCACAGGCGCTAAGCGATGTGATTTTCGGTATATGTACCTGGTCACTTGTCGACTACCTACGCACCTGGCACGTCTCCCGTTCACAACGTCCCTTTGCCGTCTAGTAAGACTATCGATGCACTCACATATGTCACAATGATTTTATATTAGCACCTACACGTGTCAGATACCCCAACAGCTTTATTAGAACGGAAAGGAGACTTTGCTTACGTGACGGCGTATTTTGACCGTGTTAAAAAATCACCCCCCGTGCGTACATGCTGATTATACCTAAGCAAGTCAGACTTTGAGATATGGCGGCACCCCACCGCATGACGGTCCGCGACCATGTACCTATGGCGCGCTTATTTTCTTCTCGGTTACGCCGATACACAGCAGCCGAAATATGCCCCTGGTAAACGTGCACGTGCCAGGGTGGGATACGTGCGCGATGGAATGATTTACCATCTCGTATACTGCAGCCGGGTTCTAGTCAGATGCGTTTCTATAGCAAATCGTGTTATAAGCACAAGTAATGGCCTTTAGAGCTGCTAGGCTTTTCAAATTTTGGTCATTTTCTGCTCAATACGAAGTGAGCCTCTGAACGGGCCAGGCCATCGTTTATCACAACGTATCCATTTATTATCTTTATGCATTGCAACGCGACATGTGCCCGCAGCCTACTTATTGAGACGGGCTACTGAAATAAGCAGTACCTGTAGCACATCTGCAGCGCATCTACCTATTACTTATCCTCACTACTTAGTTTAAATCTCTAACACCCTGACCTGACGTTACTCTATGCTCGTGACGGACTGTCCGCCATAGCTAGTGTGTGCACTTTTCATTTCAAGTTTTCCTAGCAAGTCATGAAAGCGGCGAAATTTTATCGACATGACATTTCGGCCGTCGCTCCGTGCTTCAAAATCGCAGCAGGGAATATGTAATTGTACATCAGCATTGGCTAACGCGCCATCAGCGGTTCTGAATTCCTATAAAATGTCAACAACTATCAGTGAAAGCGATAGCATCCAATATCTATACCTTTGATTGAACCAGTTTCACGGACAAATCCCCTTGATAGTTGAGATTTGTCGACACTGTGATTTCACTTTCCCATTCTGAAGTCGTTGATGACTTTCCAACTGGATTCAAATCACAGATGAGAAGACTTTTAACTTGGCCGTTGGTACTAAAGGTGTTGAAGGTTGGGAGGTATTAGGGTTGGATGTATGAGGGTTGGAGGTACCTTGTTTTTACTAAATTGGCGGTGTTTTATTCAAAGAATTTGGTTATGCCGAAAGGACGTTGCTTTACTGAAGAAAAACACGGCCTACACACACAACACGAAGCCCCGACGAAGGCTCTACAGACGCCGAATTCGAGCTAATGAACTCGAAAAGAAATGCATTGTCGTTCTTTTTTTTATAATGACAATAACAACAGTAGGTCTTGCTAGTCGGACCTCATCGTATTACTGGTACTTACCAGACCACGTGCAGATCTAGGTACCTGCCCACGAAGTGACTGCCCCACGGTTTCGGTCTACTGTAAGAAGCCTAAACCAAGTGATTTTGCTTACAAAGAAAAGGCATTTTCGTCATTGTTGATAATGATTGTAACAGCATACATACATAGCCCAAGGATACGAAGACGGTGGAGCTGGCGGACATAAAGAGCCCAGGCTAAGAGCTGCTGTTGTAGTTAAGCGCGGTATCTGTCTTTTAGTGGGTGGGATGCACGGCAAGTACAACCCGCTGTAGATGCATACCCTGCATACCTACGGCGCGGAACAAGGAAATTGTTGAGATCCCAATAGCAAGTTATCCTTTTGTAATACCATAGTCGAGCAGCACAATTGTTTTCCAGGATGAGATTGTTGATCGTTTGTGCCCCAGTCAAGTGTAGAGTGACGTATCGTAGAATTGGCCCGAAGTATCTAGAGTAAAAGAGTATACTTGTTGTCAAGGGAGTCTAGTCCTGGAAGTCAACTTGAAGAGAGCTTTTCTTGCGGCTGCATCTGGTCTGCTAAGAAAATTGCTAGATTCATTTGCATATTGAGACTCGGATTCTGCAGCTGCTACGAAAAGAAATGTACTCACACTTTTATCGTGCTCCATCATGGTTTGAGGGACACCCGCCATTGCACTAGCTGAGGGACTTTGACCTTTGAACTTGTATCAGCAGACTTATACCAATCTCCAAGCTCTTTACATTTATGCTCCATCATAATGCGCCCAGAGTATCAATCTTCTGGTATTAAATGCACCATTGCATGCAATCAAGTCAACATATCGTTGGCTCGCCCCGCGGCGCCGGCTCGGATCTGGCAGTCGCGTCACTGCAGGCTTCTCATTGGTCGAGCCAAAATCTCTCCTCGCCCTCATCTGCCGTCCCCTTCAGGTCTTATCATTTACAAGCCCGCCCGCCACTTGCTCATCTTTCTTCATACTCTTTCTGCTCACATTTTTCCTTTTCTCCTAATTATTTTCCTCGATTTCATCTTGCTATCCATTACAGTAATAAAGCCTCACTCTAAGCCTTTTATCCATCATGGCCACCAAAGAGACAAAAGAAACACCACCCACACAAAATGTCCTGGAATGCGGCCAAGTGCCTTCCCCTCCGGAAAAGAAAGTGTCGGCTTTCAAGTCCCTAGGGCTGCTGGATCGCTACTTGGCAGTTTGGATTTTCCTAGCCATGGTGATTGGTATCTTGCTGGGCAATTTCGTGCCGCATATTGGCCAATCACTCCAGCGCGGACAATTCGTCGATGTCTCTGTCCCCATTGGTATCTACTTCTACCTTTCTCTCCTTCATCGTCCTCTACAATACTATACTAACGTTTGTTGCAGCAATCGGCCTCTTGGTCATGATGTATCCCATTCTATGCAAGGTCCGCTACGAGACACTGCACATTATCCTGCGCCAAAAGGAGCTGTGGAAGCAGATTGGCTTTTCCGTCTTTATCAATTGGATCGTGGCACCATTCTTCATGGTACGTACCTCTCTTCTCTCTTCCCTAGGCATTCCTTTTTCCTGACTCCATCTAGTTGGCCCTCGCCTGGGCGTTCCTCCCGGACGAGCCCACCCTCCGCGCAGGGCTCATCCTCGTCGGCCTCGGTCGCTGCATCGCCATGGTCCTCATCTGGAACGGTCTCGCTGGCGGTGACGCCGAGTACTGCGCTATTCTCGTCGCCGTCAACTCCATTCTCCAAATGGTGCTCTTCGCGCCCCTGGCCGTCTTTTTCCTGCGCGTCATCAGCCACACGCCCACCACCACCACCACCGCCGACGGCCTCCGTGGACTCTCCTACTCCGTCGTCGCCACCAGCGTCGGCGTTTTTCTCGGCATTCCCCTCGGCGCCGCCATCCTCACGCGTCTCAGCCTGCGCCGGATATTCGGCGGCGAGTGGTACGAGCACACGTTCCTCAAGTGGCTCTCGCCGTGGTCGCTCATCGGCCTGCTGTACACCATCATTGTGCTGTTTGCGTCGCAGGGCGCGCACGTGGTCCGGCAGATTGTGTCGGTGGTGAGAGTCGCCGCTCCCCTAGTTGTGTACTTTTTGTGCATCTTCTTCTTCACGCTGTGGGTGACGCGGCGGCTCGGGTTCGGGTACCGCCTGGGCTGCACGCAGAGCTTCACGGCGGCGAGCAACAACTTTGAGCTGGCCATTGCCGTGGCCGTGGCCACGTTTGGGCCAAACAGCGATGAGGCGCTTGCGGCGTCGGTCGGGCCGCTGATTGAGGTGCCGGTGTTGATTGCGCTGGTCTATCTCGTCAAGTGGCTCGGCGCACGATGGAACTGGAAGAAGTGAGACTTCAACAGAGGTACCTAGGTATATCTAAAGTGATAGAGAAGATACCTAGCTATGTCTGAAGTGATGGAGAAATGGATACCCTTGGCAGACTTGAAGTGATAGAGATAGATCGATACCACGATACAGTTTCTCATGGAGACTTTCAGCACTACGAGTGCTGTATTGTTGTAATTAATAGATTGTTGAGTAGCTATGCTTGCTCTTGCAAGACTGCATATTCTTCTGTAAATTGCTCAGTCCAGACTCTCTTGCAATAAATGCGTCGTAGATGCCATGCTGTATACATGTAATGCCGACACAGTTGTGAATGCAAACGTCCCACCGTATCTCCGGGTATCCCCTCATATCATCGTTTCCACCAAGCATCCCGTTTTCCAATCCGTGGCGAGGTCCGTTCCTGCGCCTTTTGTTGTGCCCATACCCAGCCAAGGCTCATAATACATGTTGATACCAAACTCCTTTTTTTTTCCGCTTTCACATCAATTCTCCTACATTTCTTTTTTTGCTATGATGTATTCTTTTCCATTATTTGAAAAAGCAACGTGTTCTTGACAAAGCATTCACATTCCGCGTCCTCGCACCCCAGGCTGGCCTTGACAGCGTGCTTGTTGACGGGCGCGCCGCCTTGCATCTCGGCAATGATTTGCGCAGCCGTGTTGCAGGACATGACAAGAGGTGAGGCAGATTGCGGTTGTGTTTGAGGCGTAACGTGGTGGTGGTGATGGCTGCCGTACTGGCCGTGCAGTCCCGAGATGGGCGTGCCGGGCATGGTGCTCGGTCCTGTGCTGGGCGGACTCTGCGCAGCCACCGTCGACTCGCTGGGTGTTGTGGCCGAAGTCGAGCCGCTGCTGCCGCAGCAGTGGTCGCTGATACTGGCGTCTGCTAGGACAGCTAAACGGTCGATTCCGCTGTCGCTGTGGTACTGACTATGGTGTGGATATGTGCTGCTCGTCGTGGTGTGAGGTGCAGGCTTTGTCGCGGGCGTAGCGTAGGCCGGACCGGGAGGCGGAGGAAAGCCATGCAGAACCTCGTCGTCGCGGGCAATGCCCGTCTCGAACATGGCGAGGAACTTGTCGACCTCGGCGTTGGTGACGCCACGGCGGGCGAGCAGCAGGCGCAGGCGCGAGTTCTCAATCGCGACGGTGCGAGCGGCCTGCTGCATCTGCAGGGTGGCCTCGACGCCCTGCTTCTCGTACTCATCGAGGCGACGCTGCATGCCTTCGACAAATTCCTTGCGGCGGGCGCGAGAGCGGCGCTGATTCTCGCGGATGCGCTCGGCGGCGGGATTCGTCGAAGCGGCTTGTGTAGTCTGTGGGAGGGGCTGTCTAGTCAGTTTTGCTGCTTATGCTTGATTTGTTGACAAGATTGAGGACGAAAGAGGATGAGAGGGTGGTGAGGAAGAGGGAAAGAGGGAGAAGAACAGACAATCAAACACAGCAGGGGGCGTGAAAGCAACGCAAATCAAACAAGGCTCTGAGCTGGTGGAATCGTACCTTAGCACCGGCCATTGTGAACGAGACGAAGAAATTACATCAACATGTAGAGGATGTGATGGTAATATTATTGATAAACCAGCGACAAGTCTCTGACTAGTCACGGTGTTTTCGATATCGTCAAAGGACCAAAGGAGAGAATCGAGTCAAAAGTCGTCTCACAGGATTGGTGGTGCAAAGTTTCTTCACTTGGCCAACTTACAGAGTTAACAAAAAGCTGCAAAGATCTTCTCCGCGGTCCGTGCTGTGTCAGCCAGTGGGGCACATTTGCACCACAGCATGTCACTGCAATGTCACAGCTGTGAATGGAGCGATTGGGGGAGGGGTAGTGATGGATTCGACATTCTAAACATTTCCAACAAGTCTTTGATGATACAAGGGCTCTTGGTGATTTTTCCGTGATTTTACAATGCCTCTGTGGGTTGCTGGTTACACGCACAATTCACGCCCAAAACCAGGGTCCTGTGTGCGAAAAAACTAGCTCCACCAACACAGTGTCCCGCCCCAACAAGATCAACACAATAATACCAATGAGAAACGTTAATAATAAATACTTTGATTCGAATGCATGACGACTCCAATTATGCTGATATATCAAGTGCTACCAGATGTAAAAATGAAAATAAAAGCAAGACCTTTGGGTATCATTGACCGTGATAAAAACTTTGACCTCTCTCTCCCAGCCACCACCACCACAACTCCAATCTACTTGAACATTTGCTTACGCGTCCGCGCAGAGAAGCGCTCCACGCCGCTGCCCTGCTGGTTGTGCCACAGCTGCTGCATGCCCACCCCGTGACTCTGCTTAGAAGCCCGGTACCGCAGCCACGCCGCTCGTAAATGGTCCGGCCGCAGCGGCCCGCGCTTCGGGTCCAGCTCCAGCTCCCGCTTCTCCTCATCAGTGCTGTCGGGCGGCGGTGGCGGCGTCGGCAGCTCGCTTTGGTGCTCGCCCGCCCGGATCCATTCCGCCTGCACCTGGCGCGCCTCCTCGATGAGCTCGCCCGCAAACAGCTTGGCCACGGCCTTGACGGCGGTGCTGACCATTTGCGGGACAGACTGCGACACTGTAGCGTTGACGACCTAATCTTGTTAGCGGCTGTCACCGGAGAACGACTGTACAGTTTGTGATGCTCACCCTTTTGACAACTGCATCCGACAACTTGGCGGCGCGCCACAGCTCGTACCGATTGTACTGCTCGCTATCAAACGCCTCGACCAGCATCGCGCGCAGCCGAATCTCCTCCTGCTTCTGCTCTTGCGTGCGTGCCACCACATCCTCGAGCGCCATTTCCGCCTTGTCGTCGTCCTCGTCCTCTTCGGCCTCTTTGTCTACGCCCTGGCCCGACACGTTGGTCGCCGCCTTGCCGCCCGCGACGCTCGACGCCTGATCGTTTGCGCCGCCATCGTCCCCCGTCTTGCCCGCTCCTCGCGCCAACTTGCGGCTACGTTTTTTGCGCGCAGCAGCACCGCCCACGCCGCTAGCCGTGCCGCTCACCGCGCTGCCACTTACGTGCGAGAGGGCATCGACTGATGGCGACCGCGTGTGCGGCGACCGCGCCTCGGGGGGGAACGATGTCTGTCGGAGCGGGTGCACCGGCACCGACGACTGAGAAAGCGTCGAAGCCTTGCGTCGCTTCATCGCTGGCGGCTTGCCCGTGGTGTCGAAGCTCGACGAGCGCTTCTTATTGGGGATCGATGCGGGCGTCGGGTAGGGAGGCGACATGGCCGTCGGCGAGGAGGCATACTGCGGCGGCGAGGCCATGGTGCGCGTGGCTGTGAATGTTTTGAAGCGACAGGTTGATATGCGTGTGCGGGCTGGTTGCGCACGCGAACGAGTGAAATGCGATGCCGGGTCGATGCGTGAGAGATGGAAGAAGCAGACCTGCACTCGGCGCGGAGATGGATCCTTCGAGCTCTTGAGCGCGGTCGCGCCAACTGTACAACGCCAGCCAATCACATGACCGGATGCGTTGCGTCGGCCCGACACCCAAGGTATCTCAGCCTCGCCAGCAGATCAAAGGTAAAAAAATGACAATAGTGTCGGATCAGACGAGATAGAGATTATGATTGAGATTTCGTAAGTTTTTACAATGTAAACTGTGCTGCCGACCAAAGTTGGTTGATGTGGCTCTTGTCGTGCCTTAACTTGTACGGGGCTGGGAGCAGCAAGGAGTAAAATCAGATAAACCGAAACGTAAGCCCCATACGATTTTCAAGATTGAAAGTCAATGTCTGGTGAAAATAACTTTTCATCTTCTTTCCTTTAATCTAAACTGCTAATGCACAAAAGGGTCGCGTGACAGTTGATGGAGAGACTTCTGCTGGCAACAGCTTTGTCCTACCCTTGACGAGTTGATAAATTTCATGTACCCGTTTAGGGTTGGATTCAATGATTCTCTGCTGTTATTGGAAACCTTGAAGAATTTGTCATAATAATTAGCTACTTTATGAAAAATTCTGAACGACCGCCTAACCCTTTGACCAGACAGAGCTTGTAAATCCACCAGGCAAAAGAATCAGGTATATAGTTTGTCGCCCTACGGCATTGATGGCGTCCATGATTACCCTACACAGAGCTTACCTAGACATGCAAGATGTTGGAAGAAATGACAGATGTATTTTCTCATTTCTTGGTTGTATAGTCTTGATGACTTTGCAGGCTCTCTACAGCCTCGTGCTCCTCCACCAACTCGTCTACCTGGCCGTCAAGAGGCCAAGCTCATCATTGTCTGTCATTTGCATGTTTGAGTTCTTGCCATGGACAGAATCTACTCGGGAAAGCGGAAGAATTTCCAACTTAAACTCTCTCTTATGGTCGTCAATCACACGCGACGCATAAATCTTTGACATGCAGCGTGACACGTTTAGCAAGACGGTCCATCATTTCAGAAACAGCAAGTTCTATAAAGTAAACTCTAGCCAATGCTAGCGGTAGGTTTCGAGACTCCTTGCGCTGCTAGCGTAGCTTCATCATGGATGTCAGTCGACTCTTCAGAAATCCAAGAAGGACCGCCGGATTTTCACGTAGAGGTCTCCATCCTATTTCGCTCAGCAATTGGACGAAACATTCGAGACTCGGTCAGAAAGCGAGGTGTGACTTTTCTCCAAGACATGTTTCATTTGGATATGGGTGCCGCCCGTTGTGAAAATATGTTTAAATCATTTCAGTCTGGCTCGGCAGGTCAGCAGCGGTCTGTCTTCTCTGCGATCCACCATCATCAGCCAAGTACTTGTAAATTGCACACAACATACCCGTACACAATTAGAAACAACCATGCGTTGAGCATCGACAAACGTCGGCGCGGGGTCCATCAACGGGTTCATCAACGGGCCGAAGCGTCATGCAAACATGCATATTAATGCAAACATGCATACGGAGTATTGACCCGACAATAAAGCCAGGTTTCCCCACGCATTCAACTTTGTCTTTGTGATATTCCATTGCCAGGTGTACGCGCCACGTCGACGAGACGCACAGCTCACCAGGCCCCAGCTCAGACAACGGCGGACGCCAAGAAAAGGGACCAACGCTCGGGCGCGACGAGCCGGCTGGGGTGGTACCCCGGCTGGTGCAGCGGCATGCCAAGCATGCCAACTGAAAATAAACTCTTGCATCAAGGTTGGATCCCCAGTAAAGTAACATGGGTTTACGCAACGAGCCGGCTTGGGGGGGGGGGCTACCCCGGTTGGTGCGGGCGGCCTGCAAACTGAAAATAATAAACTCTTGCATCAAGGTTGAATCCCCAGTAAAGTGGGCGATGGTTTGCGCAAGGATGCCGGGCTGTCAATAAGACAGTAAAACGGGCTGAATAGATTGAAAGCCTGATACATAGGTCAGCTTGTGACCCAAGCATTAGCGAACAGGCCGGGTTTCCCCCAACCGTGACGTTATTCGCCCTGCGAATTCGTGTGCCTGGAGGCGCGGCAAACGTCCGTTCAGTCGTCATGAGAGAGAGAATTCATTATTAGGCACGGTCAGGCTTGGGGTCGATGCTAGCGCGGGCGGCAAAAGAGAGGACCACCGTCACTTGTCACCGTGACAGTGACAAAAAAGCCCCAACTCGTACGGATTACACTGGGTCGTTCCTTTGACGTAGCTATTGGCCCGTGCCTTTGACACAAGCTTGCTTTTCTTCCTGCATCGTGATCAGCGAGGAGGAAATGTCTGGGACGAGTAGGAAGGGCCCAATTGTCAACATTTTATTATAAGTAGGAGTAGGTCCGTGGTGGACATCTCTTGCCGTCTTTTGCTCATCACTCAAAACAAGCTTTCATATCAACAGCCTCTTACGCTACTTTTCTCCTCCAACTCGACATCACCTACAAACACATCAGACAAGATGAAGCTTACCGCCGTCGCCGCCGCCGTCTTTGCCCTTGCCGGCACCGGATTCGCCGCGCCTGCTGATGCCGGCAAGTGTGAGGGCATGACCGAGAACGGACAGTGGCTGGCGTGCCCCATGTTCTATATCCCGCCAGGATCGCCCTGCACGACGATTGCCGAGGACAAGAGCAAAGTCTGGCCTGATTGCGTAAGATTTTCCTCTACGAGTAACAGAGCGTAGACTAACAAGTGTCATAGTGCCCCCAGCCTTCCTGCCCCAGCGTCGAGTCACTCAAGAAGAGAGCTTAAATAGTATCAACCATGCGGATTCCATGACCTATTGTACAGTTCGGTAGTAATACTATGATTGTTTGTGCAAAGCTTTTGCCCATTTCTTCTGTGACGATTGTACGACTTGGCAAGACTGCCACCCGCATAGTTGCCCTGCATTGCTGAGGAAGACTGGCTACCAGTAAACATTTCAACTCGTTACTTTGAGAGTCATGCGTATGCTGACACGAGAGAAGCATCGTGGGCGAACTGCACTTCACTGGACTTTTGCTTTCCAAAGTCACCTCAATTACGCCGCGACAGTTTGCTGGCGTACGGCATAAACGGTGGATGCTGAGGCAGCAAGTGACGCGACTGCAATGGAAGCCAGAAGAGGAGGCAGAGCATTTGGCCTTGCGGTTGAAATGCCGAAATCAGCCCGGTTGCAACCCTGATTTCGACTCGCCCGCCAACAAGTTTGGCCATAGACACGAGAACGACATCAGCATTGTCAGAGTATGCTCAATAACAATGATGCACAGCTGCTGGGTTGTTGGGCAATCAAGATCTGCGCATCGGAACGGATGTGCAGCTGCCGCCTTTTTGAGCGACCAAGACCTGTGCATCAAACGCTATCAAGCAAGCTGTGAAGCAGACTCGGCAGTGTGTGCCCAGTGCCTATTGCGGTTTGAGAGCATACATGCGCACAGGAAGAAGCTTTCTCTTGGAATATAGAGGGCTGGCGCGCTGGAGCTCCGTCCTTATGAGCTTCAGTTTTGCCTGCGCAAACAGGTCTAGAAACTTGGCATCTAGCCTATCTCTTGGAATCAGTCAAAAGTCTTGTTGGAGCTGCATCAGCTCGACCATACCTTGTGACGCTGCTATCTACCGGGTCAAACATGTCGTCCAAGGCAGTGCTCAGGTTTTCCTTGACAATAATGAGGCCCGTCTCTGGTCTGAGGACGGTTTTGCAAGTCTCTAGGTAATGGACAATTTGCGCATCGGTAAGGTGACCCAGACACCACTGTGTCCAAATCAGATCATACTCGATCCCTTGGAGGGGTTGCCATTCCTCCAGCCCAACGTTGAAGATGTGCCTGACACCTTTTGTGCCTTGAAGCGGGTCGGTGAACCGGGAGATGGGCTCAATCACGTCAACCTCTTCGGCAATGTGAGAAAGCAACTCTTTTGTGATTCTTCCAATTCTATTCCATCCAAATCAGTGATATGATTCGGGAAAAAAAAAAAAAGTCTCCCACGCACCCTGCCCCAGCGTCTACGGCGCTCTTGACAGCTGCACGATCGCCTTTGATACCGATACCTAGCCTCGCCAGAAAGGCGCGAGAGCCTTGGATATCGGTCCGTGAGATGTGGCTGAATGCTTGAAAGGCTGGGATACCACCGAGCATGCCATTAGTGCTGGCGTCGGCGTTTTCCCAGTACTTTCTGCCCGCCTGGGTATTGATGAGCTCATCAATTCGGGAAGGCTGATCCGGTAGATCTGGTTGAGACATTGGTTTCTGGCCAGGACTGAATAATCTCGGATAGGTGACCAAGATGACTGTCGGTAGCACACAAAAAGAAAATTTTTATTGATGTTGTGATACTCGGGGATGATTCTATTGAACAGAGAGTATTTGGTGCGATTCTGCTGTGCTGGAAACAATTTTCCGAGTATCCACTCTGAACTGGGTACGTACCGACATACCCAACAGGTACCTATGCGTCTACCTACCTGTTTTGTTGGTGACTGTTCGTTTGCACAGCATATAATTCGCCTCAAATCTTCTGTTGGTGTAGCCACGCGGAAACAAAGGTTCCTTGAGGCCAGAGAGTGGGCATTCGAGGTAGAAAAATAAATTACTCATTTTTATTACAGCTCAGCTCCTCTGCTCCAGTGATGCGACGGAGCTGTACATCAGCGGCGCTAGGAAGTTCGTTACCAGGGACCCTGCAAAGCCGATTACCTCATTCTACAGAACCCGTGTGGGGACGGCCGGACAAGGCTTGCAAAGCCGATGTCGCGAACCAAACGAGAATTTTCTTTCCTTTTTGCTCATGTAGCCGTGAGTCAATGTTTCAATCCATTCATCGACTTATAAACATCGATCTCGTTGTTTTACAAAAGGATATCCCGTGTCAATCCTTTCTTCTCTTGTGACCATCCTCTTGATCGAACTCGTCCTCGTCCGCTCTCAACCGCGTTCCCGAACCCCGAATACCAGCAAACACCCCGCAATATGCCCAAACACCTCAGCGAGACGGCCTCCGTCTCGGGTTCATCCTCCTCCAGCGACAACTCATCATCCCGCAAGCGCAAGCGTTCCTCTGCCAAGAACTCCAACGGCGACGCCCAACAAACCACCAAGAAACCCTTCTCCGACAAGCACCTCGCCAACGGCCACCGTCGCAACTCGTCCTCCAAAGCTGCCCGCGATCCCCGCGACGATGCCCGAGCCGTCGCCGTACGCCAGCCTAACCCGGTCGTTGATCACGATGGTCTGAGCCGACCCGGTACGAAACTTGCTTTCGCATCTCCATTCTCTTTACTACTTGGACAATAATACTGACATGACGTTGGCGAAAAACAGCCAAAGGAACCCGCGCGCGACTCGAGGAAACCCCCCAACAAGAAGCCGCTCGCTTGGAAAAGATGCGCGCAGCCGTCCGCACTATTCTCGAGTGCGTTGGTGAGGATCCCGACCGCGAAGGTCTCCTCGACACTCCCTCGCGCTATGCCAAGGCCATGCTCTTCTTCACAAAGGGCTACCAGGTCAACGTCGACGACCTCGTCAACAACGCCCTCTTTAACGAGGGCCACAACGAAATGATTGTTGTCAAGGATATCGAGATTCACTCTCTCTGCGAGCACCACCTCGTTCCGTTTACCGGCAAGGTCAGTCTCTTTCCTTCTTTTTCCTCGCTTCGCTCGACGTGGGCTGGCAAAGTAAAGGCTGCTCGTTGTCGCTTGCACCACTTATACTCGAATCTTGGCTTACACGGAGTGCGTTACAGATGCACATTGGCTACATCCCTCGCAACACCGTCATTGGTCTCTCCAAGCTCCCCCGCATTGCCCAAATGTATGCCCGTCGACTGCAGGTCCAGGAGCGCCTCACCAAGGAGGTTGCCAATGCCGTCATGGACATTCTCAAGCCCCAGGGTGTCGCCGTCGTCATGGAGTCCTCCCACCTTTGCATGGTCATGCGCGGCGTCGAGCAGACATCCACGTCCACCATTACCTCATGCGTCCTCGGCTGTTTCGAGCGCAAGTCCAAGACCCGCAATGAGTTTCTCTCTCTCGTTGGCATCAACCGATAGGCCTATGTTTCTGATGACATGACGGCCAAGCGCCAAAGGGAATTTTGACGACGAGGTGAAATGACGACGACGGGGGAAACTCAACTGATTACTGTGACTACTTCAACATTCATATTGCGGCGTTCTGGGCGTTACTTTTCTCCATTCAGCGATACTTGTTCAATATTTTGGCGGCTGCATATTCAACAATAGCCCCTTTCTTCAACATACATTCCAAGAGCAATCATATATCTTCTATTTAGACCTTTAAAAGACCTTTTTTCACAGCCTGATTGTTGGAAACAGACCAAGTCAGCACCCACTAGATAGCAGCACGAATGAACAAGCTTCACACTCGGCGCCACACAGCGCCACAAAGATTAATTTTATAGCAAAGGAGACTTGCCACGCTGCATCTGTATGTACGTCCCGTAGAATGCTACGGGGACTAACCACGTCCATAAGATTTTGTGGTGGACGTGTCGCAACCCTGCCACCGAGAGGTCGAGTCAAGTTATCGTGTGCTTTATAAAATGCCCGTCGTAGCTCGAGCTTTCAAGCCTCGCCCACGTCCCCAGAAACATATATTCACCCTTCGGCAGCACATTCTCTTCCTACCCAGCATCCTCATCCATCGCCCCAAAGTCAGCCCTGTTACCGTATCGAGCAGACATGGATCTTTTGAGTGCTTGCGAAAGCCTCGCGGCTAATGTTCTCGAGCACGATATTCTTGACATATCTGACATGTACATTGCCGAGTCCGACACCAAACACTGGATGACGGCGTTCAACTTGACCCATGCCGAAGCCATTAATGAAATCACCAAGTGGCGCTCGGATTACACCCGCGAATCTCTCTCCCAGTCGGCCTGGGACACAATCAAAGAGTCCGATGCCGCTTCTGGATTCACAAAGGAATCCTACGAATTTAGTCTCACTCGCGGACGCACAATAAAGCAGAGCCATGCGACAGGCGCAGATGACACGGGCATGTATCTGCTCCGACTTGAAGAGCCGCTGCCGACCATTGCCACCTTCCAGGAGCTACTGAACACGGACAAGATTGAAGTCGTCTCTGGCATAGACGACGAGGGCAAGTCTGTGCAATTTGCCTACATGACTGCACAGATGAAGCGACTACTTATAAACAACCTTGCTCTGTCCGACAATATTTACTTTCGTCCCTCTTTTATCCGAGTCTCGATTGCGAAAAAAGACATTTCAGAGAACTCGAGATATCCAACATTCGGAGTAGACTCCACACTCCCCCAATACCGGGCGCCATCCGCTTCCTTTTGCTTTCAGCCGCTGCAAAACGAATATCCTGTGCGATACTTTTTCTACGGAACGCTGGCAGACCGCGCCGTCCTTGCCCGTGTCATTGGTGTGTCGGATGCGGACAGCATTCGATATGAGCCGTCCGTGCGGCCGTGCTCTCCAAAGCGATTCTCACGATGTGGGCGGGCAAATACCGAGGGGTGGTGGACGGTGGTCCAGACGACAAAGTGCAAGGTGTGGTGTACTGGGTAAAGTCGCGCGAGGAGGAGGATGCGCTGAGGATTTACGAGACGGCCAAGTATGAGGTCGTACGTTGTAGTGTTCACGTGGGAGAAGAGATGGATGCCTGTATGGGGCTTACATTTCGGCTCGTCTGATTTACAAAATGACTAGCATAGCGCAGGGCAGAAGTCAGGAAGAGCATCACGTACTGACGAAGCAACATCTGATAAAACGGTGCAAAATACATACAGGCAAACTCGGTCCACTCTACGAGCATAGTTATATCGGCCGTCTCTGGCTTTGTATTACAAACATTGTATTTGAAGTCTAAGTCATGAATTATCTGAGGCTTTTATATCCTAGCTCCATGGAATAGTCTACGAACGTGAGTTTCATCTTTCAATATTGGCGACGGCCTCAATGCCGTACCGTCAGGCGCGCCCTACTTGAACTTTTTGGTCCCAACGCGGCGCGTTTGGAATAAGTTGTGAGAGTATGGACAACTAATTTAATCATTCGAAACGATGTTAGTATCAAGAGGAGTAATTTAAAAAGCAAGAAGAGAGGTCTAGCGGATCTCTTGTAAAATTACTAGGATACGCACCAATCCTAGTGCTATGATTCCATCGCCTGTGTGCTTCCCGTCCCACACGCTGCCCGCCGACCCTGACTGTTCATATATTGTATTCTCTCTGAGTAACATTACTTCTATAATCGTATAGAAATCAACTATAAGTTGATTCATACCAAAATTGCTTTTCGAGGTAGTTCTAGATACCCTCTTTCGTAAAAGAAAATTGGAGATCTAGATGCTAATTCGAAACTTTCGGCAGCCATATCAATGCCAATGCAGCTTGTCCATGCGCTGGTAGTAGGCAGCGTCCGACTCGCCAGTCTCTCTCGGAGTGTCAACCGCCTTTCGGCAGATGCCGTGAGTGCAGATGCCAATGGCATTAGTCAAGCCCTGGTCACATTCATTGTCAACTCTGTAGTGATGGCAGAGGTTGCAATTTCCGTTGGTCTGCTGTATGCAATCTCCATGACTGTGGCAGCCAAAGTCGTAGCAAAAAAAAGCCCTGGGCCTCAAGGCACTGCCGAGGTCGTAGCTCACCTCCCAGGAACCGGCAGGTTCGTGCTCTGGAAGCTTGAGATCCGGGTTACGCTTGTTTATTCCCTTGGCAAACAAGACTCGAGCATACGGGGGATCAAAAACAAAAATGGTCTTGCCCGTCGCTGCGTCCCTCAACTCCGCGGTGGCGGCGATTTCGTCGATGAAGAGAGACTCGCCCGAGTGAGGCATGGCGGCATGCTCGATTTGCGCCTTGATGTGCTGGGCAGTCTCGGCGTCGTGTCGTGTGTCGATAAAATAGAGCGAGTTACGACCTGACACGGCCACGTATGGTGTATTAGGAGCGACAACCTGGCGGCCGAGCCCAGAATCGATAAACTTGGGAACATAGTCGCCGCGATATTCATCTTGGAAAGTTGCAGATCCCTCAACATGGAAAAGGGAGCTCAGAAAAAGGATGACTGACAGTGTGGGAAGCATTTTGAAGTAGGAAGGCTGGCTGTAGATAGTTCAAACTTGTTTAAAATATTCTTCGTAGGGTGCTCTTTTGTCGTGAGCTACTGAGCCTTTATCTAGTGTCTCAATTGATAGTCTCTTCTTTCCAATATGCACTTGGTCACAACTTGCCTAGCTTAGTGACTAATTGTATTATGAATGGATTCTCTGGTGGTGTTCTCAATGGACACGATCTAGAACAGCCGCAACCAGGTGTCCAAGGCGCCGAATAAGTTATCTGGGCCTTTTGATGCCGATTTATCCGGCACAAGCAGCTCGTGTAGCCTTGAGGGCACATCGTCAACGGCTGAAAGGGCCGGCTGCGCAATGAAATCTCACTCGTACGATACTCGCATTGAAGTATTGACTGAGCGCCTTGCATTGAAATATTGGGGTAAGCGGCCTTGCATTGGGGTGAGCGGCAGGTCAGGAAGCCCACTGGGAAAAGAAATTGGGCGCTAGCTCCTGCCTGCCCTATGGTACTTGCTCTAAGTATTTTTTTTACTAATGTGATTCACAGTCGGAAAGCCTTGGTTGCCTTATGATCCTACTGGTCGGGGAGTATTCTTGGAAATATCACTGCCTCGGCTCCGCCATGTCGTCCCCAGTTCGCCGCCATTATGCCTCTTGCAAAAACAAGGACTTAGCATTTACATACATTCTCCAGTATGTCTCTCTGTAGTGTCTGCAAAGCTATCTCATTCGCGGATCTCCCACCCTTTCCCGAGGAAAAGCATGGTAATATTCTCACCGGACTAAACTATGTGCATCCTCTTCGGCGGGAGAGAGGATTCCCCCGCGAACCTACCGCTTCAAGCGTCAGGCATCACAACAACATCGAGCATCTGCAAGGAGCAGCAGCATCAGGATGTGCACTCTGTGCTCTGATTTGGAATCAATTGCAGCTTCTATTATCCGAGATTGAGGGACTTGACAAAGAGACTAAAAAGACCTACGAGATTTTCTACCGACCTACCGTTGACTTGTGGCTAGCAAGGCGTCCCTATGGCGGCCAAGGCTTCTGGGTCTTGTCTGAATCCATTGGGAGCAGGGATGAAAGAGAGATTATACCAATCGCTGCGTTCAGTTTCGCAGTGTCGGGGGGTGAGAAATATCTCGACCTTTGACCATTTTAAACTTGGTGCTAATTGACAAAGATAACCCTCTGGCTGATTCGATTTATGCTCGTCCGGTGCAGCAGAGTCCTGAGACCTACGCCCTTCAACAGTTGCTTGAATGGGATACACAATGCAAGCAGCATCGAGAATGCTGCCCGGCCTCTAGAGCAGTTCCACAATACTTGGTAGACGTGGGTTACTCAGAATATGAGGAGAGTGTAAAACTTGTTCAACTTGGCGCAGGAGACGCAGAATACACCGCCCTCAGCTACACATCAGACTGCAACAGCGAGGTCAAATGGAGGCCCGACAATTCCGATGCTGAGAAAAAACCCATTCTTATCACAGATCTGCCCAAGATGTTTCGTGATGCTATACTTGTGACTCGCACATTGGGCGTCCGGTATATCTGGATTGACTCGCTATGTATTCCGGAAAATGCCCCAGAGTGGGAAAGAGATTCTGAAGAAATTGGATCCGTGTACGAAAACGCATATTTAACAGTGTCGGCCACAGGGGCTGAACATTTGGCAGATGGTCTCTTTTTCTCTCGACCATCGCGAACCTCTATTCAGGTTTTGTATCGCTCAAGCGACGCAAGCGTCAACGGAATGGTGTCAGTCTCTGTCCTGCCGCTCTCGAAAGAAGTGCTTCGAAGCTATACTGAGATGCAAAATGAGCCCATGTATAAGAATATATGGTCTTTTCAGGAGCGTGTGCTTTCACAAAGAGTCGTACACTTTGCCAGCGACCAGATGTATTTCGAATGCCTGGGCCACTTTAGGTCAGAGGATGGCCTGCTCCAAGGTGCGCGCTTTCACTCAATAGTCAAAGAACTACATTCCGGGCCGGATTATTATCGTGAGCAAACTGCCTTAGACAGGTGGCATTCATTGCTACGGGCGTACGGGAAGCTCGAACCAAGTACGCCGTCTGAGAAGCTTCGGGCTCTGTCCAATATTGCAAGAGCGTTTCAACGCTTGCTGGGCGACGAGTATGTGGCCGGATTTTGGAAAGAGTCTCTCATAGAGTCCTTGTGCTGGCAGTCTATGGACTGTAAGCCGTTGTGTGGCTCTACTGCCCCGTCATGGTCATGGGCGCGAGTCAACGGTATCGCGGTCGCGGGATTCGGCCTCAGATCAATCTGCCCCAAAGCCACCATTTCTGGTATTCAGGTGACACTCGAGAATGATGCTAAGCCATTTGGCAACGTGGCTTCTGCGTCGATTGTGATTGCCGCCCCCGTGGTTCCTTTGAAGTTGGTAGAGAAGGGTGGCCAAGGGCGCCACATATTTCTGCGGACCGAGGATGGACATGAAGACGGTTTCTACGCCGGTTTTGACTTGATTGACCGGCTATATGAAGTATCAGCGGAAGAGATTCGGAACAGCAAGCTTTTTGCGCTGGTGTTGGCCAACACTCGGAGAGACGGATGCCTGACTGGAACTTGTCACATCGCAGTCAGCATCTGGGCGCTTATTGTCAGTCCTGTCGATGAATCGGCGGATAGGATGAGGCGTCTTGGGATTATCACAACCTCTCCAAATCGGTTTGGGTCTTGCAGTTTGTTAAGTTTTCGCAGGACAGTCACTTTAGTTTGACCGACTCAAAGACCAGGCAGGCAACTATTATAAAGGACATATGGTACTCGTCGATTCAAACGATTTCAAGTGCGCCCGGCATTTACATCAAGAACGATCCCCTTTTCTCTCTTCCGTCCTATTTCTTGCAAATTCAAGAGCTCTTTGACTCCTTTCGTCAAGCCCCTGTCTACCTAGCTGGGTGTTGACACGCGGCGTGTTCCTGCTACCCCTTCAGTGCACTATTGACACGCACTACTCGCTCTTATTAAACGTGCCCGCACCTACTTTCACACTACTGCGAAAGTAGGTGCGATAATGCTTTATAAATCAAAGATTATGCAAAACACCATACTCATACATTTGTAATATTATTGTCAATGAGAAGGGCTGCGGATAATACCTCGGGCTAACGAATCCTGACACTAACCCTTACGTCCCTAGTCTATGCCCTCATATTGCGATAATATGTAGGTCCTTTTGCAGCTCACCATTTCAGTGCCGTCGCGCCCGCAAGCCCTTCTCAGATGGCTGTGGCTTACACAAAAGTACCACTGTACCCTAGACCGGCCTACGCTACAGACGAACAAGACTCAGAAGGAGCCTGGGCACTCATTTCTAGAAAGAATTGCTTTGCATAAATATACGTTTGCGTCTGCCTTTGATCAGACGGTATAACAGTCCTGCCGTTCAGAGGCCTTGCCTTGATGTCGTTCAACCAACAGGCTTGGTGCAGATATCATTGGTCATTCTGCGCCACCAGGACAACCCCGCTCATAGAGACCTTCCTTGTCGCCCCTTTCACAAGGCTACATCGGTCACACAAGTATTAACAATCTACTTCGTCCTCTTTTTTACTTAGATTGTCTTGGTACACGTCCCGCACGACTCATGAGTTCAGCCAAAGTCATGTTATGGCAATACGGAGTCGAGGCTCCTCTAGTGTCGAGTTCTGCATTTGTCGCAGTCACTACTCTGTTGCTTCTCACTCTGAGAACATTCTTTTACGAATCTAAAGGCAAAGCTTGTTTAAATGCCCTTTATCATGATGAAGATGGTGTTACAACTAAAGAGTCAGAAGCACTCTGTTCAGCGGCTGGTGCTATAGCCATCATAAATACAGGGGCAGTAGCAGGGCTCTCTAGTGCAATGTACGAGGTCTTCACTGCAGATACAAGCCTGGAAAAGAATCATCAGTTCGTCGAAATATTGATGCTCATTTGGGTATCGTCAATCTAGAACGAGCTCTCATTCATCGCCGCGTGTGCTGATTTTAGATCAGGCACTCATGTCCGTTCAGGCCTTCATTTTGTCACTGGAGCCACGCTTCCAGCAGAGATACGCACACGCGATTCGCCTTGGTTCTTCGGCCGCTCTCTGTTTGTCTCTCATTCTGTATCAAGAGTACTCAAAACAAGGCGACCGCTTGAAGGCGACCTGGCCTGGAGTTGGCTCGCTCCTGGCTATTTTAGCCGCCAGTTTGGCTATCCCCAGACGCCCCTCCGTATTCCATCGAGGTCAGCAGGTAGACCGTGAGCTCTCCGTCTCATTTTGGGATAGACTTACATTTTCTTGGGGCCCATTCCCTGCGTCACGTTTTGATATCCCTGACAAGATGAGAATGGAAGACTTGCCAGAAGTCGGATACTCCTCCCGCGTCAAAACGTCAAAACAGCTTTTGGCCCGCGTGGGCAAGTCAGTCCACCTCTGGAGGCAGCTCTCAAGAGCTTTTCTCCCAGCACTCATCATTCAATGGTTACTTGCCTTTCTCACCGCCGCAGCTCAATTTGGTAGCCGCTTTGCCCTCTTCAAGTTGCTTCAATGTCTCGAGGGCTCAGAGAAAAGCTCGAATGCCGCAAAATTATGGGTAGTTGGTATCGGGATGGGTCTGCTTGTCGAAACGTTTTCCCAAAACTGGTTGATATGGTGTACTCAAATGAGATTGCAAATTCCGATTCAAGGATTGCTCAAATCTATCGTTCTCGAGAAGTTGACACGGAGTCCCCTTGCTACTGGAAAAGGAAAAGGATGTTTACCGAAGGAAGGGGGAAAGACAGCAGAAGCACACAAACTCGAGTATCCGTCTTTGACAGATATCCTTACCAACCACTGGCAAGTCCATCCTCTTACAAGTCTACAAGAAGCTGGAGCTTACAAATATCATTTAGTCAGGAGACTGCAAACGCCTGCGCGCACACACATCATTTTCTAGTAGTCATTTGCAAATCATTCCTAGATGTCCACTACCTGGCCGGCTTACTCGGGGCAAAGAGTATTTTGGCTGGAGTCATGGCATCTATACTAATAGTGCCACTTTCAAGCAAACTTTCTCAGAATCACAGAGCAAAGCGAGCCAAGAGAACAAAAGCACATTCTTCCGTGTCCAATCTCGTGTCCGAGGCACTACAAGGCCTTCGTCATATTCGACTCTCTTCCATGGAAGATGTATGGGAAGATCGACTAAGCGCGGCGAGAGATCGAGAGCTAGACCAGATGCGTGGCACTGGCATCGCGATGTCGTTGCTAAGTTTGGCCGTAAATTTCAGTCCTGTTCTACTTGTGTCTACAGCACTGTCTGTATATGCCTATGAGACTGGCCATCTCAGCTCATCGATTGCGTTCTTGGCCCTCAATCTATTCGACAGCCTTTACATAGCCTTTCAAGAACTTCCATCTCGTTTCGCCGAGGCTCGTGTTTCATGGTCAAGCTGCAAACTGCTCAACAGGTATTTGAGTGAGCCAGAACGCCAAAGATTAGCAGTTCCATCAGATGGGCTGCGTTTTGAAAATGCTTCAATCTCCTGGCACATGCAAAATTTCGACGCAAATACGCAAGGCGGTTTCGCCTTGTCCCATGTTAACCTTGACTTCCCGCTCAACGCACTTAGCATCGTGACGGGCAGTACCGGATCTGGGAAAAGTCTCTTGCTCGCCGCCCTGCTCGAAGAAGCCAGTATTCGGTCCGGAAGGGTACTGCGCCCAGTGACAGGTAAAGCTGAGGTTGAGATCATTGCTGGGAGCATGGCTTTGGTATCGCAGCCGCCATGGATTGAGAACAGCACAGTGCGAGATAACATTCTATTCGGTAGTGTCTACGACGAGACACGCTATAGAAAAGCTGTGAGCGGCTGTTGTTTGGAGCAGGACTTGTCGGTCCTTTCCAACGGTGACCAAACCATTGCAGGATTAAACGGTGCTGTTCTGAGTGGCGGCCAGAAGTGGCGTGTTGCGCTTGCGCGCGCGCTTTATTCGGCCGCTGAGATACTCATACTCGATGATGTTCTCAGTGCTGTTGATACTCGCGTCGCCAAGCAAATATTCGACGGTGGAATAATGGGCGATTTGGCGAAAAACAGGACAGTCATTTTGGTCACGCACAACCCAGACGCATATCTCGCATCCGCTCAATATCATGTCACCATTGAAGATGGTCATGTTAGTGGGAAATCCGTTTCCAATATTCGGCCGGGAAGCAATATGCCGGAGCCAAGTCTACCCCCAGAGCCATCGCCTGAAGCAATCTTCAATGACAAAGAAGAATCTCGAGAGCCTGAGCACCCTAAAGAAAAAAGTGCGATGCTTGCTGCCGTGAGCACCAGACAGATTCTGTCTGCTTATATGTGGGCTAGTGGCGGAGTTTGTTCCCTTGTCATAGGTGCTTTCTGCACCTTTCTAGCCCGTGCCGTTGCGCACAGCAGCTCATGGTGGCTGACGCGGTGGACAACGCAGGACACATCAAGCGCAGACTATTCCAACGCCTACAACATGAAGATATACTTTGCGCTGTCCTTGTGCACAGTAGCGGGCCAAGAACTGAAATCACTCGTATTATTGGCTTTGAGCCTTAGAGCATCGCGATCGCTCTTTCAGCGGCTTGTGCAGAGTGTCCTACATGCTCCCCTCGCATGGATCGATTGTATGCCACTGGGCGAGATGATTCAGGTCCTCGAGACTGACATTTACACCATGGACAACAAAACAACGCAGTCACTGCACAATCTGTTGGGCAGTGTCATGAGCCTGGTTTTTATATTGAGCAGCAGGTAAGAAGGCTGATACAAGACGCTGCAAATTCACAACTAACGTTGCCCTTCAGCATTGTATCGGCTCCTCAAACAATCTTCTTCAGCGCCCCCATCCTCGTCGCTTACTCGCGAGTTGTTATGCATCAACTTGCCATCTCACGCCATTTGCTTAGACTCATTGATGAGTCGCTTCGACCCATTCTTGAACATGCGACATCTGTCGCCTCTGGTTTGGCCACCATCCGAGCCTTCAACAGAACCGAATTCTATGTCGAGCGCATGCATGAACTAGTAGATCGAAGCGCAAAACTAGGCTTGCATCTTATCCTTGGCCAGCGCTGGCTTGCGGTCCGCCTAGGTTCTCTCGGTGTCATTTTTGTCACCGCCGTAGCTGCGACTCTCGTCTACCAAGGCGAAGATGCCGCAAAGACTGGCTTCGCCATTACTCTGGCGCTTCAACTCAAAGCAGCCCTTGGTGGCACCACCACAATGCTTAATCTCCATGACATGTTGGCCCGCACCATCGGTCGTATTATCAGCCTTGCCAATGTCGAAACAGAGAGTCGGGACGGGATTGAGCTTGCCAGGTCGTGGCCGGCAGAGGCTAGAATCGAGGTGTGCGACTTGGCGGTTCGCTATGACGCATCAGCGCAGCCAGCCCTACGCAGAGTCAATTTTTCGGTCGAGTCGCGTCAGCGTCTTGGTATCGTTGGCCGCACTGGATCTGGCAAGACAACCCTGACAAACGCAATACTCCGCTTCATAGCTGTTGCTCAGGGCCAGATTATTATTGACGGTGTCGATGTTTCGACAATTAAGCTAAACAGATCGCGAAAAGCTATTACTCTGATACCGCAGGAACCTTTTCTGTTTTCGGGGACACTACGATCCAACGTCGACCCTTCCGGCACCAAGAGCGACGACCTCGTGCTCGAGGTGTTGCGCCGTGTCCATCTCATTCCGAACGCTGCTACAAAAGACGTCGGCAACCATACGAGCGAGTTTTCCCATCTTGACATGGAGATTCAGCCTGGCGGTGTCAATCTATCGTACGGGCAGCGACAGCTACTGTGCTTGGCGCGAGCACTTCTCGTCCGCTGTCCGATTCTCATCCTGGACGAGGCCACGAGTGGTGTAGACGACGCAACAGACGCAGCTGTGCAGCGTGTTCTTCGAGAAGAATTCTCGCATGCCACGATTCTCGTTGTTGCTCACAGACTTTTGACGGTGGCTGACTTTGACAGTATTCTGGTCATGCGAGACGGTAAAGTGGCCGAGATGGGACCGCCAAGGGCGTTGATGGCTAGACGCGGCCTGTTCTGGGACATGCTGCAGCAGAGTGGCGACAGCGAGCGAGTCATGCAAGCGATGAGGAAGGATTGAGCAAGGAAGCGGAGTTTGGCATACCACAACTGCCCGGGGACACCCCTGCACGCCCAGTGATGGTGATGATGGTAATTGGTAGCGACTTGGGGTGAAACAGATTAAAGAAGAGCGTGAGCAGTGAAATTGATATATGATGGGATTCGAAACGTTAAGATGCATCAAGAAATTAGGATGGCGCCACTCTCTCTGCATCTCCGGCTTTTGAGTCTTCAAATTTTGATGTAATAAGACTTGAGCGGTGACTTTTTGTGATCGCCCAGTACCCCACTAGATTGTCACAATTATTGCTTGCAGCCTCCGCTCCATGTTCCTCTACAGTTGGCTAATAGTAGTGTCAATACGTTAGCAAGCCTAAAAACTTGCCATCAAGAAGACCGAGTGGGCTCTCCCGTTGGCTTGCGAGGTAAGGGATGTCATTGAGTGCGGGTTGCGCACGGCGCGAATGAGACCCTCTCTACCTTTGCCATTTAGCAACATCACTTAGTTGCCACCTATAACCGTCACATTGGCAGCCTCTCTTCGCTCATTTCTGCCAAGTTACTGCGAGCAAGCAGCCGCGGAGAGTGACCGAGCGCGATGAGAGAAGTGCCTGAATGGAGACTCGGTACGGCCGGGCCTGGCGTTGGCGAGATGACTCTCATTCACGTCTTATTCACGGTGACAGCCGATATGCCACGCTCAAAATTTTACAATCAGCAGGGCATTGTGGGCAGAAATATGGGCGAGTCGGCAGCGTGGCTTGCGAGTGCTTGGGTACAATAATTAATGCAAGAGCCAGTTGATGGCCAATGGGTTTCATGGACAGGAGTGATCGGACTGGTTGGATCTGGCAGGGCTCTGCAGCAGGGCCAAGACGGATAAGCTGCGAGTCAAAGCGAACGACTCGATTTGCACATGTTTGCCACTCTGCGAAGCTGTCAGTGTTTCCGCTTCCGTTGGTCTGGAGGCACTACTAGGCACAGATTGTCTAACTAGTCTGGTATTCCGATCACAAGGATGAGGAAATGCATGCAGCGTGGCCCTCCTGGCCAATAACGTGGCGGGCCGCGGAGCGGAGAGTTTGGGGAAAGTACGGTATCTCGAGCGTTTTGCCTGAAAAGGTCGGCCGCTCGGCTGGTCCATGCTTGAGCAGCTGTGGAGAAGGATATGCGGCAGTAAATGTTAAACAGAGCGTAGCTGGCTGGGTTCGGGATGAAGAGAGGGGTCTCGTGCCAAGGACATGACTCCATAGTACTGAGCCGAACAATGTGCGCAGATTTATTTGACGAGGAAAGAGACTGGTTGGTGGTTGATCAATGATCGGTCTCTGTAATCCGTACGTGGCATAAGGTAGTGAGGAGATGAAGCCGTCAGAATAGCGATGCGTGCCTGCAGGAGAAAGCTGAAAAGTGCATGTATCTTTCCAAGATGTGTAGCGACGGCTAGGCTAATTAGCTGTGGTCCTGTGGTCGGGTTGCGAATAGCCGAGTACGGCCATGTCGCAAACCCTGTCAACTGTTCCCCCTGGTCTGCCCACCACTTGTCGCAGCAGTTTATTAACGAAAGCGGACACCTGGGCGACTTGGCTCAGCCATTGAGAGCGTAAATTTGTGGAGAGTGTGCGCGTGGAAAGCGGAGAGTAGTGCGCTCTTAAAGTCTCTAATACCAGTCAAAGAGTGGATGAGTGGATGGATGGATGGATAGATGGTGCATTGGTGCCATGGTGGCTGGCAGTCTTGTTTTTTTTTTCGCTGGTGAGAATTTTTTATCAATCAGAATCTTATCAATCGCATCTGGCCCACCACTCTCTCTCTCACCCTTCTCGTCGTCGTCTCCTACCATCGGACCTCCTCTAGCTGCCCCAGCAAACCACGCCATTTCTCTCAAAAGAAGGGCTGTCCCGCACTTTTTTATTTCTCCGTAACGCACATTCTGCACCCCATCACGATTTTTTTTCTCGTCTTGCAACTTTTGCATTCTCCCATGCAGAGAAGCCACCAGCGACCGCACGACCGTACCATCGAGTTTGCATCTGATAAGGGGTCGTCAACCGCCCTCGGACTCTGCGACGTACGAAACAGACGTAAAAAAACTCGCGTTAAAAAGGACACTTGAGTCAGCACTGTCTGCGACTCAGAATTCGAGATACAAAACGCCCACCACTGCAGTCAGAGGCATTTCGACTGCACACACCATATCCGCCGCCTGCAATTGGCCGTTTGCCCGCCCGACCGACACGCACGACGTTTGTTCCCCGCGACGCGACCGAGCTTCCGAGATTTTAAAAATCTCCAGTGGCGGGTTACCTGCCTCTGCTACGACACATAATTTTTTTTCTGAATTGTTTGAGCCACATCCGCGCTGCAAGGCTGCAGTAGCGGTGCACCTCACCCCCTCCTCCCCCTCCCGCACCAGCAACCGCTGGAAACGCCCAGTGGCCGCCTCGGACATCCGAGCCCAGTAGCCCCACAAATCAGCTGCCCGCCCGCAAACATCCGAAGCCAGCCCAGAAAAATCATGGCCAGCACCGCTGCATCTTCACCGTCGATTGTGGCCTCGCCCGTACCGTTGCCAACGTCGCGCCCGACCACCGCCAGGGCCCGATCGTCCGTCTCCGGCCCTGCACCGCTCGCCTGCGCGCCGCCCACCCAGCATCAGCAGCACCAGCAGCACCACCGCGCGCCGTTGCCCACGCAGCCCAAGCCTACCTCCGCCACTGCCGCCATCAAGCAGGTCAAGCCGGAGCCGGTGCCGCTTCCCAGACTCTCCGTCTCAGTGCCTCCGGCCCCGGATAAGATGACCATGGCCGCCGTCGTCGCCCCCGGCACCCCAATGGAGGGACCCAAAATTTCCATGACGTCCAAGGAATGGGTCATCCCGCCGCGCCCCAAGCCCGGCCGCAAGCCCGCCACCGACACGCCGCCCACCAAGCGCAAGGCACAGAACCGTGCTGCCCAGAGGGCATTTCGCGAGCGTCGCGCCGCCCGCGTCGGCGAGCTTGAGGAGCAGCTTGACATCTACAAGCAAGAGTACGACAAGAAGGAGGCGGATCTCAAGGAAAAAGTTCACAGCCTCGAGCTCGACGTGCAGTCGTTCCGTTCGCGATGCATGCTTCTTGAAAATATGCTCGACAGGGAGCGACAGGACAGAATCAGAGTTGAGACAGAGGCCGAGACACTACGTCGTCGCCAAAGCGAGCATGCTTTTCGCAATGAGAGAATGAGCAATGCCCCGTCTCCCCGTGAGCATCATCACCGTCACAGCCTGCAGCAGCACCGCCAAAGCATGTCAAGTAATAACAGACTACCTCATCCGGAAACCAGCCGGGATTTTTCTATTTCTCAAATTATCACACCACCAGATTCAATGGACGCACAGAACGCAGCCCCTCTCGCGGACACTGATATTACGTGCGGAAACTGCACAACAGAGGGCCGATGTGCCTGTGTTGAAGAAGTCCTTGCCACGGCCACATCGGGCTGTGGCAAGTGCGGGTTCGGGACCTCGTGCCAGTGCCTCGAGGACCTGAGCCCTACCAAGCCCCAAACCAATGAACTCAAGCGGCCGTCGTCGCCCTCCAACCATGGCGGCGCGGGCAAGCGGATGCGTCAGGAGCCATCTGGGAGATTCAACGACCAGGAGATGGATTTTACCGAGGCTTTCGCACGACGACAGTCTCAAATAGTGGCGTCTATAAACGCAGATCCCCCGCCCTCTGAGATGATGATGATGCAGTCATCGTCTATTGACGACATCTCCTTCAAAGACAGCTGCGGCTTCTGCAAGGACGGCACGTACTGTGCCTGCGCCGATGCTGCCATGGCGACGCCAGCCATGACGCCGCCCGAGTCGCAGCCCAACGTTCCCCGCCAGGTGCAGACCCCTCCCCCATCCGAGACGGACGTAATGCCGCCGCAGCCATTCATCATGGAGATGACGGCCGACGGCGCCGTCAAGCTGCCACCCCGAAAGCCCAAGATCGGGCAGGCGGCCAAGCCCTCGGGTGGCGGCTGCGGCTCTGGGGCACCCGGCACCTGCGCGCAGTGCCAGGCAGACCCCAAGTCGGGTCTCTTTTGCCGGCTCATGAATGCCAAGTTTGGCAAGGAGCAGGGCGGATGCTGCGGCGGCAAGGGGCCCGGCGGTGGCTGCTGCAAGTCGAAGCCGGCCAATACGAGCAACGCCAGCAGCAGCAGCAGCAGTAAAAAGGAAGAGGAGAGAATCACGCTGCCGAGCCTGCCGAGCCTGGGACTGAGCTGCGCTGAGGCGTACCAGACGCTGGCGAGTCACCGCAACTTTTCCGAGGCGGCCAACGACATTGGCTCGTGGTTGCCCAAGCTCAAGGCAACGTCGAGGACATCCCCGTCGTCAAGACAGAGCTCGCGAGGGCGCAACGCGATTGAGGTGGAGGCGGCCAGCATAATGAGTGTGCTCAAGGAGTTTGATATCCGCTTTGGACGGGAATGCTAAAAGCACACGCTTGTGTTGTATCATGATTCATCTTGTCACTGTTGAGTGTGTATAATAACGCGACCTAAGAAAATTCATGGGAATATGGGAGGGGCCTTTTTTTTCTTTTTTGTTTACTTTCTACTACAGAGTATAAGATCTACTCGAGGCGTTGAAGGGAGGTTTCGGTCTATTCTTCATGACAATGAGCAATTATTATTTATTGCAAATTTTGTGCGGCGTCATAAATTGTGAATGTTCATTACTCTGCCCATATGGCATGTAATAAGGCTACTATGGATCTACTACAGTATGCAAGTGCTTTCAAGCCGATGAGCGGCATGTAAATTAATATGTGCTACGGCAAACAGTCGTAAACTACTCCGTATGGTCTGTCGGTATCCGTGACCGCCCATCGCCCAGCCAGGAACGGCGGTCACACGAGACAGTCCCGAGCGGTCGGAACAAGCTGGGGTAAGACGGACGAAATAAAGCGGTGCAGGAGTGATATTACATGGGTCTTGCGAAACAAGAGCTGTCCGAAGCAAGGGGGCTTTCCTTTCTTGGGAACGCCTTGATAGTTTTTTTACGAGGCATCATCGGTGTGTGGCCGACGAGGCGAGCGGAGCGAGGCGGTATCAAGTGGGCGGGCTACACCGACCAGAGGTGGCTGCAGGAAGTTGTCTGACCGCAGGTTGGGAGTTGTAGGGGTTTTACGAGGCAGTTTCTTTGCAAATCTCCTTCCATTTCCTTCTCTTCTCTTCTTTGACTGTGGACACATTTGTTTGTTTGTTTGGGCGAAAGGTTCTGAAGCTCCGGGTTGGTATGTAGGTAGTGACGGACAATGACCGGGCCATGCAGGACGGCATTGGGATGGAGTGGTGGACTATGTATGCGGGTGCATGTCAAAGACAAGCCACATTCTACAGGATGTAAAAAAATAGAAGGGCACGAAGGGCAAGACGCGACAGCAAGAAATAACAACGGGCTTGTTTCGTGGTGCGCTGGCAAGTGCGTGCAGAACAGTCGTGAGGGGAGTGGATGCGGGGGTGGGCGCGTGGATGGCCGAGATTGGTGGAAAGGGGCAGATGCCAAGATTCATCCTATTGCTGGATGATAGCTAATAAATTGACAAACTAGTTACAAGTCGCAGCCAAAAACCACGGTTGACAGCGCAGCGTTGCGTGCGGGCGGGACGGGTGAGATGGCGTTGCTGCGAGACCAGGCCGTGCGATGGATGGATGGATGGATGGGTATTAAGCGGCAGAAAGAAAAAGCTTCCTGTCAGTTGTGTAGAGGTGGGAGGGGCGGCAAACGCCAAGGGCTAGAAAGAAAGAAAGAATGCAGAAAGCATGCAGAGAGGGAAAAAAGAGATGCATGGTCGCGCAATGGGCAATGGGTTTAACGAGACGAGGCAACTACCTAGAGGGGTAGGAGTCTGACGGCAGAGAGGTTGGTTGGTTGACAAGGACACTATATATGCACGGTTGATGCAGTGCCAGCTCATCAGCAGCCAGACTAGTTGCCAGTTGCACTCGGGCCAAGCTCGTGGGTCGTTGTACACGTCGATGGGGTGTTTTGGTTCTATTTCTGGTCATGTTATTTTCTTTTTTGTTTTCCCCTTTGAATCTGTACTTAAGCCAGCATTGTGAACAAAGCTGAGCAGTGGTGTTCGTAGCCAGGTGCAAAAAGCGAAACATTGCGAATCTTGTAATCAAAAAGGCTCCATACGGATTACTGGTATATTGCTCCCAATGTTAGATAAACGCCGCAAGGGGAACAAATATCTGGTCATGTGTGGCGGTGCCTGAGCGGTGGTGGCATTACCTGCATTGACAAAAAGGGCATGTTCTTGTGACGAGGGGGCCATTCCTCTATGGCTGGCTATCTTTGCGCTCGTCAAAGAGCGGCGGTATATAGATGCATTTTCTTGAGTATTCGCTCCTTGCTCTTTTATTGACATCCTTTTCTTGAATTTTTCTCTTCTTCTTTTCTTTTCTTTCCTTGATTTTCTTTCTTTTTCTCTCTCTCACTCTTGAACCGCATTATTTTCTTTCTAAACCGCATTCTTTTCCACTTTAGCCCGCCTTGTTGTATCTCGATGCACTTGTGCACATGGACAAGCTTGGACTAGCCAAGCGTGGCACCCATTGTCTACCAAAAAACCAGAGACGGGCTGAGAAATAAGGCCAGGTGTCTATTCCCATATCCCTTGTTTTTTCGGCTTTTTTTTTCCTTCCCTGCCAAGCGTCGTATTGATCGACGTGGTTTGTCTGGTCAGCAATGTCCTGCAGCGAGCGCTGGCTCCCCCACCCCCTCTTCTTCCCGCAACCCCAAGCTCTCAACCTGCATATTGATGATACGCCCACTTCAACCATGTAAAGGGTTATTTTACAACATTTGCAGGCACAAGTGGCTTTTGCTGATTGCCACACCATTCATGACCCCGTGTCAAGGGGACACGTCTATTGCTACGCCAGCTGATGGTGGTGCGTTGGCAGAACCCCCCCTCTCCTCTGTGGCTAGCGTTGCCGCGTGCGGAACCACGCCATGCCATGCTACCTGGTGGTGGCCCGGCGGGCGTGGGAGGGTGGTTGATTGAGATGCTGGCCTTGATTTAATGGCCGAGACGAGAGACAATTGGGTGTGGTGGTTGTAGCGTCTTTGAACATGTATTTATGTGGGTGATGCCCCTCCTGCTCTGTTGAGCTCGATCGTGGGCCGACTTTGGCTGACACTTTCTCGCACTGTACCTTGATATTTAGACCAATCTTGCGCACCAGGCATTTTTGGTAATACACCCAGGCATAATAAACGCCGTAAACAAATTCATCCGTCTCTGCATCGAATAATTGCTCACAACTACTCCGTACTGACTCTGAATCATCCACGGGCTTGCTGCACTTCCTTGACACCCTAGGTAGTACCTACAGTAGCGCCATGTACTTAGTATGCACCACCAGTGCCGGCACTTGTCTCTGCCTCTCCAAATGAAATCTGGTTGGACTTTTACGCACATGCCACCAATATGCATGTGCTTTCTTTACGTCTCTTTCCTTCATCTCTCTCCCCCTTCTCCCTTCTTCTTCGATTCAGGTCCAAAAGAGATCAAAGTCTCCTGCATGCGTTGGCTCGTTCCCTAATTGTAGCTGGGTATCAGCACTGTAGACGCACTGTAGCCCCGCCACCTCTCTGTTGTGGTGCCCCGCAACTGCATCGAAGCAATGCTGTACAGCGCATCTAGTGGTGTTGCCGCCATTGTATCCAGATGTACCGCCTGCTTCTGCTGTAAATACGTGTCTCCTTTGTCACACCCCCATCTTGGAGTGGCCTCTACTCTTATTTCCCTTTCCCGTCTTGCATCGTGTGATTTATTCCTCTTTTCCCTGCTTCTCCCACATTGTCCGACTTTGCTTCACCATCATCTCCCCTCATCCGTCGCCCCCAGTCTTAGATACCTACCCTGGACTGTCTCCGCCCCCACCTCACTGTTTCTCTTGTGCTTGCCTGCCACGCCTGTCTGCCTGCCAACCAGCCACTGCCACCGCTACTACACGGGCCAACTAAGCAGTTAAGGTACGCCACACAAACGCTGGAACTGGGGCTCCGCACCGCATTGTCGCCTGCCGCCTCAACGCCTCACCACGACCGCCATCGTCGCACGACAGCTTCCTCTCCCGCGCAAACAGATATCCTCCCTTTTCGTCGCCTTCGTCTTCTCCCTTTGCATTCGACAACCTCAATTCGTCGCTTTTCCCCGTCACTTGCTCCTCTTTCTCTTCTCGCTTATTTGCCTGCCTCGCTAGCCCGTTGGTAGCTTCCTGGTGAAGCTACTGCTCGAGCTGCAAGGCGCCCGTATAGCTTCACCTCCATGGGACCATTATGATGTCCATGCAGCGCTCCCTTTCTTCGCCAGTCCGCGCTCAATCTACGCCTCGTACGTTTCGCTGTATACCGCGACCTTCGACTCTCACGGATCTCATTTAAGAACCTAACATACCTTGCACGCGCGGTTCACTAACATTTGCTATAGCTCCCGAGCTCGCTACGCCACAAACAAACGCCTACCCGCCCGCGACAGATCCTTCGACCAAGCAGCATCGACCCGCACGCCGCCGCTCACCCAGTCCCAGGCGCACTTCCAGCTCGCGAACCCTTGATTCCAGGCCTTCCCGCAGGAACGACGATGCTTTGCGTCCTGCTTGTCTCCAGGACGGCCCTCAGGCCGCAAAGCCCTTGCTGACCGACACCACCGCTTCTGCACCGCCTCCAGCCGCCACTTATACACCCAAGGAGCTGCCCATGAGGTCCCATACCATCCACGGAGACAAGTTGGCTGCCCGGATGCCAAGGCCCCTCATTGAAAATGTCGCCCTCTACACAAACCACAACTTTCCTGTCCCAAGGGAGACCACCACCCTCCAGGAACTAGCCCATTTGGCCCGTCTGTCAAGGTACCAAGCCCGCAAGAGGAATATTACCCGTGTTCGCCTGGAGAGGACCCTTGTCAGCACAGCTCTCGGCGCCCGCCTGACGCGCTGTGGTGACATTGCCCATCGCAACTTGGTCGACAGCTTCCGCAAGGACGAAAAGGACAACTTTGCCGCCCTTTACAATGCCATTCAGGATGTCAGAAAGAGCTGTGACGAACTCAGGAGATTTGCCCTGCTTGAACCTGACCTGGAATCCCAGTCGTCTCCTATCCTTGGCTCCTCGGAAACTGTCGACACAATCTCAACCCTCCCCAACGGCGAACTACCCTCACACCCCGCCGCCACCTTCCTGGACGACATTTCTGCTTCCGCTAGACACTCTTTCCTGGACTTGCTTTTCGAGATTCGAAATAACCCGGATTATCTTCCCACTAGGATATCTGCCCTCTCCAGTTCGGAGCTCAACGTCTTCCTCAACCCACACCGTGGCCTGGAACCCGTGGAATCCCTTTTGTCCTCCAACAACCGCTCCTCTGCTCGGGTCCACCCAAACCAGCACCGCCACGTCGCAGGCGACGTTGAACGCTTCATGTCTTTCCAGCGCCACGACCCCCTTTCCATTCTCATCCACACTTGCTTTGCTAACTCGGCAGGTCCCGACAGCACAGAGGACCGCAAACGCCTGGACATCTGGGCATCCGTCCTGGCCCGCCTCATCTCCGAGCCCAAGTCCTCAAGTGAGCACTTTCTCATATGTGTACTCAATTGCTGGACCATGATGCGCGAATGGTCCGGAAAATCCAATATGGAATGGTACCTCATGAAGATCCTGTCCGACGGCGCCTTTCTCCTCGAGAGGGCCGAGGACCAGCATGGAACCCGCTTCAACCTTTCGGACTGGACCCAGGCCGACGATATTGCTTCCCGTCAGTTTTACGAGAATGCCGTGAACCAGCTTTTTGAGATTGTGGATGACCCGGACAAGACTGGAATTCCGGACGGCCTGCTTGAACTTGGCAACGCTGTCCTCAAGAAACTGGACAGTAAGTATCTCGACAATACCGCGAAATGGCTTGTCTGGAGATGTCTCTTCTTTGTATTCTTTCTCGGAGTCATTGTCCACCCAGAATCTCACGGAATGCTCACCGAGCACCACATTACCCCCTATGCCAGGGAAAAGATTCTGAAAAAGGTTGCCATGAAGGCTCATGAATATGTCTCGGGACTCTGGAGCGGCAGCAAGTCTGCCGCTTCCAAATCAGCAGAGATCCCCCACCATATCCGCGTCCACATTGAGAGCATGCTCGCCAGATTTCAAAACTCAGACTACAAACCGCCTGCGTCTCGACTTCTGCCTGCCAAGTCGATAACATCACTTCGCGAAACAGCAGAAGTCCATCCCTATCTGGTCCTCTGCCCGGCTGATCTGTCCTGCCTGGTGAATGCACTTTATCCGGAACGCCGTCCACTCTCCTCAGCATCTAGCACTTTCAAATCCGGCACCGCCTCTATTTCAGCTTTGTCCTCTGCATCCCAGCCCGTGGCATTCTTCAACCCCAGAAACAGCTTTGAAACTGCATCGGTAATTAGCACTAGCGTGTCCTCGGTTTTTAGCGAGGCTGCCTCTCGCGATGACCATGCTGATGGCTCCGCAAAGACTACTTCAGTTCGAGACTCTCCTACGATTACGGAGCCGGATTTACAGCGCAAGCTCAACAAATACGAGGACGACGGCTATCCGCTTCGCCTTGCCCTCCACGAACTAACCAGAAATCTCGGCTCAGATATTGTTCGTGGGACTAGTCACCCTTGTGCAGAACGCTGGGCCGTGCTTTTCGTGTCGTCCGATGGCAAGAATTTGACGACTACTCTCGACTGCGATGCAGATGATGATCCAGACGAGCGCATTTCTTCAAGCAGCGAATACGAGAACGAGAATGTACCAACCTCGGAGCTTGACAAGGGCTACTACCAGCTGCGCGATGCCGTTCTTAAGTTGGTTGAAGAATATGAGATACCTCGAGACTTGGAAGCCGAGGCCAGTGACATTGAGATTTCCAATCGTCCATCCAGGCTAAAAAAGTCGAGCCCAAGACGCATCACCAGACGAGATAAGCCTGCGCCAGAGCCCACTGGCGGTGTTTCACTACGTCGCTCTCATTCGCCTCGTCCGGCGCCTCGGCCGAGTACCAGCTCAACAACGGAGCCTGAAAAAGAAGCACCGCTGATCACCATGCTCAAAGCAGCTTGGTCCCAGTCCAAAGCGCAGGCTGACTTTGTGTCGTCGCACATGTACTGGAAGACACTGAATCAGCTTCGTGGCCTCAACTCGGAGTCTCTGCGGCGCAACGGATACGCGGCGCTCATCACCATTTTTTCCCGCGAGCCGCGAGACTACATCAACAAGTCAGCCCTCGCCATAGAAGAGTACGAGGCGTGGCTTGTCTGGCTGAAGCAAAGCCAGGATCGTCTCGAAGGTCAGATTGATCTCATGATGCGGCGGACGAGAGCGATTCGTGATAAGATGTGGTATATTGCCGACGTTCGCAACTCCAAGGAATACGAACACAGTCGCGACATTTGTCAGGCGCTGAGGGCTATGGGCACTACTAATCGCTGGCGCTCACCGACATTGCGATCAGGCAAGAGTAGCGCATATATCAACAGGGCCGAGTCGCAAGTGTTGGACATCATTGCAGCCTCCCCGGATCAGGGTGGGCCGAACAAGCTCAGCGACGAGCAAGCAGATATGACGTCTGCTTGGATCAAGCAATATGGCATTGAGAACTTTTGCCAGGGTGAAGAAAGAATACACCGCTTCTGCTGCGAGGTAGAACGGTGCGTGACAAAATTGATTGGAGAAACTATTCGAGAAGCCCCTGTGCTGTGGTCGAGCGAGCTCTACAAACGGGACAAGGCAATGTATGATCGGATGAAGATGCGAGAGAGAGACCATGGCTGGACAAGCGACGACACCAGCAGCATCATGAGCGAAAACGAGCGTCGGCAAACCTTTTCTACGCTGCGACCGTCAGCTTTTGGAAGGGATCTGAGGACCTTGAGTTCCCAAAATACATCCATGGAATCGATGCGACATGGGTTTACCAGACATGCTGCGTCCCTATCCGAGGTGCTTGATGGCCATGATAGCTTTGACAGATACTCGCCTATAAACATGACAGATTCAGTTGGCACTTTTTGGTCGCCATTTCAACCTCCGAGATCCCCTGCCTCGGGTCGCGCCTATTCCCCCACCACTAGCCTGACCAATCTCTCGGCCACTTTCACAGGCTCGCCACACCACGCAGCGTTGGCGTCCCACAGCAGCGTTTCCACCGGTCGGCCGGCCACGGCAACATCGTCCAACGAGACTGTGTACCAGCATATTGCTGACGGCGACCGGGCAAGGTTCCTATCGGATCTCAGGCAGTCCTTGACAAGTCTGCTGCTGTCCGATCTGGGAAGTCAACTCTTGTCGAAAGGATCTGAAACGGACTTGTGGATGGCGCAGCTTGGGCAAGAATGTATTGATCGCAAGGAAGCACTTGAGCAGCATGCTCGGCGAAAAGATGCGCTCAAGGATAAGCCAAGCCGAAGTTCGGCAAAGCCTAGGGTAATTGAGAAAAAGAAGAGCTTTGGCAACCTTCGTGGTGCTGGGGAGTGTGCCCTGGAGCGGATGGACAGTGTTGATACGGCGTCTAGTCCAAGTGCGTCTGGCTATGGTACTCAGACAGAAGACAGTCAACCTGGGAAAGTCAAGGACAATGACCCGGAATTCCCATTCAAAAATGCCTATCGCCGCCTTTTGACCATGTTCTCGGTTCATCCGAATCCCTACGCCAAGCTGCATGCTTTAAAAGAACTGGAGCATCTGTTAATGGCGTCCTTGCCAGCATCACCGCGCAAAAAGCCAAGATGGAGACAGGAGATAGCAATTACCCAGGAAAATAGAGATGTGGCGCCTCGACGAACTGCGCTTGATGGGGCCATCGAGTCTGTTCAAGAGAAGCGAAAGCAGCACACGGGCAATTATAGCCTCTATGCGGCAAAGGGCGGGTCCCGTGGGTCGTCAGGGACAGACGCCGTAATAACGGAGCTGCTGAAGCTGTTCAAGGATCCTTCAATGCGGCCGAAGCAGCTGTACCGCGACCTGCAACTTATCTCATCTTTTGTCTCGCCGACGGTGCTGGATCGACCAGACAGAAGCAAGGCGTTTTGGGATGTAGGCTTGGCCGCGTTGAAGCTCAAGTCGGAGGTGTGCCGCACCATGGTTGAGATGGCGGACGAGGTATTTGCGGCGCATACGCAGACGCGGGGTTCTGCTTTCGAACCGGGGTCTGGAGGTGTTTCTGTGCAATCGAGCACAGGCACCCCGCCACCACCTTCGTCATCGTACCAACTCAAGGACGTGGGAAAGATGTGGGCAATTACGGCTCGAGAGGGCTATCCGACGGCGCAACGCGAGCTGGCACTGTTTTACCTGTCGAACCCCGAGTTCGTGGCGCGCATCACACTACCGCTTTCAAGGCCGCGAGAAGTCTTTAAGCAGGTGGTCATGGACAAGTACAAGCGCAACGACAAGCGAAGCAGCGGTGTTGGAGTACAAGGCGCCACTGCAATGCTAGGTACTGGACCTCAGGCAACGGCAAAGGATAGCGATGTGAGAAACGATCCAGGGCTCATGTGCGTTGCGGTGCATTGGATGGAAGCGGCAGAACGGGGGGGCGACGAGCTTGCGACGATGTTTTTGCGACAAAATGAATTTATGGGACGGGGATGATTTACTGTACTTGTTACTTGTCTATTGAAGGAGTCTCTGGCGATTTGCGAATTCGGACATGCCAAGGGTTCATTGGCACATGATTTACGAATGTGCATTTTAGTATACACACACGGCGATTCGGGTATAGATTGGATATATAGACTGCGATTTGATGCATGGCGTTTCGCGGTGCTGAAGATGTAGTGTAATGAGCTGAAAGGAGTCTACATAGGAATAGATGGCGAATCAAGTTTAATGTTTGCATGAATGACGGTGTAATTGACCGTGAAGACTTGTTTGAAAGCGTGTGGTGCTAGAGTGCTGCGGCTGCGTGATGCTGCCTGCTCCATCTGTGGAACCGAGTTTGTGCGGGAGCAGTTGGAAACGGCAGAGATTGTGCGATTTGGTAAGAAATTGCCGTGGTGGCTTAAAAAAGAAAGAAAAAGCGAAGGAATAAGAGAGCAAAAAACATGAGGAGCAAGCAAAGTTTTTAAGAACAAGGCTAACTAGAAGGAGCAGTGCCACAAAGTGTCATTGGTCTAGACCACGGCCACTTGGCCGACCAGCCAGTGGACGACGACGACGACGATGATGATGACGAGGAAGAGGGCGCGGACGAGGATGAGGAAGATGGCGCAGATGACACAAGCATACATGGTGAAATGGACAGCGATATATGATTTTTATCACCTGGCTGCAAGAAGAGAACGGGACAAACTGTTTGCGACGTGACGTCGCTGAAATTGTACCAAGTGGTTATTATAGTGAAATTGCACCAAGTATCATTTTCTTCACGGGAAATTTACGTTCCGAAAGTTGGAAGCTGATATGCGTGGAAGCATTCAGGCTTAGTCCGGTCTATGTAAAAGAGTAAAATGAGGAAAGTGGTGTAAAATGCTGTCCTGGGTGTTGCTGGCGGTGGCTAAACTATCTCTGACGAGCGGCGCGCCCAAAGGTTGTTGGTCGGCGTAGAGACGCGGTCCATGGCATCGACGCCACCATCGCGCACACAAAAGTCTATTTGAATATTCACAGGACTATTTATACTAGGGAAAGCCCCTAATGAAGCGCGTCTCTGCTTTTCAACTTTCATCATTCTCTTCCCTTCAACTACCAGACTGACAAATTCTTCATTTCTCTACCGTTGCGCAAACCAACAGGTGAGGACTCACATATACAGCACCACTGGCGAGCATCTGCTAACAATCATCTCACGCGGCAGAAATATCCCCCACTTCCGAGTTATTGTAGACAGAGTATATCAAGATGAAGACCACTGCTGCTGTTTTTGCCGTCGCGGCGTCTGCCTCTGCGCCGACCCTCACCGGCCCCTTCTCCTTCGTTGACCCGCCCATGTCCACCGACGCTCTGTCGATTCCCAATACTGCCACGCCCAGTTCCACGCAGACCCCAAACATAGACCCAACGAGCGACTTGACCCCGGTTCCGTTCTTGCCCTGGGATGACGAGGGTCCCTTCCGTTTCATCACGATCGTCCGGAAGGACGCTTCGGCTTCGGACCTGGGGCCGCCTGCCGCCCCTGCCGCTGCCGCTACCACGAACCAAATGACAACCATTGCTTCGGCTTGGGACGTGAGCGTTGCACCCACCGTCGAGGCACGCGGTGAACCCGACATGACGGAGGAGGCGACGACGACGACGATGACGCAGAGTAAGCCGACGCAAATGACGCCAAACCCCGCGGGGACGATGCGCGCCGACGAAATTCTGGATGCTCTGAGGGAGCACACGAAGAGCCAAGAGCAGCAGCAGGCGGAGATGACTACGACTCAGAGCATAGACTTGGTCGTGCCGATGACGACACAGGGCAACTTGGCGACCGACGCCGTTGCGACAACGACAGGGGACGCTGAGAGCCGGCCGACAATTGAGCACGTCGAAGAATTCACCAGGGAGTGCGGGTTTTAGGTGGAAGAAGAAGAAGAAGAAGAAGAAGAAATAGAGGACAAGGAAAGGGAAAAGATGTGGTGGTTGCAAGGAGAATAGGAGGGCATTGAGACAGGGAAAGATGTGCGAGAGAGATGTACGGAGAATAAATGGAGGGAGATAGGGCGAGAGTTGAACGAGAGAGAGAGGAATTTTGAAAGGAAAACAAAGAAAATAAAAATAAAAATAAAAATAAAAGAAGATGGAGGAAATGGACTAGGAAACACAAAGGATAGGATTGTATACGCAGCTTAGAGACTCTTTACTAGAGGAGCTTGATTTTCATGAGATTGACACTGCAGACAAAGATTCTCTCAGAAAAGTTCAAGACAGAGTTCTAGAGAACGAGGGCAGAAGAAAGACCTGGCAGATTGATGGCGTTTGAGGTTGCCTCTGCCGAATATGATTAATTTGCCAGTGCAGTGCAAAGCACATCGGTTGCGTTTACTACATGCAGGGTGGTTGTAGGGCCGGTGCTCTGACATGTAGATGCATGGGTGTTGAACAAGTGAGGCGATTTATGGATCATGAAGCAATTGACGATGTACGTAAAAATTACGAGAGAAAAAAAAGAAAACACACACTAAGGACAAGGGCGACCATCGGACATGAATCTCGTATGGCGAATATTGATATCTACCCACGTGATCTGGCGTCAGTCTGGTGTATGAATTTCGAATAGTTTATCGTCGCTGGCGCGTCTGCTGCCTAGAATCTGGCGTCGATTGGGCTGCGCGTGTGGTAGGCGAGACGCAGGCATACAATGGACAAGCTCCACCACGGCTAGGCAGCCGACAAGGATTAATGCAGCATTTCTGGGGTAATGAACTGGCCAAGATGGATTTTTCAATGGGGTGATTATGCGAACGAGGGGCAAAGAGGTCCGCAGAGGCGGATAGCCAAGGCGAGGTTGCGGGTCGGACAGACTACCTAACCTTTTAGGCAGCAGAGGCCCCTGTACGACGCCATTCAGACATGTGAGCCTTGGTAGAGTGGCACAAGAAAATACGAATACAGTACCAGCTAATCAATAAGTATTTTAACAAGGGCACCTTCATTTCTTTACTGGCCCCCAAATCTACAGTCGCTCGTTTGCTAGCTGTTCGCTTATAGCACCACCAGCTCCGTCAACAATAAAAGCCCGTGTCAATCCGCACCGCTTCAGCCTCATCATACCTCGTCTCTTCTTTGCCCAGCATTTCCATCAGCATTTCCATCAGCATTTCTCGACTTCAGCATTTCTCAACTTCATTTTGCATCCTCTCAAAGCTCTCAACATCAATTGAAATCCGTGCCACTGTTGTGCTGCCCAACCTCTCCCACCTTCACCACACAATGGCGCCTAGGAAAAAGGCCGCGCAGGATCCCGCGCCCAACAACGGCTTGGCAGACGCCGTCTCCAACAGCACCACCATGTCCACCATTCCTGATGCTTCACCCTACGGTGCCGTCCTCCGTCCTCTTGAAGGCCTTTGCGTCGTCGTCAGCGGTCACGTCAACGTGGCCGACTACGCGCCCCATGGCATCGAGTATCTTCTTGGCGACCTCGGTGCCGCTCAGGAGAACCGCATCGTCAACGCCGTCACCCACGTCATTGCCACCCGAGAGGACTACCTCAAGAATGCAACCAAGGTCAGGAACGCCAAGAACAAGGGTATGCCCATTGTGCGCGCCACCTGGGTCACAGAGTGCGACAGAACGCAGACCCTGGTCGACGTCGACAAGCACACCTGGCCCAACGTCATTGAGCAGGAGCAAAAGCTCAAAGAGGCCCGCGACGAGTTTGTCGCCGCGCAAACTGCTGGCCGGGCAAACGGCACGGACAAGAAGCGTCCGATTGCCGTAGCTAACCTCGCTGATGAAGCCGCCAACGGCGACGACGAAGGCCAAGTCAAGCAGGACGAGGAGGAGCCCAAGCCGAAAAAAGCACGCGCTGCACGAGGCAAGAAGCAAGCTCTCGTCAAGGATGAGGACGAGGAGATGAAGGATGCGGCAGACCAGTCTGCCAAGCAGCTGCAGGATGAGGATGCCCAAGGCGCTGAAGCGGAACAAGGTCAAATTGCCAGGCAGGGACTGGTCATTCCCGTCGATAGCTTTTGCCCCCTTCCCGGTTTTCAAGTTTACATTGACCCCGACTCGGCCGTCATTTACGATGCATCCCTCAACCAAACCAACGCATCCAACAACAATAACAAATTTTACATCATCCAGGTAAACCTCCCCCCATGAACATTGAACCACCCGCCACTGACTCCCCTCCAGCTGCTGCATGACCCAAAGGCAGATAGGTTCACCACGTGGACTCGCTGGGGCCGCGTTGGCGAGCCCGGCGCCAACGCCTCCCTCGGCAACGGCAGCCTCGACAGCGCCCTCTCCCACTTTGAAAAGAAGTTCAAGGACAAGTCGGGCCTCCGGTGGGCCGACCGCGGCGGCGACCCGCGCCCCGGCAAGTACGCATTTGTCGAGCGCAGTTACGAGCCCGATTCGGACCACGAGGACGGCGACGGCGACGACGCGGCCCGTGTGGTCAAGGAGGAAGAGCCCGAGCCCGACTGCACCCTCGACGACGCCACCAAGTCGCTCATGGAGATGATCTTCAACAATAGCTTCATGGAGGCCACGCTCGCCGAGCTCAACTACGACGCCAACAAGCTGCCGCTCGGCAAGCTCGGCAAAAGCACAATCACGCGCGGCTTCGAACAGCTCCGCGCTCTCTCGGAGCTCTTTCGCGACGCCTCGCTGGCCGCGTCCCGCTGGAATATGACGCTGCCGGCCGCAACGGAGCACTTCTCCAACACGTACTACTCCCTCATCCCCCACGATTTTGGCCGCCAGCGGCCCCCCGTCATCTCGGACGAGCGCCGTCTCAAGCGCGAGATTGACCTGCTCGAGTCGCTCTCCGACATGAAGATTGCCACCGACCTTATGAAGGTTGATCGCAACGCGCCCGCCGCCGCTGACCCCGTGCACCACCTCGACCGCAAGTTTCACGGCCTCAACCTCGAGGAGATGACGCCGCTCAAGCGCACCACCAAGGAGTATAAGACGCTCGAGCAGTACCTCTGCGGCACCGTCGGCAGCACCCACAACTTCTCCTACCAGGTCATCGACATCTTCCGCGTCTCGCGTCGCGGCGAGGCCCAACGCTTCCGCGACTCCGCCTTCTCCGCCGTCCCGTCCGACAAGCGCCTGCTCTGGCACGGCTCGCGCTCCACCAATTTTGGCGGCATCCTCTCGCAGGGCCTCCGCATCGCGCCCCCCGAGGCCCCCGTCTCCGGCTACATGTTTGGCAAGGGCATCTACCTCGCCGACATGTCCTCCAAGTCGGCTGGCTACTGCGCCCCCAGCCTATCCCGCGGCGAGGGCCTCTTGCTGCTCTGCGAGGCCGAGCTCGGCAACCCCATGCTCGAGATTGTCCACTCGTCGTACACGGCCGACGACGAGGCCAGAAACGCCGGAAAATGGAGCACAAAGGGCCAAGGCACGTTTGCGCCGCCAAAGTGGATGGATGCGGGCGCGGTGCACAAGAGCCTCAAGGGCATCACAATGGTACGTTTTTTTTTTCGGGCGGGAGGGGGGGAATCCTCGCTTTTGCTCAAAAACGTGGGCTTGTAAAACATCATCATGTCAATGATGCATGTTCAAAGATGACGTGGTAAAAAGCTAACAAAATGGTAGCCTGATCCCAGCAAACCCGCCGAAAACACAAATGTCCAAAACGCCTCGCTCTACTACAACGAGTACATCTGCTACGACGTCGACCAGGTCCAGCTTCGCTACCTCTTTCGCGTGAAAATGTAACAAAAGTCTCATCGTCACTCTCGGACATGTTTGCAGCGCATGTATGTGTAATTGTTATGACATTTTTTTTAGCTTTGCAATTGATCTGTAAAATAACTCGGCACCATCTATCCGCTATTCCGCGTGGTATCAAATTAATTACATTAAGAGGCCGTTGCGCATTTCTTCTTTCGTGTTTGACAGCCACACTTCGTAATCGTCGTGAGAAATGAGTTTCTAAAAAAATCAAAAAAAAAAATCAAATACCCGCGCCGTTGGCAAACTCTGGCGCCATCCATTCTGCGCTCGGGGCCCACAGAGTGCTCAGGTCCATAACGCCCATGGCGTGGTCCAGCCCATTGGCCAGGCCCAAGCCTTCCAGGGCTCCTTCGTATGCATTGTTCAGCTCCGTGGACATGAGTCCCGCCGCGTCATTGTCGCCGTTGGCATTCATGCTGGGCTCAAACGACTTTTGCGTCGTCGGGGCCATCCATGCATCCGGCAGCATCGTCGGTGACAGCGCCGTCATGCCCGGGCTGCTGTAAACGTCGGGTCGTGTGCCCGGGCCGGCGCTCAGACGGGCGGGGGTGTGGATCACCGACGGCTCCTCGCCGACGCGAATGTTCTTGAGCACCGGGTGCTGTGGGTAGGCGGTACGTCCATGAAGGCCAGTTTGCGCCTCGAGAACGGGTGACGATGTGTCGACGGCGCCGAGGCCGCTATTGATGAGCCGCTCGAGGTCGGCCTGCACCCCGGCGGCGGCCGGCCCCCGGCAGCACTGCTGGATGACTTTGAGGCACGACTGGGAGTGCTCGCGCACGCTTTCCGTCGCAAGGCCGAATCTGACGGCATCGAGGCGGTATGCGTAGTGTAGAGTGCGAGCGCACTGGAAAGCGCATATGGCGAGGTCAAGGTCGGCGATGGGCCGAGCGTGCAGCTTGTCCATGCACTTGAATATGTCGGCCATGGCGACCGAGTTCTCCACACACTGGCGCTGGCAGTGGTCGAGAAAGCTTTGGTCTAGCGATTCGAGCGTTTCTAGCGGCAGGGCATCGCGGAAGCCCGTCATGGCTAGGCGGTAGAGATCACAGTAGCACTGGCGCAGGAATATGTGAATCATGACAAAGACACAAATCCTAGGCGAATAGGCACGCAGTCGCATTGAATTCTCCGAAAACTGAAAAGAAGCGGGCATTCGGTAGGCAAAGTCTTCCAGCTCCTGGTGCAGGCCGAGGACCCGAGTCTGCAGCTCGACAGCATTGATGTTGCGGCTGATGAGCGCAGTCTTGGTAAATTCGACGATTTTTTGTTTGATGTGCAGGATGCGGACATGCAGGGCTAGGCTGCCAATGTCCTCGGACCGGGGCTGGTCCGGGTCGTCGGGGCCGGGGACCAGTTTCTCGGTGGGTTTCGAGAGGTCAAACTCAAAGTTACGCTCATTGCATGGCAAACCGACATTGATACGATCTGCCCGCCAAAGCGAAAACTCGGCAAAGCCGCCCGATATTCCGGCATCGATGCAGTAGAGGGACCACATGAGGCGGCGGCGCGACTCCTGCGCGAGAAAGCAAAGGTTGGGGCTGTGATGGTTGAGGCGGAGGGCGGCGGCGAAGCGGGAGGCGATGCTGAAGAGCATAAAGGCGCTGGGGAATTTGTTGCAGAGGATACGGTGCTTAATGATGAGGACTAGCGCTTGCACTTTGATGGTGGAGGGAACGGTGTAGTCGGCAAAGATGAGCGACTCTGCCTCGTCTATGCATCCATCACCATATTCACGGATGCCGGGACCCATGCTAGTAAGACACGAGGTTATGCCAACGAGGGCGAGGAGGAGAGCCTTGTCTACTTTTCCGACATAGTACTGCTCCATCAGAGAGGCACGATGCAAGAAGGAGAACACGGGAATGTGATGAATGTGGTGGAAGAACTTGTCAAAAGTGCGCCGAATTAGAGAGTCAAAGGATTCGTCAGGCGAGGGTCTATTTTTTTTGTCAGCGAGAATGGCCCCGTTTAGAAGCTCTACGCATTGAATTTACTGCGAGATAAATCAGACTTACCCGTCGTGGCCATATGAAGCGGGTGTGCTGGCGGGGTCACTCATGGCCCGGTCGCTGTCGTCGCGGGCATCATGGCTGTCACTGTCTATGGAGCGAGTAGCCGGGCTCCTTAAATTGCCGCCGGGAGGACGTGACGGCGTCTTGACGCGTTTGGTAGGACGATATACGCAGTCTAGATTCAGCAAGGTGCAGCGCTCGCAGCTGGGCAGGTGGCCGGAGCATCTGGCCTTGCGGCTGTGGCAGGTAAGACAAGCCTGCTTGACGCGGCGTCGTGGCAGGGCAACATGCCAGGCATCAGCGTCGGCCTCGTCGTAGGAGCAAGGGAAGCCGAGGCGCTGGCAATTGGAGCACATGGGCCGGGCGCCGTTGCATCGGACCTTGCGATGGCGGCAGGTCGCGCAGGTGGACGACGACTTCTTGGGCCGACGATCCTGAGGCGGTGCGGGGGTGGCGGCGACGACGGACGCTGAGCGCGCCGGGCTGGCGACGACATCCGAGACGGACCTCGCATGGCTCCGGACATCCAACGTATTGGGCGGAGAAAGAGGCGTTGCAACGTTCATTTCTTGGTGGTGTGTCTCATGGAGTAGCAAGCAGGAGCAGCAGCAGCAGCAGCCAGACGGACCGTCGGGCGCTACGCAGGAGAGTTGGGAGCGCCACCGTGGTGCAGAGGGCACCTAGACAACGGCTAGAGTTTCGGAATGTCGGCGATTGTGTCTTGGAGGTGACAGAAGCAAATAAGGAATGCGAATGGTTTCGGAAAGGTAGGCGACGGATGGTATGGTTGAGGCTGGCGACAAAAGAATGAGAATTTTTTGCGTTGGCATGAAATGATGAGTCTGGCAAAAAGGGGACCGTGATGGATTTAGGGGAGAAGGCGGACACACACAATGGGACTGAGTCGAGAGGACAGAGAGAGGGCGAGTTCGGCGATCGATCCTTGGTGGGGTCACTTGACTTTTTTCTTCTTTTTTTAGTCCTGACGAGTGGGCTAGCATTATGCCTATTGTTCGAGGCAAGTACTAACAAACTAACAAGTTGGCCTAACTGAAAAGATAAGATGGTAGTCATTGAAGTCTATGAAACGATAATAAGTGGATTATTTTCACGTACATATGTATGTATATTTATGTCTACGCAGAATCTTAAAAAAAGTTTGTCTGCCATAAACCGTACTCTGTGCCTCCTTTTCTTTCTGTACACCAGTCACTTGTAATGACTGATTTAGTTAATGACTTTCGCCCCACATGCCCCCAACAGAGGTCTCACTACGTTGGACTCGTCGATCGTTGATAACACCAACACAGATCTTCTTCAGCACATACCAAGTAAGGTATGTACTCATCATCAGGTCTTGGACAGACCGGCTAAGGCTGGCTTATCTCGGCATCCCTTGGAGCATGTATAGCATGCATTGCAAGTTGGGTGGTTAGTAGCTTAGCTCATTCCTCGCTCCCGGGCTAGCGCACGCTGTCAAAAATTAGTTGGCCAAGGGTTTGGCTTAGTGTCATGGATACGAACAATGATTGGCCGACTGAACCTATACGGAACACGAGGCCGTGTACGGATTAGATGGTACTTCATACTCATACTTGTGGTCTTTACAATCAAGTCTGTCTTTGGTTGTCTGATAATGAATGAACATACGGATATGGATTGGGCCATTCTGCGAAACTGTCTTGTGCTCTTCAGCGTCAGTGTACTTCTGTCTTGTTTTCCCCACCTCTTGTCTTCGCTCGCTATACTCTGGTTGTTCTTTTATCTTTCGACTTCCGAAAATCTTTGTTCTTTGTACTTTTGTTCGCTTTGCATGTCTTTTTTTCATCGTCTTTAGAATGACATTGAACAGGGCAAAAAATACTGCCAGGCGTACCTAACTGAGAAGCGCCCCAACACAGCCCACTATCACCAGCCGCCAAGCCTGCGGCCAAATACCAAAATTGCCTACAAGCCGACTTCGCAATTTTGGTATCACAAAAAAATTCAGAAACTGCTATCAACGGTTGCATCATACCAAATGCCAATCGCCAGGACTGGCAAAGGGCCATGTCGTTCATCAAACGCCGACTGACTCGTTCGTGTCAACACCAACTGACTCGTCAAACGGCGACTCGATCGTCAAACGCCGAACCATCGGCCACCGTGTACCAATACTCTTCCATTTTCCCAGTGCACATCAATCGCCATTCTGAATCACATCACCATGGCCACGTTGGCCGGCATAGGCACACAGCCTCGTTTAAACAATCAACCCGTCCTACGAATACATTGTCCATGTCTCGTCCAACACACACCGCAGCCCTCCATGTGGGCCAACGTCTCACCCGACTGCATGGTCGTTGGGCCAGAATTCTAGGTCAGCATTCACGCATGTTTACCAGTCGGAATACATCCAGCATCACATGTCCATCACCACGGCACATATTTATTAGTTGCAACGCCGTCCGTACCCTTGAGTCCCAAGACTCAAGACTCTTGGCACCCACACAACCACATAGGCACGGCCCGGCACAGGTTGGCTTGCGCCTCCCCTCAATTCCGTCGAGTGCATCGGCACACTTTTCCCATCGCTACGATCACTACGCTAGAACAAAGAAGCATAGCTATCAAAGAGATCGCATGCATTGTGTTATTGACATCTTGTCATATTTTTGTCTGACTATTCTGGTTGATCGAAGCCACGTCGATTAGCCGTCGCTTAGTACCGGTGCAAGGACGCAACGCGGGGTTCAACCCTGTTCAGTGGAGGTTCAGGTCCTGCTGCAGCCGGCCGCCTCGAACGGCTGATACAACTTCATCACCAGCCGAATCCGTTGCATCTTGCATGCGAGCATGCACAGAATGCTCAGCCATTACTAACTGACAACTCAGTGCTGCAGCTACCGCACACCACGTATACGCCAACCTGCAACCTCTTTACGTGTACCACGTCGGCTCCGGAAATTCTTGCAGCAGCTGATATCTGCCCAGCTCTCTGTTTTTATAAGCCACCGGGTCGTGCAGCGTATGCGTCCGAATATCGCGCCAGAACCTATCCAGACCGACCTTGGTCGCCGTCGCCTTGGAACCAGTCAGCTCAAAGACACCTGACGTCACGCGCAGGCCTACGTCGGTCGAGACCACTTTGACGCTGGCTATCCATTCCGCAACCTCGCCACGAGCTTGCGCTGTCACCTTGGCACGATCTTGGACACTCTTCTGAGTGCCCTCGTAGACGGCGTCAACCTCCTGGCCAGCTTTCTCGGCAAGGGCGGTTGCTGCCCGTAGATGAGCTAGGAAATTGCCATAGGTAGAGAGGATGTAAAATTCGTCTTGCGGCTTTTCCTTGTTCTATACAACAGTCAGAGAGGTGACTTGCAACCCGAGATTGCTACTTACATCACCGCCAAATGGCCATGCTCGAGTCGACGAATTTGTGTAGGCCGTTGCCGTGTTCAACGCGCCCCAGGCAATGCCGAGGTAAAAGTTGCTAAATACCAATTGGATCCTGGCATCTCGATTAGCATATCCTTTCTCAGTTTCCGTCCCTTCCAATGTTACTTACGTTGGTAGCAGAAGCGAACCAAAAGCAATACCCAGCACAGCCGGATCTGGCTTCTTGGCCGCTGCGTCCCAGCCTAGAGCATCCGCCCACGGCGCCTTGACATTCTCAATTTTGACACTGCCCGACTCTGTCAGACGCAGACCAATATTGTTCCAGTCATGCCCAAACTGAATTCCTGACTGGTCTGTCTTGACAATGGCAAAAATGTGGTCCGACGTGTCTTCATACACGCCTTCCAAGACAGTCAGGTCCGAAATGACTCCACCAGTGTTGAAGAATTTGAATCCATTAAAGACAATATGGTCGCCGTCGTTGGTAATCTTCAAGTCGCTATCGCGCGGATTCACGGCGCCGCCGACAAAGTAGTTGTTTTTGATGATGAGCTCCTCTGTGCGCTCAACCTGCTCGTCCGAGCCGACAACACGCGCTGTCGTGGACCATAGCAGATGGTACCCAAGCAGCATGCCAATGGACCTATCAACGCCATATCAATACATGCCTCTGTACGATTTGTGAATTGCGAAACGTACCCATCACCTTTGGCAACTTCTTGAATAACCTTGTAGCCGACAGACCACGGCTGGCCGCCACCGCCGTACTTGGGCTGCCCAAGCACCTTGAGCAGACCTGAGTGCTTGAGCAGTGCGATTTCCGCTCTCGGCGATTTGTTCTCGCGCTCTCTGATGCCCGCATCAGTGTCTAGCACTTTCGCGACATCTTTGGCGCGCTGCAGCCATCCAGCTAAATCGGTAGGCTGCTGCTGCCACTTGTCGATATACTCGTCGTACACCTTGGGGTCCGTCGCCGGTGCGTCACGAGCGTTGGAAGACATGATACTTTTTTTTGGCGAATCTGGAAGCTAATCAACGGAAAATGGGATTTAAAATGGTCTTCTGTCTGTGGCGTGTCGTGGGCATAATGCGCGTTATATACAGTGCCGTCGTAGCCAAGCCAGCAACCATCCGACTTATTGCGACATGGCTGCATACAAATGCCGTCGGTAGCCAAGCCAGCAACCATCCGATTTATTGCGACATGGCTGCATACAAGTGCCGTCGTAGCCAAGCACGTGGATGACAAAACTGTTCGCCGCTTTTTAGCAGCTCACCCCTAGAAAGCGGTGGTCAGTCTTGTCATCCAGGTGCCAAGCTGGCAGGCAATCGTTCGAGTTATTGCGACATGGCTGTCGCAATGCGCGTTGGCGATGGCGCAAGCTCCACCAAAATTAACCAAAATGAAACAAAATTAACCCACGGCCAGATCTACCGTCCAGGAACTTTACAACCACACGTGGGGCGGAGATCCGTGCGGCGATAACTATCCCGTTGCATTCTGCGGCCGTATCCAGTGATCTTCTCAACAGCGGGTACAAATATTCCAAATGCGGAAGGGCAGTCACCACAGGATATCGAAATGTGACGCCTGAACCAGAACTGCCGCTTATAGACCCAAGCGAGATGGCCTTTTGAGCCATCCCATTGGTGAGCCAACGTCCGACAGGGATAGCAGTGTCATCATCAGCATGTTGCAGCAATGCCAGTGATGGCAGATTATATGCTCATTGACCAATCAAGCAGAGTTCAGGCTGCCAACCCTTTGGTGCAACCAACAACCTTCCCACCCATCTCGCTTACAAAAACGATCTCATGTTCCCGCCGAGCGGCGCCTCTGACGACCAATTGGACAGCGCAGTCGCCGCACTCTTGTATGCTACGGCCCGAAATAGCTCGTTGCCGGGTCCAACATCTCATAAAAATCAAGTCTCCTCTGCTTGATTACGAAAATAAAAAAACACCCACCGCCGGATCTTCCCGTGGCACCAGCAGCCCTCAATACTTGTGCGGCTTCTTCGTGACCGCCAACGACTGCGCTCTGCAACGCAGTATACCCGCGCCCTCGTCTGAAACTACATGCATTTGCATCAGCTCCAGCAGCTAACAACATCTTGATGATGTCGACCCTTCCTACTTCGGCGGCAGCATGCAACGCCATGCCATCACCATAAGTTCCCCCCAGCGCGTGAATATTTACCTCTTGCTGGAGCACGCGTTGGACGACCCTGGCATGGCCGCCGTGGCAGGCTCCTTGAAGAGCCGTGAAGCCTTTGTACTTTGCCGACGCAGCATTCGCGTCTGCTCCGTGCTGCAGAAGCAAGTCGACAATTTCAAGGTATCCGCCACCGGCAGCAGCCTGTAATGCGGTATACCCTGCCGTCGGTGACGGGGGCGCATTCACGTCCGCGCCAATCTGCAACAGACGGTGAACAAGGTGAATATGCCCTCGCTCGCATGCCGCCTGCAGTGCGGTTCTCCCGTTGTATCTCGTGACCGTGACACGGGACCTTGACACCTTCTGAAGACCGGCTGTAGATGCATCAGTCACGTTGTCCACCCTTGCTCCAGCTGCCAGCAGCATGTCGACAATCCTTTCGTCTCCATGACCGCACGCGATTTGCAACGCATTTCTTTGAAGATTATTACCACCACTAAAGTGTAGATCAGCGCCGGCGTGAATCAACAATTGCACCGCCAGCTCTTGGCCATGCATACATGCAGCCTGAAGAGCGGTTTGGCCATAGTACCCGCGTGGCGGTTCATTCACAGCGGCGGGGTTCTGGGCAAGTATGCTCTTCATAGTGGCTACATCGCCCGCTCTCGCGGCCAGCTGCAGTGGCGTCCAACAGAATTCTTCTGCATCGGTTGTCTCGAGGCTCGGGTCCCATGCGGCATTTAGGGGCGGCAATGCAGTTTGCGTCATGAGGTCTTTGATGGCCTGTGATATTGTGCGCTCGAGTTGGTGGGGTTTGTGATTGCGTATGCCTGGGTAAGGCGATGCGACTGCTACTTACATGTGGCCTATATCTAAGCAGTCGCTGGGGGTGGGGGTGGGGGATATTTGCACACGCTAGTTGTGGCAAGAATGAAGGCCATTTAATCGACGGTCGGCTTTGCAGCCCGCATTCACGACGTGCGCATTAATGCAGTTCTATGCAGTTCTATGCAGTAGCCTGGCGCCAGCCAGCCAGCCTTGCCGTAGTCCTACTACATTCGCAACTTTTGTGGAGGAATATGTTTTCCAAAATATTTTTCTTCTAATTATCCATCAAATATACAGTGGGGGGATCTTCGGCACGATATATTACTAGTTTTAGTCCCCATTCAGCCCAGACGCGTAAAGGATCGCCGCAGGACCCCTCTTCCCAGTTCCCGCATCTGGCAGTGGACGATGGCTGCTGCTCTTTGGCTTGTGAAATCACGGATTCTGCATGATGCACATTTCACATGGTACCGACTTTATCTTTTTAGCGTGTAGTTTATTCTAAAATAACAAACTTAAAATTTCCAATTTCATATGTCGTTGTTTTCAGTGCGGTGCGCTCGCTTTCTAACAAAGTATTTGCTCGTGTCTCCGAGCGGCAGTTCCACCAGTTCATCCTTTAACAACAGGTGAAACACGAGATACCTAGCCATGGTCAGCATCAGAGTCTACACAGAGGCTCTGGCACTAGATGCAAAAATTGTTTGAATACATACCATCCCAAAAGCCCGGCAATGAACAAGTTTGCGCCGCCCGCAATCTGTAAACTTCTCCCCGCGCTGGTATACCCGTCGGCTTTCGCAAAGCTGCTCGCGGCTGTCAACAGGAATCCAATGTCGACAAACAGATATATCATGATGCTGACGAGGTTCGAAGTAATCGAGGCGACGAGAAATGTCAAGATGAAAATTGTCCATACTGTGCACATTGAAAAAACAACGCGTCAGCAGACCGAGGCCCAGGGGCAGATCTGAACCATGGAGCACGTACATAGAAGAAAGAAGCCTAGTGCATTGTTGTACTGCGCGACATCGTCCGCATATGCGTCGCGGATCCCAAACGATGGCGTCAGTATGGCTCCGTAGCCTGCGTAAAAGAGCGCTGCTCGCGTAGCGTTAAGACAATGCGTGCGTGTAAGAAGAGTGTTAAGCGAGCGAGAAGCACGCCTTACCGAATGCGCTGTACACCGTGTACGCGAAGCCATTGCCGACAGAGAGCTCCCACTGGGCGGAGATGAGTAACCCGAGGGCTGCGACGAAGAAAAAGTTTGCGACGTAGACGTTGAGGATTGTGACGCCGCGCCATTCCATCAAGCTGAGGGAAAGGGTTGTGAGAGTAGTCGCAAATGCACCGATGGGGAATGCAGACTGCAACTCGTCAGACTCCTTCTTTGAGTTTGCATAACAGAAGCAGCAACATGTGCTTTTCTTTTTCTGGCATCTCCATCTTTTGTTACTTTCTTTTTCTTCTGTTTTACTTACAGCGCTTGAAGGGAGATGCTTGTGGTATTGCACTGGCTCCCGCTGAACAACAACCTTGCCCTCTGCGTCTCCCGCCTCGGATATTGTTGCGTCGCAGGTCATGCTTATAAGCTTGGAAAGAATCCGATAATCGTTTGACTCTCTTAAATAAAAAAGTAAAGTTTTTTTTCTTTCAAGAAAACAAAACTAGTTGCACAAGTTGGGAAAACGGGCAGAGAGCATCGGGAGGAATGATCCGCGACAAAGAACGGGCTTGTATATTTAAGATTAAGTGTTACCGGGGAAAAAAAGGGGCCGATGCGCTGCCTGGTCCAGGCCTGTTGGTGGCGCTGGCATTTACGCGGTTTTTATTACAATGCCATTCCCTGGAGAAATGGCAACATTTCACCTTGGCTTGGCAGCTTTGCGCATCCGCTGCCCGCCCAGTAGAGCGGCGCGATGTGACAATGTGTTTTGGATGCGACCATCTTGGGGATTTAGTGTGACGAGGCGGCGTACTTTATAAAAGCGCAAAAGGAACTGCGACTGATTCTTTGTGCTATCAACAATTATTTACAACCTCTTCTTTAGGTTGACTTGGCTCAGCAAACCCCCGGCCGGAGGTGTCTCGGTGTCTCGGCGCTTGTCTATATGTCGACTGCGGTAGTTATAGCTCGGGTCCCGGACACTCGGCGTGGTACGATGGGGGCAATCGGCGGAACCCGGCACTAAGGCCGGCGAAATGGTCGGCGGAACTCGCCAGGTAGCGGGCTTGTGAGCAACAACCACCCAGTAGCTTTGTTCTTGTCTCTTTATACTCGTATGTACTTATTTTTTTTTTTTTTTTCCTTGAGAAGCGTATTATCCCTCGAGAGGTGTAGTCACTTATACTCATTTGCGCGCAACTCTTCCCCTCCACTCACTTGTTTATAGATAATGTGTGCTACGCACCCGACAAGGGCTGTAAACAGTGGACGTCAACCTCGTGCCTTGCAGGTTGCAAAAGCGTGACAGTGCGCGGCTTTATTAATCAATTATCCTTCCGGTATCTACCCATTGCCGCTCTACCTCCCGATGATGTCGAGTGGTAAGCTAACAATACCAAGCAAACACCTCCGCTTCAGGTGGCACTGCTAAAAGTGATTCAGCACATTGCTTCAATAGTTGACTGTGAACTTTTGCGTTGAACCCAGGGGACCCTCGCCAGAGACGGCATACGCCACAATGATATAGCCAGAACCGCTAAACACGGTTGTTAGCGTCAAATTAGACTATGCTCTCAGAAAACCTACGTTGGAACGTTTGAAAGGTCCGCAGATGTCTCAAAGTTACCTGTCGGGGCGACTCCAATGGGTGTTAAGGATTTAAAGTCCTTTGTGGCGTAGAAGACGACAGTATTCGGATCCCGATTCCAAGTGAGTTCTAGTACCTGGCCAGACGTAGCATTGACAGGCATATTAATGAGAAGCGCGAATGCTGTTGGCATGCATGCCCATGCCCATGCGAGAAGTGTAGTCCGCATTTTCGGTGTGGTTGCTCGCAGATGATTGTATATGACTTTGGCAGTAAAGAAAAAGTGTAATGCTAATGTGGGTTGTATTGATATATCGAAATACGTCTAACAGTAAGAGAAATGTACGCTTTATAGTTGTCACGACAGAAAAATCGTCTACGACGTACTTGGCGGTCAGCCGTTCAATTCTTACTATAGCTGATGAAAGTTACGGCAATGTCTCGAACACTCAAGATAATTTCTCTTCGTATTTTCATACGTTTTTAGCATTGGTCGTTACTGCGAAAGAGATAACCTCTTGACCTATTGATCCAGCTAGCTAGCTTGTCTTGCACAGTTTACCCGCTATGCAGCTGATCCCTTTCTAACAAATGTCACAGGTAACTACATGAAAGTCCTGCTATTAATACAGGAGCACAAGGTTCTCAAAATGATTATTGGAATATTTCTCTGCCGTGAAACCGCCATAGCTCAATATCAGAAAGATAGTAATATTCCTCAGGGATCACGAATTATGCCGTGTCTCTGGCCAAGTTACTGAGACAGCTTGCTTGTCTTATTTGCTGTCAGTCAGGCCTCACGATCGGCAATAATCTCGGAGGTAACTGCCGACCGTTAGTCTAATCTTTTATGGAGTTTTTCTCCTTATCTCCTTTCCCGCGAAGCGGTATTATTGACTCACTCGAAAAAGAAAGCCAACTGCATTGCGGCTATCTGATCTACCAATCGAGCTTTTATTTGGTCAGTCTAACTGGAACCCACTCTCGTACAGGAAGATTCGAGCACACAAGGAACATACAGGAGAAAGCAGCACTTGGCGGAACCATTCAGCGCTCTCTCTGGAGCAGATGTAGACACTAACTAGCGATTGACCGACCAAGCGACCACGACAATTGGCCGCTTGTCGTAGTAGTGTATAATTGCGACATATGCTTATCCTGACGTTCACTGCATTGTTGAGACAAAGCAATGACATGATAGGGGCTTTTATATATTGCCACACTACATTAACTACACTGCAGTGACTCCGCACTTGTTCTAGTCATGCTTGAGTCCGTGTATTGAGTTCATAAACTATTAAAGGACATTTGTCTTTCCCGGCTATAGAGCTCACTGTGCGCGTTGACTCTCAACCTCAGGAGCTATTTTGTCGCGGGATTTGGCGAGGACTTTTCGTCCCCATCTGCGTCTGCACGCCGAGTTCGTACGCTAGCCCTCATTACCACCCTTCGCGCGCGATTCACCTCACCCAGGGGTCTGTGGGCTTCGATAGTGTCCCACAGGTAAAAGGGTGAGGTGTGAATGTCCTCACGGAAAGACAAACTAGTTTCTTGTTCTGGTATATGAAGACTGGCCACTGTAATGAATGGCGATTCTTTCTCGTCCCACGTCTTTGTTGCGTCTTCAATCGGAGTGGCCGAGTCATTCACGTAGAATTGAAGCTGGTATTTCCATGTGAATGGCAGACGCGGGACCAAAGAAGCCCCAACTTCAGCCGAAGCCGAAGCATTGCTTGCTTCTTGTGACGGAATGAGCCGACCGCGAGCAGCGTATGGTCCCACACAGAACGGGGTCTGGGTATTAAATACACTGCTGGTGAAACCATGGAATTTCAGATGTTCTGCGTCAGGTTCGGTGTTGTTCGCCTCCATCTCCTGAACCGACTTGATGAAGTCGAAGCTGTTTGCGCCGAAAGGGTCTGTTTGAATCATCAGGATATGATGCGTATCGTCGGAAAATTGACCACTGAGTCGAGGGCCCTTGACATCCAAGACCTTGATGGCAAAACCTCGAAAATCAGGCCTAGAATCAGGGTAGTTTCCCCAGCTTCCATTAGACAGGCGTATCAGGCTCTGGAAAACATGTGGTTGAGAGAATACTCCAAACCGAGCATAAGGAGGTAGGTCAGGTAGAACCTCAAACGTCCCTTGCCCTGCAAAGATCTGCTTGCGATGAAAGGCTTTACCCGGGCAACGATTCAGCTCATTATGACGTCTTTGGACAGATGTCAGCATGTCAGCCTCTGAATCAAATCGTGTAGACTCATCGAGCGCAATCGTCTCTTTCCACGTGGTACTCGGGGATGCCATGATTTGGAAAATGCGAGATGCTGATGTGTTTCTGCGCGATTGCTTGAGTGACGTTCTTAGACCGATCGATGTGATGTCAACTTGCGAACCAAGCCAGGCAACTGTTTTTTAACAGAGTCTGCCATTTTTATATAGAGCGCAAAGCAGCCTATGACCTGAGAAGGATTTGAAATCAACGTAGTATTTTGTCATTACCGAGGGAATGAGGAGTGGTAGTGTCTCACCATGAGCTTAGTTCAGTGGGGAGAGAGAAGCTAATGTGATCTCGAACCGATTAGCCTAACTATGCACTAAATATCTGCAACGGTAGATTTGCACCATGCCAAAGGTGGGTTGAAAGTGGACGACTCAGGTGGCTCCGTCGGGATCAATTCCGACGGAAGCTATGCCTAATTGAACGGCTTTTTGACATCATATGTGAGAAGCCTCGTCTTTGGCAAGGAAAGTCAACTCCGTGAATTCCGAAGGGAGCTAACCCACGGAAGCGCCAAGGCCAGATGGACTGAAATAAATGTGAGTTTGCCGAGGTTTCTACAAGTCTCCAGGAGGTGTATGCGTTCGAGCCTTTTCGCTCAGCGGCCATCTAGGTTCCCTTAAAGGCATAGGACGTTCTACTTTGAGAACTACATTCGCTGCCAACGCAATACAGCATGCGTAGCATTCTACAATGAGGCCATGCCAACGTCCTGAAACCACGTCCAACAATATCGCCCCGATGCTTTTGCTAATCTTCCCGTGATGCTGACTTGGTAGATAAAGGCAACAGACGCATTTGAGCAATGACATTGGTTGGCATATGCATGTACACTGTTGACTGGACACTGACACAAGACTCATGGTCGGATACTTGGCCTGAATATAGCAAAGAATGAGGATAGTTTCGAGCCGAAACTCCCTTTCCGCAAATTTCTTCATTCATGTAATATAATAGCTAAATAGTATATAGATAGTCTACTTAACTTTTTATCTCTATCACTTGATTGTCTCTGGAAGCTTAGAATCATAGAATAAAGAAGGCCTTTTTAGTCGTCGCCGTCGTCGTTGTTGCGAGGAGATATACTTGCCTATCTCGTATATAGGCTCAGACATTGCCTTCTGAAGCAGCTCTTTAAGCTTGGCATCTACCACACAGTCTAGTGGTGTCCTTCCATCTTCATCCTGCATGTGCAAACACACGCTGCCTACCGTCTTGATATAAACCGGCACCATCAGCTCCGCCATTCCCGGGTCATCTCTCTTGCACGCTATGTGTAGTGGTGTAGAATCTCTGCTGTCCCACATCACCATCGCCGCGATGCTTCCGCCTCCTATCTGCTCAATCTGCCGTAGCATCAGCTCCATCGTCGCGACGTCGCCATACTCGGCTGCGATGTGCAGCGGCGTCCGTTGTCTGCCGTGCCGAGCCGTCATATTCGCGGTCATTTCTGACTGCGAGAGATGTCGTAGTAGTAGCTTCAACATCGCGGCGTCGCTTTTCCTCGCCGCGTGGTCTAGCAACGTGCAGCCAAGGCTGCTCTTGAACGTCATATCTGCACTGACCCCTGTCTGCTCGAGATATTGTAGTACTGCATCCATCATTACGGTATCGTCATGGTCTATTGCTCTCTTTATTGATTCCTCTGCCCCGACCGTATCGATGAGATGCCGTAACATGATGTTGCTGATTGGTCCTCCCTGCTCTTCAATACGCAGAATATTCTGCAGTGGTGTCTTCTGTTCTATATCCAGCTGTTGCAAGCTTTCGCCGCCATTATCTCTTAGTCGCTTTAGGATGGCATCGACCAGCTCCGTTTGACCGTGTTTCGCTGCTGAGTGCAGCAGCGTGTCGCCATCATCATCTACCTCATCAATCTCCGACACGTTCTGGATCAACAAGGCTGAGATGTCGGCACGCTCGATGTTCCGCTCATCTTCGTCAAGTAGCAGAATCGTTGCTGCACGGTGCCCATTCTGAGCCGCCGTATGTCCTGCCGTGTGGCCTTTGTGGTCCTTCATCGTGGCATCGGCCCCTCGCTCAATGAGCTCCTTTATCATGCTCAATGATCCACCGCGAGCTGCATAGTGCAACGCAGTCTTGCCTTTTCCGTCACGAGATTTGATATCGGCGCCATTCTCAAGTAAAAGGCGCGCAGCTGCTTCTTGTCCACTGCTCACGGCGTAGTGTAACGGAGTTCGCTGATCAAAGTCAGGCAAGAAGATGTGTTTCTGCATCAAGCACAACCGTATAATTGGATAGTTTCTTGTATCCAATGCACAGTGAAGGAGGCTGCGGCCGCTTGCATCGCGTTGTTGTTTCTCTCGATCGTTGTAGTGCTCGCTGTTTAATAACGCTTCCAGCATGTGATCGTCTCCGTGCTGAACCGCGTAGTGCAGCGCTGACTGTCCGAGCCAATCCGTCGCTCCAATTTCAATATCTTCTTTGAGCAGATGTGTCAGCAACTCGCGCTTTTCTAGGATTACAGCCCAGTGTAAGATTGTCCTGCCATGTCTGTCGGCATTTTTGAGTTTGATCCCGCCAGTTTGGATACTATTTATAACAAAATCATGATTCTCTCGAGCGACAATCTGGTGCGGATCGTCGGCAACGGTGTTGTCGCGTGGTTTTCTTCTCCAAAAAGAAGGCATGCTGGGATTTAACAACAGAAACAAATCGTGACACAACAAAGAAATGTCTTGAAGTGACTGAGAGCGGTGTAGTGAAAGTGTGAACCTCAAAGTGCAGCTGTACCTTCCTCGGGGTTCTCCGCCTACTTTGTACTCTACTCCGGATGCTGGGTGCAAGCACCCGCCGGCCGCCCATCGCTCGGCCTAGTTTGCAACCTCTCGAGTAGGTAGGATGCCGATCAACGTCATATCTTATGCCAGAGCAAGGGACTTATCAGGGTAATCCTACGACTGCAACATGGGCGGCTTGAAGTGAGACCCTCAAAGCCAATCACAGTGCTGTGCCAAGTTGGGGCCTGAATCAAACTGTTCAGCTATGCAAGTCGGAAACCAATCGCAGAAAATCCATGCATTGATGCCAGACGCTCCCAACTCAGCCATGCCGCCCCCAATCGTGCCGTCCCCAACCGTCCTGCTTGACTGCCAATGGGCACGAGGCTGGTGGTCAAGTGGTTTGCCGATCTCCCATGGTGGCCAGCAGCGTGGCGTAGGGGGTTAAGGATGCCCCAGCAGTTCAGGTCATATTCAACGTGCAAAGGATGCGCCATATTAAACAAGACTGGCCGACAGCCTGTTTTACCTAGCATCTGTGTGCGACTATATTAATGCAATTTGGTACTACTACTGCCAATTGAAAGACTCCCACTCCAATTTCGGAACATAGCACCTTCTCCCTCTTTCTGCCATGCTCAAACTCTTGCTGCTGGTATCGTTGTCGCTCACGCTGGCGGCAGCTCGCGACTGTCCTGTCCGAGCTTACACCAATGACCCAGTGGACTGGCAGTATGGGAGCTGTTATCGGGGTACTTGGACAATTGTGAGCTCTTGCTTAACGACGGTTATTGCCTGCACATGGACCATTCAGCACCTCAACATCCCGGCCAGCACGGATGGCTCCTTGAAGAAGTTTAGACGAAAATTGAAATGGATGTTGATAACCGTGCTGTTCCCAGAGATCATTTTAGTACATGCCGGGTTCCAATTTCGAATGGCATGGAAAGCACTCCAAGAGTTGGAAAGTTATGGTCAGGAAGTCAAGTGGCCGTGGTACAAAAGGTCGTGGAGGTGGGTACGAAAGACATGGCCGTGGTATAAAAGCTCCTGGACCTGGCTACGGAAGAAGTGGTCGTCGCTACGGGAGAAGTGGCCGTCGCCCAAAGGCTCATGGAAGTGGCTGCGAAGTCAGTTTAGGCAGAAACTCGCTGACGAGGAGCGTGGCAAGGAGACGCAAGAAGACCCAGATCATTCAAACAAATGGACCATGACACATTGCTATTATGCCAACATGGGCGGCTTTTTATACGACAATGGTAGCCAAAGATTTCGTCTTACCGCCGGGGAGCTGACCTCGCTGCGCAACCGTCCACCAATTCCGAAGGAGGATATCCAAGACAAAAGCAAACAGGACTGGCTGGCAAAAACATGGGCTGGCCTGCAGATTCTACAGCTCATCTTTTCCGTCATCACCCGACACATCCAGCATACACCCTTTTCACAACTCGAAATGGTCACACTCTCTTTTGCTCTCTGTGGTGTGGTGATTTACATCACAAATATTCATAAACCACAAAACATCGACAGGGCAACAGAGCTCAAAGAAAACCTGACAGGCGTGGAGGGTGCAATACTTGTACCCTCTACTATTCAGACTCAAGATAGCTTGTGGGCAATTCTGAGTAACCAGCGTAACCACGCTGCCATCGACATTGGCTCGAAAGTCGATGCACCACGGGTACCAAACGACAGCATCCCATTCGACAGCAGCAATAATGTCGTTCATCCAGTTGTATATCCTTTGGCAGGGGCCTCTGCTATCTTTGGTCTAATCCATGCCATCGCATGGTCGTTTGAGTTTCCTACGCCGGAGGAGAAACTGCTATGGCGAATAGCGACTGGCATCTCTGCAGCAAGCCCTGTCTTGGGCCTACTGACAATACCACTGGTACAGTCTACCAAGTCTGCAGGGAATTCTGAGCTGTTTGTGGCACATTTTCTCAGACTCCTGCGAGAATATCGATGGCATTGTCCCCGAGAATATCCTATTGCAACAGCAATAGATGAACTGGAGACGCAATCGATACACTTGCTGGGGCCTCATCGGCAATATCTTAAATACGCGGTAGAATATTCACGAATATTCGAGGTAGACTCGATGGGAACCAGCCCGTTTCTGCTGGATGTTGGGGATTTCCTGCTCTTGAGAGGTCCATACGAGGACGTCAACAACAGGTTACCAAGCGAGTCAGGCGACGGTCGATGCCAAGACCATAAGGGAAATGCAAATAGGTTGAAGCTGCACGACGACAAGGAATTCATCCGCAACTTCAATCGCCTCGTCGAGGCGCTCCTCCCTCGCGGTGGGAAGAAACTCAAGCAGGAGACCCAGGCTGACATCTGGCCGCGGAAACCAGTGTTCCCGCCTTTCTTAAACGATTTAATCTTGTACGGTACGAGTGTTTTGTACTGTTTATCTCGCTTGGCTCTGCTCGGCGTCGCGTTATCGAGCCTTCGGAAAATGCCTGGCAAGGTGTATGAGGAGACGGATTGGACAAAGTACGTGCCGTCTTTCGGGGCAACAGGCTAATATCTTATGTCTTAATTAGTATAAATAACAAAAACAATAATATAGTAGTCAATAAGTAGCAAAATATACTCGAAAATATTACTTACCTACCTTCTCTAGATAGTATATATAAAATAAAAACAATATAGTATTTACTTCTATTTATATTACTAAATTTTATCTACTTTTTTTATAAGAGAAACTAGCTATAAAAAAACTTGCAAAGACTAGCTATAATCATGCCCTAATCTTAAGTTTTTTAGTGATAGGTGACTAGTAACTTAGGATATATCGAAGAGAACCCACAGGGCTAGCCACGCTACACTTTTGGCGCGCATACCAGCAATAACCACTACCTAATTATTATCCGCCAACGTACCATAAACAGAGCACAAAATTTGTAGTTTGGATTAGCGTTCTAATCTACCTGTAAACAGCACGGCAATTGTCTAAAAGTATGTCGATATTTGATATTTTTCCAAGAGAGGAAGAGGCAATTCTCGTTCACGTGATGAGAGTGCAATGAAGAGAACCAGGTTAGCACTATAACGAGTCGAAGCGGCGCGGCTGCACCTAGTAAGCCACACTGCTGCGCTGTCTTCACGGCATATACCGCAGCACGCCCTTGACATGGCGGTGGTACGAACAGAAGAATGCGACGGTCCCCATCAGCAGTCCACGATGATGAACGCCTATTCATGTGCATGCCACAGGAGCTCCTCCATAGGGCTGAGGATGATCAAGGCATATAATACCTGAAGACGAAGATGAGTATATTAGGTGCCGCCTCGTTCTGTACAGCGGCGTCGAGGCAGCCCAGGTACGTACGTATCTGATTGCCGAAACCTGGACCCATTCTATGGAGCAAATGTTGTTGACAACGGAGTCCAAATACGAGTTTCACAGATCCTGATTGGTTTCTATAGACAAAAAGAGTAGCTGCTCTTACTTAAAATAGCCATTGATGGGACATGGGATATAACGAATGGCGTTAATGGCAGGCTTGATGAACGACCCTGGCAGACTTTCAAACCCCTATGTGTAGAGGGGAGAGACTTATAAAGAGACCATATATGTAGCCTTTTTTTACAATCGATTCCAACTGCTGTCAACTGCTGTTTTTATTGAGAAGCTTCCTGAAGCTTCCTATCTGAGAAAAAGATCATAGCTGACAGAATTCGTACCCCATACCCATCCATCCGTGCACGAGACAAGTCTGCTGCCGGGCAGGCTTGAGATGTGACACTAGATTAATTGGACCTATTTCAACCGCGAGGGTATGGTACCGCCCAGGCGGTCAAATTTACTTTGCAGCTCCCTCCTCGCCCTCCTCTGGAAAGCCTAGAAGGACCCTCTGCTTCTCACTAATGGCGTTGAGCTCATCCTCAATGCCCTGCTGCTTGTCGGTGTATGAGGCCAAGAGCTCGTCAAACTTCTTGTTGCCCTGTTGTTCTAGGTCAAGAAACTCCTTCTGCTTGGCCTCCGCCAACGGCTTGCCGTCAAAGTCGACGATTGGTTCATTGGCGTCCCTGCGCGCGTGAGGGGCAGCCAAGGCAGATGCGGCAACTTGTTGAAATGTTAGTGAGGAGCGCTAAGCTAGATAAGATGTAAGGTGATTATGACTGACAGGCCAGAAGAGCGACAGCAGCGATGCGAACCATTGTGAGGCTGGGGAGGCGACTGTATTGATAGTGTCTAGTATAAGATTCTGAAGTGAGATGTGCGGTAGCAAAAAAAGCTGTGCGTGTTAACAAAGAAGAATTGAGATTGGAGTTCTGCGAATAGTATTGTATGTTGTGTTGTTGTGTTGAGCTTGAGAGCGAGAAGAGATCCCTTATATATACTCGAATTCACACCTGTGACCTGGCAAGGTCGCTGATCGAGGTTACGTGCGGCGTCAATAGAACAAGTACAGCTCCTGTTAGAGATCTGACTCGGATCACATTGTGGGGACAGGATGCGGCGTGGCTCTGCTTCATAAGACAGTATCAAAATTTAGTTGGAGTAAGCTCGAATCATGTAGCAAGCTAGGAGTTTCGAATATTGAATCGCGGGAATGCGCAACTCCTGTTTTACAAGACCTAGTCAAGTACTCACTATAGAATTCTTGTTACTTTTACGCGACCTAGTCAATTACTCATTATAGAATTATTGTTACTTCTACGACTTTTAGTCCTTTTTCACGATTAATAAGTGAAGCCAAGATAACGAAGCCTAGTACAAGATCTATCTCGAATTAATCTTCAATCGCAGGAACAAATAGCAAATTATAGAGCCCCTCTAGTATTCTCGCCTGTACACGACCATGATAAGTACGAGATTGAACTCGCATTAGAGGTGCTTAATGCATGAGCCATATGAATGTTTGAGTACAATACGCCTCAGAATCTGTTTGAGCTGGAATGCGTTACAAATGCCCAAAATGAGTGGGATTGACCAATGGTAACACTAGCAGGATGACTCTAGTCAGTAGACAACAGGCATATGAAATTTAAGCTTAGTCTCGCCTGATCATGTTTCAACTATGCACGCGGTGACATACAGAATATGTTTCAACCTTAAACTCGATGATGTACAGAATATGTTTCAACCTTGCATACATGGTTATGCGTGCTGGCTATGTGTGGGCGATTGTGCGCGGGCGGTTGTGCGCGGGCGGCTATTACGTGCTTTATGCGGCGTGCATTTTGTGGAGTGGTCGAGTTGAGACAAAAGCAAATAGCGTAATATAGTTTCGGCAGATGCTCTTGAACAGTACAAGGCAACATGAGGAGTCGAACTGCGCCACATGTATTGGATGACCTTGTTCTAATCTATGAGCGCATTCAGATTCCTCAATTAGCTCTACCTGTGGCTCGTGCGCAGTTCCCATTACGGCAGGTAATTGACATCATAGCAAATTCAGGCTTTACGTGGGGGTTACATTCGTAAACATGAAAGAATAGCTCTAAACTCGGGTTTATCCGGACCCACTGTAGGCGGTTATTAACGTGCAATCAGCCGAGAGTGGTTGATTAAGGCCACCTCTGTTATTAATTAAACAAGTTCTGTTATTAATTAAACAAGTTATGTTATTAATTCAACAAGTTATGTTATTAATTCAACAAGTTCTGTCATTAATCGAACCAGTAGAATCGGCGTAATTGCTGACTGTTGTATGATAATTAATGTTGTAATATGAATGGCTGTTGAATCGCTTGGTCCTAACATCTATATATTACATAAGCTCAGCTACAGGATGGAAGAAGAATGACAAGAACAATGAATGAATGGAAAAGCTTGGTTAACAATACATCCCAGGACATAACAGATGCCGACGCTAATCATGCCACAACGCACCATGGCAGTACCCTAATACGCACGCGCCTTGTCTATATCGAAAAAGGGTCCGCAAGCATTCGGATATATATGCAAAAATTTTAGTATGATGAGTGCATGCCGCCTTGGAGATGCTATTGCGGATGCGCCATGGGATGGAAGCGCCTCGGCGAGAGAATACAAAAGTGTGCCCTTTGGCTCTACTATAATGTCAATTTGAACAAGAATTGCATTCCTTTCCCTCACGCCCAGACAAGGCCTTCGTTATCAGTGCCCCTGTTTAACATGAAGATCTCAATCACCTTCCTTTCCCTGCTCGGGCTGAGCTGCACACATCAAACTATTGTCGGCAGAGCGCCTCCGGTTCCGCCGGGTCTACCGACCAAAGAAATCAAGGATCTCATAGTAAATGGCATCAAGGACTGGGGGCCAGCCGCGAACCTCAAGCCCCCTTCGAGCCCAAAGCCTCCTCATCGAGAAATGCCACTTGGCCTAGGCTCGCCCAAGCCGCCGCACAAGTATCCGCCTGGCAAAACCGGAGTGTCGAGAATTCCGGGCTCGCCTCTTGGACCAAAGAAGTGCAGGCCATGCAAGAGAAAAAGGCAGCTGTGTTGCAGCGGCGTGGGCAACATCGGTCGTCCGGTCCAAAAAACGAGCAAGATTCGGCTGACAAAGGCGGCCGGCACGGCAGCTGCTTTCATTCTGCTGGCACCGCGCGCGAGAGAGTTGCTCGAAGCGATCAAGGACAGCCCTGTCGGAGCACCTGTGCGCTGGTTCGATGACGCGATGGCCTCTGTCCAGGAGGCGATTGGAGGCCCGCTGAGGGATGATATCGACGGAAACGACCTGAAAGCCTCGATAATATGTGCTTTCAAAGGAGGAGAAGAGTCGGAAATTGTCCAAGGACGAAAGAGTCATTTTTGCACCTCTACTGCGGATGAATTCAACAAAGATTTCGAGGACGCAGCTAAAAACGGAGAGCTTGAAAAGCTTGTTTGTACGTGCGCGTTTGTCGAGGCGAGTTGGTCATATCCGCAATTGAGGGGTGGATCTCCGGCTGCGAGCGCCGTCTCGGATAGAATGTGTAAAGCATTTTTCAAGAGCAACCAATACGGGGATTTTCAATGGAGGAGGGGCTTGAATGAGCTGTTGGATGCTTGTTCCAATATTGAGACAAATCCGGACGCTGTCAAGGATGAGGGCGCTTCAAAAAAGATCAAAGAGCGCTGTGCCGCACTGCAAGCACAGGTAAAAAAGGTAGAGAATGCCGCGAAAAAGCCAGTGGAGGGGATCCCGAAAATAAATTTCGGGAGTTGCAAAGTAAGTCGTGTTGTGCAATATATACAGGCTACAGACAATTTAATGACCACTAACCGCAATTATAGTGCGATGCCTACAAGCTGTTAAACGATAGCAGCTACTGCGGCAACGGTTGTCGGGCGGCCTATGCTTTGGGCGGTTTTCGTCTAGACATTAGTGGAAAGCAACCGCAGAAGAAGCAGAAGCCGGCTGAGAAGAATTTGGACCCATCTGAGGATAAAGAACATCAAGAAAGGGTGGATAAGTACTGCGCCGAAGTTCGAGAGCAGATTGAAGCGGTATCGCCAGAGACATATGAGGGAGATTGAGGACCCGACCAAGCTCGAAAAGGACATTGAAGAGGAAGATGCGGCGACTAAGCTTAATGAGGATGTTACTTCGTCATCTTGATAATTTTTTTCGGTTATAATTACGCTCAGTGTCCAGCGCCTTTACCAACCACCAGTGGCTTACAGCGTAGGCTATCCGGGGCGTGCAACCGAGCATTCCGAGAAAAGGCCGCTAAATCGAGAGGCAAGACCCTAAACTGTAATTTGGTGACTAAAATAAGGGTCCGCATCTGGCACGCCTTTGGTGGATGAAAACCCTGTTGCTCTATACTTGCGTCGCATCAGCCTAACAATGTTGCTAGAATGGCATCGATTTGTTCCAACCATCTGGTGTTGAGATTCTCAAAAAAATATGTTTGGGTGTGTTCGATGTGCATTCTGCCTTGCCATATTTCCCCATTCCCTCCGTGACTACTAATATACACCTAGCGTCGGCAAGATACAGACCTGTTTCTGACCTTTCTCCAAGGCATGTATGCGTTAAGTTGTGCCGCTGCAAAGAATCCAGCTGCTCATGCATTGTTTCGCGGGGTCACCCCAATGTAACGGTTCTCTGGAGCAATACGCTGGTTAAGCCTTAGATCCACAATTGTCTACAATATAACGACTATATAAAGGTGGCAGGCGGCCAGTACAAATAGCCGCAGATACCTCTTCTCGTTCAGTTACAGTTGTGCGCAAGGATGCGGTTTGTACAATAGGGAGCAGAAGCGCAACGATTGGGGAAGGCAAGATGAAGGTCGTCAGCCAAGTGAGAAAGACAGATGGGGTATATAGCATATAGATAGAGATAGATATAATAAGCTCCTGGGTCTTTTACTGAAATTTGTGGCGGCCGTCCTCTTCTTTCGCTCACAAGTTGTTGGGTTACTTGCCTGATGGTTGCCGAATTGGAACTTGCATATTGCCATTACTCCTTTCTTGGTATTACTAAAAATTCGATCATCTCACATATTATGAAGCAATCAAAAAGGCGTGGAACCCGCAGTCGTTTGCGCGTATCAGTCTTCTCCATTGCTACAGCGACCGCCATGTCAGCCAAACCAACGCTGCCAAGAGTCGCTGCACGGAGCAGCAGTTTCTATATCAGATGCTGAAGATACCAATGTCGTATTTTCCTGGTTTCCGCAGATTTCACAAATCCAGCTAGCCTCCAAGTGGTGATGCACTTTACCACGTAGCACGACATTAACGGCCCCCGTCATTCCAGAGACTCTCTTCCAGCAGCTCCTCCAGGTTCCCAAGCTGTACGCCTTGAAACGAACTCCAACTAGGCGGCTTTCCAGACTGCATACCCAAAACCGGCCGCGGACCGGTGGACAAAGGTCGCACTAGGTTCATAGCCAAGGTCGCGCGATTGCCTTCGTACGGATTGTCCGCGTATACACCTGAACCCGGTATCAACTCTATTGCTGTGCCCTTTGCTAAGCGCCCTGGCCACCACGCATAGGCGGATACTGCCGGGCTGAACTCGACCACATACTGATCGCCTTGCACGTCAACAATGCGCGCCGGCAGATATAACTGAGAGTTTTCCGCCGTATGGTAGTGGAATCGGAAGTCGGGATACATTACAGGTGCGTCAATAGAGTCCCCGACGTGTAAACAGCGAAACGGCCGAACGTCATACTTGGTAATATCTCTTTTCCATGGTCTCCATAGTCGTCGAGTGCCTTTTCCAAGGTTTTCCAACATATCTTCCGAGAAGAAGCAGCCGCCGTAGTCGTCACTGCTGTCGCTGCTTCCGTCTTCAATCGGAGTGTCGGGCTCGGCTTGTGATGCGATCTCGTCCCAGTCGACAAACTCGATTTCGTCTCCAACCACTAGCGTGACTCTCGAATCATGCCAAATGCCATCATATTCGACCTAGGCAACGCACAGTGTCAAAAGTTACTCACTAGATTTAACAGTGAATTTTCATACCTGTATTTTTTCGTCAATTTTTGGTGCTTGGTAGAATACCTTTGACGGTCCCAACAATATGATATCAAGCTGCGGTGTTGGTGTGTCGGAGTGCACGCCACTTTGTAGCATTCCATCGAATGATGCCTTGATCGGGGTTGTCGAGAATGCGTATGTGTTGGATCCAGCTCCAGCCGTGATATTATATCCGCCGCCAAAACAAGCCTTGAACTCTGCAATGTGAGTATCTGAGCTCCACCCATATTTTCCCGGTTCTAGCTCGCATCGGATAGAAATTGGGGCGCCGATGCAGATGCCCCCAGCTGGCCGTGTCTTCTTCAGCAGACTCTTCTGCTCCACTTGACCCGTTTGTAAGTAGCGAACGTGAATGTAGATATCGCGAGCCGTGTCATTGAAGCAAGAAATAAGACTAGCACTGCTTGCTTTTATAACGTCGTCTTCGGTCATGATTCCCAGCTCCTTCGGCGTTGGAACCGCCACAATTTGAGCAGATATCCAGCCTACATGGTCTAAAGAGGATTCAATAGATGCAGGCAGAGCGATATCACCCGATTCTCTTTCACATTCAACGATCACTCCAAGTCCTGCGTTCTCAAGGACCAGTTTTCTAAGCGTCTCTGACAATGACGAATTCTGAAGAAGACTGAAGTAGTCCTGCGGCTTGACATAGCCTTTATATAGAGGGTCAAGTATTGACTGAAGCGCCGGGAGCCATAGTGGTCTGATTGTAGACAGGCGGCGCGTACCACATTGATCTATGTGACAACGATGACCAAGTTCTCGAACAATGTCGATGCTTGGTGTTTCCCAGATTCCAGTTGGGATATTGTTCAAGATGAAAGAGGATTCTATTTCGCGTACGAAGCGTGCCCATGAGACATACAGCATCTAACAATGGGTAATCAACATTCATGCACCTTCGGTCTTGAATGATCTCAATCTCACCTCGTAACGGAAGCTGGAGGTACTTAACTCTTTCTGAAACTTGTTCTTCCAGAATGCCATTCCCTCCGGATTTGTAGCCTCATAATTCTCGATGGCCGAAGTATCAGGGTGGATAATATTGTCCTCAAGTTGCTGTCGAAGGCTTTTACACTCATTCATGAGGTTACCCAAAATGATGTCAATGCTTGCAAAGTTGGTACTGAAATCTAGGCCGTTGACTTGGTTGTAATCTTGCGCCACAAGAGTCGAGTTCACAGAGCTTTCCGTACCTTTTGGAGGCCGCTCTTGATTCGCTCTGATGTCCTGTAAAATCACAACCGACACAGCGCTGTAGATTTTCTGAAGCTGCTCCGCCTTGCGCTGAATTTCTGCCAGAAGCCCGGGGATTCGTTTTACAATCCATATGCGACGTATCAATTTCTTGCCAAAGGCGTCTCGGCCTCCATCCACGGCTGCCTGCCCAGATGGGTCCATATCCAGAAGTTTGCCGCTTTTTGCGCAGGACTTGGCGATGCTTTGTAGAATGTCCAAGATCGCCACAAATTCCGAGACATGTTCTTTCAGGATGCTTTCATTGGCGGGATTCTCAAAAACAATGAGCAAAAGCCTCAAGTTTGTTGTCAGAAGTTGAAGGTCTTCTGCGGCCTGATTGAGTGCATCCAACCGCGCCTTCAGCTCAACGCCTAATTTGATGAGGACTAGAAGGGTGGACTGAATGTCCCCGATCAGCATTGTCGCTAGTTGAAATAAAGTAATAAGGGCTTCTGTGAGTATACTGAGCTCCTTGTAGATGGTGCTGGCTCTAGCTTTGATTGCGCATTCAAGAGGTAGAAGTCCCAACGGATCTAGCGTGTCTGCCAGGACTGGCTGTGAAAAGGATTATTCATAGAGCCTAGGTTGATGCGGGGAAGGGCGCTCCCGTGCCGCCCACTATACTCTATCTGGTCACCGGCAGAATTGTTATGAAAGTGAGCATCTACGATCACCGAGTCCTTTTGTTATGTGAGTCTATTGGCAAGCGAGTAGCGCGAGGATATTACTGCTCATGTGCGTGTAGTACCGCCTCGTACTCCGGGTAAAGAATTTAACTAGTGAGTGACCTAAACCTAGGCATATAACAAAGGCCGCCTTCCGTCAACGTTACAACCGTCCTGACTTTATACGCGGGGTTGCTTGACCCGCTGAAAAATTGTGCATTTCCGTGGTGGCGGGGTGGCTTGTTACGTAGTTGGTCAGAACAGGCTTCAATATTGAGCAGACCCCACGTCGAAAAATTACATCGACGCTTCAGGAGCGGCCTTGTCCTGGCTCATTCATCACCATTTATTCTATATACATAGTCAACCACTTCAGTCATGGACGCCTGGCTTAACAAATCCGGGGCCGTAGGCTTGGGCGACCTCGATCTCGCTGACTTCCCAGAGACAGGGCGGGGTGTCAAGGCCCAACGGCCATTCAAGGAAGATGAAAGGATTCTTACCATTCCAGCCAACTGCTTATGGACTGTCAAGGGCGCATACGCCGATCCGCTTTTCGGTCCGGTCCTTCAATCTGTTCAGCCGCCTCTATCTGTCGAGGACACATTAGCTTTGTATATCCTCTTCGTCCGGTCTCGCGGGGAGGACCCTGCGTACGCGGAGCGCCAGACCCATGTCGCTATGCTGCCTAGCGAGTATACCCTGAGCATGTATTTCACCGACGAGGAGCTGAGAGTCTGTGCTGGCTCCTCACTCTACACTCTCACTACGCATCTCAGAGGGAGGGTCGGCGACGACTATAAAAAATTACTCACAGGTGTATTCATGCGTCACCGTGACCTCTTTCCCTTGGACAAGTTTTCCTTTCAGCACGTAAGTTTATGCCAGATAATATATCATGATGTACTGACAACTAGCCCCATCTAGTACAAATGGGCACTCAGCTCAATATGGAGTCGTGGTATGGACTTTACCATTTCTGAAGGCAACTCTGTTCGCCTCATGGCCCCGTTTGCAGACATGCTTAATCATGCTTCTGATGCGAAACAATGCCACGCCTACGATCCGTCGACCGGAAGTCTCACCGTCCTTGCTTGCAGAGACTATGAAGTTGGAGACCAGGTATGCCTCGAAGTCTATAAATAGTCGTTTTGCCAAAGCTAAAATAGGCACTAGGTATTTATTTACTACGGCAACGTTTCCAATAGTCGTTTGCTACGGCTTTACGGCTTTGTTCTGCCTGATAATCCCAACGATAATTATGAGCTTGTCCTGCAAACAAGTTCTATGGCGCCGCTGTATGAGCAGAAGCAGAGACTGTGGAAGCTTGCTGGCTTGGACGAAATCTCGACTATTCCGCTGAGTCTTCAAAACCCTCTACCAGACAGCGTTCTTCGATACCTCCGGATTCAGCGGCTGGATGCGTCTGATTTGGGTACTATGACTATGCAGATCGCGACAGAGTCATACACAAAAATCAGTGACGAGAACGAATCGCAAATCCTGCTTTTCCTGAGTCAATCGATTGAAGCACTGCTCGAGGGGTTCGAGATCTCTCTAGAAAAACTCGAGACGCAACTGGCGGAAGGCCTGTATGCTCCGGGGAGCAACGCCTGGGCGGCTGCCCAGGTTAGCTTGGGCGAGCAGCGGGTGCTGAAGGCAGCTAAAGCAAAGGCCGATGCCCTTCTGGCGTCCATTACGGACTAGAATGAACTCGCTGTCTCCACCTAATCAGTGCGCAAAGTGCGACAAGGGCTCTGAGACTGCGAAGCTAATGGCCTGTGGCAAGTGCAAGCTGTCAAATTTTGCAGGAGGCTGCATGAATACGGCGTCTTCCGTGTATAGAGACGCACATCGGGACTGCTGGACGGTGGAAACGAGGTATCGTTGTGGCAGGCCTGGTGCCTTTATGCTAAAGAATGACCATTTGGTGCTCTCTGTCAAATTGATGTTTCAATATAATGCACAACCCTTGTCTCATAGGGCTACAGTTACACGCTAGCCAAAGCTAAAGGACTTGCAACCAACATGTGGGCGGGCATTCCCGCCTAGCCACTAGCTTGATTCTGTGATTCCTAGTTGCCGCAGACACGACTAAACCGATGCTTATACTTTTACAGCCACAAGTCGGCTACCAACAGAGATTGTAAGCAAGTGAGCGGCAGAGGGTCAAACCTGGACGAAAAATCTCGTCAATCTAATACTGCCGTACTTTCATGACCCTACTGGCCTGCAGAAAATCCCAAACCTACAGCTAACCACGTCTTTTGCGTACAAGAGAGCCTCCAATTAGGGCCATTGGCGTCCCCAGCCTGTTTCTTAGCTACCCTTAACTAAAAGATGGGGCAACCCAAAGGTACATTGCTGCGCTGCAGTAGTATGAGGCTATAGATCAGCTTTGTAGCTTGATTCGGGTACGCTAGTAAAATGAGTAGGGAATTTCTACTTTTTTTCAGTCAACTACAATAATAATAAGCATTTACTTTGCACACTATCAAGTGTGAAAATAATGGCCTAACATGTGTTGAGTGTCACACCAAAAAAACAGACGCTGTGTCTGTCGTGGTCTGACAGTTTATTAGGTAAGGCTAGGCCGGGGGGGTAGCACGTGTCCATCGCGGACGGCGCTGGAATATTCTGCCACTCTTGAAACGGGGAATCCTTCCAGCCTCGTTGGCGTTGGCGCCATCTACCTAGACTACAAGAATCGAGACACGAGCAAATTTATTCGCGACCATGTACATCCCCGCGCAGGTTCCGGTGGTCCCTGCAACGCTTCGTCGCTGCGCGGCCTCATCTCTCAGGCGAGCACGGTGGTGACCGATGGAGCTTCGCCTGCGCTCACGAACAACAAAGGAGGCAACATGGGCGGTGTCTTGGAGGCGCCACAAGTGCGCGCGCCGTCCCGTTATCGGTCTCCGTGCAGTCCATTGTTCGCGTCTCAGATTGCAAGAAAAGAACAAGGCAATCCTCGCTGGTCGCCGCCAGCTGCGACACCGCTGCCAAACTGACCGAGGCTCGATTATCGTGAGCGCTTTGAGTGCACCACCTTGCTCGCAGTTCTTGCTTCATTCATCTTTACATCCTGACCCTGATGGTGCGCTGCTCACTGGTCATCATGCACGCTCTTGTGATTGGACACTTTTATGGCCCAGAGCGGCTTCCCTGCCCCGAAGCTAACTATGATTTAGTCAGCCTAGTGAACCATCCACACCTTCCTTCAGCCTGATCTGTAGACGACTCCATGCCAAGTGTTGCGCGTCCCGTTTGTACAAGAAGCGTTATTGGCCCGGCCGTCTTCCTGTCGCGCCGCCTGTGTCTCGCACTCGGAACTTCCTTTCCTCACCTAACCGAGCTTCGAACAAGACTCAGGACATGATGCTGGAGCAGCTCATCGCCAACAGGGCACCGTCGTTGGGCTACGCTTACACCGGCCAAGCCGTGCTCGGCGCTGCGGCATTTGCGTCTTGCGACGATGCATTTGGCCCGCTCGCCGTTGGCTGTCGAAATGGACGCCTCGACTTTACTTTGCTTTTCGAGCAGACCTTGTTTACAATCGTGCCTTCTGCGCTGTTCATGCTTGGCGCAATTGTCGTCATCATTCAACTCTGGGGCCAAAAGCCCAAAGTGCATGTAACGCGCATATACTACTTGAAAATGGTAAGCCATAAAATGACCGACACTTTTTGACGCAGTCTATAAACGGCTAACAAATAACCTAGACTATTTGCTTCATATTGGTCGCCATAAAAGCTGTGCTCCTTGCCCAATGGATCCAGCTGCGCCCAAATGTGCCGGTCGGCACAGTCTCAGTTGCCGCTGCCGCTATCAGTGTCGCCGACGCCGGATTCCTCGCCCTCCTCGCCGGGTTGAGCCATATGCGGTCAATAACGCCTTCAAAATTAATTATCGCTTTCACGTTTTTTTCCGCTTTGCTTGACGGTTTTCGATACCGTACCATTCTCATGGTGGATGAGCTGGCGCCGTTGACCTACACATTCGCCGCTGGCATTGTTGCCAAGCTGGTTATTTTTGGGCTGGAAGCCAAAAGTAAAAGGTCAGTGATGCTTGGAGACTGGTCTGAGATTGGTGCAGAAGAGACTTCAAGCATCGTTGGCCAGCTTTTCTTGTGGTGGGTGAACCCTATTCTTCAGATTGGCAACGCCTCCTTCCTGAAATCAAGCGATTTGCCTCGATTGAAGCCCGAACAACGAGCCCGCTATCTGCTACCAAGAATGTTACAAAACTGGGAAAGGTACAAAGACAGTGGCAAGTTCGCACTGGCTTTGATGGTGCTCAACAGTTGCAGGTCGACTGTGATTGCTGCCGGTATTCCGCGACTGTTTCTTTCCGTTTTCAAATTGCTGGTTCCTTTATACATCAAGGCAGTCATACAGTATGCGACGCGGCAAGACAATGACAACCAAGTGGACAAGAACACCGGCTATGCTCTGATAGTCGGTGCGATTTTCTTGTTTCTGGGAAGAGTGTTGATAGCGAATGCATACGAACAGGCCAAGGCCCGCATGAGAGTAATGATGCGTACATCCCTGGTTGCCACAGTATTGCACTTTGGTGCGCAGATGGAACCTGGTGAGAAGAAGGGCTCGGCTGCTCTCACCCTCATCACGGTGGATGTAAATCGGATCGCCGTCTCGTTCTTCTTCATCCACGACTTTTGGATTGCACCACTTGAGACCGCCTTTGCATTTTGGCTTTTGGCAGGGCAGGTTGGATGGGGATCCCTCGGTCCGCTAATCACAATCATTTTTGGCGCTATAGTTTCTGGTGTGTGCGCAATATATGTTCCCAACGCACAAAAAAAGGTCAACGAAGCCATCGAAAAACGCGTCAGCGACACGACTACTGTCATTGGCCACATGAAGGAAACAAAAATGCTTGGACTTGTTGACTCATGGTTTATGGCTATCAGAAAGTTGATGGACAATGAGATCAGACAATCTCTGGTCTTTCGAAGACTCATGGTTGTTCTTAACGTCAGCAGCAAACTGCCTCAAAGTCTGGCCCCTCCACTCACTTTTGGCATCGCGATCCTCCTTACCAAGGCAGGCGAGCGCCTCTCTGTTGCAGAGGCTTTCACATCTATAAGTATCATGAACCTCATCATCGGTCCGATTTCCCTGATGGCGCACATGTATCCCTTCATTATTGCTGCTTTGCCATGCTTTGTCCGCATCCAAGAATTCCTCAAACTATGCAGCGATTATGAGGCTAGAGTGGCGCTCCTCGGCTCCTCCACTCAGCTGTCCGCAGTTGAGGATCTGCTTCCCGAACTCGCAGAGCCGATTCTCTCCATTACAAACGGTAACGTCAATGCCAAGTCGCGAGAAGAACCGTTGCTTCAAGACGCGACTCTGAAGATTTTGCCCCAAACATTCAACGTTGTGGCGGGCAAGGTCGGTTCAGGGAAGTCGGTGCTTCTGCAAGCCCTGTTGGGTCAGCTCAACATCAGCGGCGACGCCAAAGTGCGCACGTCAAATGTTGCATACTGCTCCCAACAACCTTGGATTATTAGCGGAACTGCCAAAGACAACATCGTTTGCAAGTCCGAGCCGGACGAGGCCTGGTACAATGCTGTAGTGACAGCGTGTGGTCTGGACAGGGATTTTGAGGACTTTCCGCAAGGCGATGCCACTGCAGTTGGAACAAAGGGTGTTTCCCTAAGCGGTGGGCAAAAGCAGCGTATCTCCTTGGCACGTGGCATTTTCTCCCGCAAGCCCGTTGTCTTTGTGGATGATGTGCTGAGTGGCCTTGATTGGGCCACTCAGCGTTTTATCTGGGACCAAGTGTTTGGGCCCTCTGGCCTCTTGCGAAAGAACCGCGTGACAGTGGTTCTTGCAACTCATGCACTTCACCTGATTGATCAACCTGACAGCGTAATCCTCCTCGGTGATGACGGCCCTGGTTCTGTTGTTCAAGGCACACTGGACGAACTCAAAGCATCCACCAGGATTCAAGACTTGATCGCCACGAGCCACAAATCTGCCGACGATGAGACTGCGAATACAAGCAGCGCCAGTTCCCAGAAGGGCAATGGCGAGCAGACGGCCACTGTCAACGAAGCCGAGAAAACGCAAGATCTGATTCGCAAGACTGGCGATGTCACGCTGTACTCGTACTACCTCAAAATGGTTGATCGCAAAGTGGCGGTACTTGCTTGCATTGCCGCTTTTGCATCCGCCACATGGCCGGTTCTACCTGTCCTGTGGCTAAAGTGGTGGACGGAGGCGAACGAATCGCCGACGCCGGTCAATACCGCCTACTATTATTCAGTATATGTCTTGGTGAATGTCCTGGAAATCATCATCATCCTGGGAACCTTTTACATTGCTCTTATCTACGTAGCGCCAACGGCTCTCCGGAAAGTTCACACTTGCCTTCTGAGAGCTACCATGAGCGCGCCTCTTTCTTTCTTTGTCGCGACTCCGCCCGGCGACCTCGTCAATCGTTTCAGCAGAGATATTGAGCAGATTGATCTGGAACTCCCTCTCAATCTCACCTTTACTTTTATGGCGGTCATCTGGCTGATGTCCGTGGTCGCGCTGATTCTCGTCGGATCGCTGTACATGGCCGTCATTATTGCTCCAATGATGGTTTTTATATACGTGCTGCAAAAGTACTACTTGCAAACCTCGAGGCAGCTCCGTTACTTGGACATACAATCCTCGGCACCGGTAAACACACATATCATTGAAATGATTGATGGTGTCGCGACGGTCCAGGCGTATGGCTGGGAGTCGCAGTATCAGGCCACAGGTATGGATCTGCTGGACGAAACAATGAGGCCCAACTACATGATGCGCATCATTCAGCTCTGGCTAGAGCTTGTTTTGGATGTCTTTGTTGCCTTTGTCTGCATTACTTTGATCGTCATTTGCATCATGATTCCAACTTCTACAAGTCCCGGAGCGCTAGGTGTGGCACTAACCAATGTCACGACACTGGGAGACTCTTTGGCATGGCTAGTGCTCAGCTTCACGAGCACAGAGACTGCCCTGGGTTCTGTGGAGCGTATTCGTTCTTTTGAAACCAAGACACCAAAGGAGTTGCCGCCTGCGAACCCGCAACGCCTGCCTCCGACCTGGCCGTCCAAAGGCGCCGTCCGCTTTAATTCCGTCACCGCTTCCTACCCACCAAAAGGGAACAATCCCGCGTTTCGCGCCCTCAAGAACATTAATGTTGACATAGAACCGGGACAAAAGGTTGCGATCTGCGGACGCACAGGCAGCGGTAAGTCGTCGCTGCTTCTGACGCTGTTCCGTCTGCTCGATCTTGAGTCGGGCTCCATCACAATTGACAACATCAACATCATGGATGTCGCTCAGAATGTTCTGCGACCGCGCCTTGTCTCAGTTCCTCAGGAGCCTATGCTCCTCCCAGGCTCTCTGCGCTCGAACCTTGTGCGCAATAGCAACGAGAGCACCAAGGGCGACAAGGTGGATGAATTGGACGACGAGAAGCTCATCAACTACTTGAAGATTGTGGAACTCTGGGATCTTGTTGAGGGACAAGGTGGCTTAGATGGTGACGCGGCCGACTTGAAGCTGTCGCAAGGACAAAAGCAGCTAGTATGCATGGCACGCGCCCTCGCCAGCAAGGACGAAAGCTCCATCCTTGTCCTTGACGAGGCCATGAGCACCGTTGACAGGCAGACTGAAGAGCTCATGGTCAAAATTTTGGAGGATCATTTTGCAGAGCATACCATTATCTCAGTTGTGCATCGTCTCAACACTGTCGAAAAGTTTGATACTGTGCTGCTGCTAGATGCCGGCGAGGTGGTGGAGGCGGGCTCACCAGAAACTCTACTGGCCAAGGAGGATGGTCGGTTCAGAGCGCTGTGGCATGGAAAAGAGGCGTAATGTGAATGTGAAAGATTTGTACATTTTTTCCCCTTTGTTTTAGTTTCCACTCAGCATCTATACTGTACACTACCCAATGGTACTATCGTTGCTCTCAGGGTTGACGTCTCTTGGACATGCGAGCTGTCTTTGGATGATGAGAGAGTTATGCTTGCTAGATTCAAGGCGTCCGAGCGGATGAGGATGTTCTACTTTTAGATATATGGTGTAAGTGTCCAGTGGCGCACACAATTCGCGGCCGCAACTAGCACACTCACAGGCAGGACAAAGCTAAGGCCCCGCGAACCCAAGAAAACAGTTGTTGGTTCTTCTCCCAGGGAAAAAGAGTTGGTTAGAAGGTACAGATGATCAGTTTTCCGCTCAATTTGGTCGTGTAGGTTGTGTAGCTTGCCCTTGGACTGCATGATGTTTGTGCAATGCTCTGACCTTTGGCAAACTTGACCGCCTCACGAATTAATTTGTCTTGAGACAGCACAGGAAGAGTTGAGCGGGCGGAAGCAACGAAATGTGGCGCTTTTGACTGAATGAGGATGTCTCTGTCATTTTGTCTGCTCATCCAAGACCTCCCTTTTGAAACTTTCTCCTTTTGCGCTTCAAGCGCGAGGAGGTGTTGACGCAGAAACACGCTGATGCAGATTGATTAGCAAACTCAGGGCGTCGAGTCTTGATACAAAGCAAACATGGACAAGATTGCTACTTCAAGGTGCAATGAGCAAACGTAGGTGTAAAACTGGAAATGGCAGTCTATCTGGGAGACGGGAAACCAGCCAATGCTGCACAGATGCTCCGGAGAATCGAGAAAGCGCCTTGTTTGACCAAATTGGTTCTCTTTGCGCAAACTGCCGAGTCCGTCTCTTGTTAATCTCCAGCCTGGGGATTCATCAGAAATTACGCAGTCAATCTGAGTATAAATGCAAGAACCCGCCCGACTTGATCCAAGGTTCCATCTTTCATCGCATCTCATCTTCTCTCACTACCGGGAATAAAAGCAACTTTCAACTCAATATCTCACATCGCAACCATGCAGCTCTCTTCTGTCCCTTGCATCATTGCAGCAGCTCTTGCGCTTGCTTCGATTGGCAACACCTCGCCGGGTAAGTGTATCTTTTTTCGCATCGCAAAAGCCCCGGGCGGCGCGCAACCAAACGTCGGAAGGGGCTAATCGGTACAATAGTCAATGGACCCAAGAAAGGGAAAGGGCTGGAGTCTGTCGATGTCGACCATTTGAATGACGACTTGGGGCTTCCTCCTGTCACCGTGCCCGAGGTCAACCAGGCCAGGGCTGAGCGCAAGGGCGATGAAGTTGAAGTCTACCAGGCCAGGGCTGAGCGCAAGGACGACGAAGTTGAAGTCTACCAGGCCAGGGCTGAGCGCAAGGACGACGACGAGCCCGAGGTCAACCAGGCCA